CACTTATGATCCTTCCGATATTAGTTCTCCCACTCACACAAACCGAACCCATATTCAAACAGCCAACGGGGAATGTGTTGATGTTACTCAAGCCGGGACTGTTGTTATTTCCTCCTCTATGCATTTAAAAAATTGTCTCCTCGTCCCTAGCCTGTCTCACAAATTACTCTCAGTTAGTCAATTGACTAAAGAACACAATTGTACTGTTCTTTTAACTTTTGATGGTTGTCTTGTGCAGGATGCTCAAACCGAGGCGGTCATTGGACGTGGCACGGAACGAGGAGGCTTATACTATGTGGATGAGACAACTCAACACGGTAAGGCTATGCTTACTCATGGGTCTCCTGAACATCAACTCTGGACGTGGCATCGGCGGTTAGGTCATCCCTCTTTAAGCTATTTAAAACGCTTGTTTCCTTCTCTTAAGAATGTCTCCATTAATCTCGATTGTGAAACTTGTGTGTTAGATAAAAGTCACAAACACTCTTATTTCCCTAGTATGACCCATACCACTCGTCCATGTGCCCTAATACATTCTGATGTGTGGGGTCCTGCTCCAGAATTTACCCCCCATGGTTTTTCTTACTTTGTTTTGTTTGTGGATGATTGCACTCGCATGAGTTGGGTTTACTTCTTGAAACATAAGTCTGAAGTCTATACTATCTTTGTCAAATTCTATAACATGCTTATTACTCAATTTCAAGCCCAACCACAAATTTTACGGTCTGATAATGGGGGTGAATACATTACATTAGATATGAAACAATTTATCTCTGATCATGGCATGCTACACCAAACTACATGTACCGATACCCCACAACAAAATGGAGTGGCTGAACGAAAAAATCGTATTCTCTTGGAAATTACCAGGGCCGCCCTTATGATTGAGTCCCAGGTCCCTGTTCATTCCTGGCCTGAGGCCGGCGATTGCTACTGCTACTTATTTGACTAATCGTCTTCCTACAAAAGCCCTAGACTACCAAACTCCCATGGATACCCTAAGTTCACATGTTTCCATCCCTTATTCCCATTCTTTACCTCCGCGTGTCTTTGGTTGTGTAGTCTATGTTCACCTGCCTAAACGCGACCGAAATAAGTTAGAACCTCGGGCAGTCAAGTGTGTTTTTGTTGGCTATGGGATTAATCAAAAGGGGTATCGATGTTTTGATCCACTTCATAATAGGATGTACACCACCATGGACTGTGACTTCTTTGAACATTCTTATTTCTACCCCCAGCTTAGTCCTCAGGGGGAGACTGTAGTTGATGACCTAAGCTGGCTAACATACCCTGTCACGATGGAAGAGGACCCGAAAGAGCAAGTAGGCCAGACCACCGATGTTGTCCCTGAAACCATAGTATCTCCTATTCCGTCTACTCCAGTCCTGTCAGATGAGCATCCAAACCCAAAGGTAATTCTTGAATCTCGTGATATCCTTGAATCTCATGATATTGATAATGTTACTATTGATGATCCTATACCCAGTGATGAGAGACCAGACAGGTATGAGTTACCTCCCAGGAGCACAAGGGGAGTCCCACCGAAAAGGTATGATCCAAAGTTTGAGGCTTAGCGGTCTCGATACCCAGTACAAAGGATTAGTGAGGAGAATTTATCTCACACAACCATTGCTTTCACTGCATCATTATATTCCACTGATATTCCTAAAAGTGCCGAGGAAGCTCTCAAGTATGAAAGGTGGAGAAAAGCTATGGAAGATGAATATTTGTCCTTACAGAAGAATGAGACATGGGAAAAATGCATTCTGCCAAAGGGAAAAAAGAAAGTAGGATGTAGATGGGTGTTCTCCATTAAACATCGAGCATATAGGACAATTGAGCGATACAAAGCTCGTTTGGTGGCTAAGGGGTATACTCAGACATATGGGATTGATTACTCCGAGACTTTTTCTCCAGTAGCCAAGATAGACACAATTCGAGTCTTATTCTCTATTGCTGCTAATAAATAATGGCCCATGTATCAGTTTGATGTAAAAAACGCTTTTCTTCATGGGAATATTGAGGAAGAAGTCTATATGGAAGCACCACCAGGATATTCTCAAGAGTTCAATGATGGAGAGGGGTGTAAACTCAAGAAGGCCCTCTATGGCCTAAAACAGTCCCCGAGAGCTTGGTTTGGGAGATTCACTAAAGCAATGAAGAAGTTTGGCTACAGACAAAGCAACTCAGATCATACATTGTTCCTGAAACGGGTGAGAGACAAAATCACCTGCCTTATAATTTATGTCGATGATATGATTATCACTGGCAATGATGCAGAAGAGATCACAGAACTAAAAGGGAAGCTATTCCGAGAATTTGAGATGAAAGACTTGGGTAATCTTAAATACTTCCTTGTCATCGAGGTTTTAAGATCTCAGCAGGGAATCTTTATTCATCAAAGGAAGTATATCCTTGATCTTCTAGCAGAAACGGGAATGCTTGACTGCAAACCAGCTGAGACACCCATTGTAGCTAATCATGGACTCCAGATCATTCAAGGGGCAAAGCTAGCTAACCGGGAAAAATATCAGAAGATGGTGGGAAAGCTGATCTATTTGTCTCACCCCAGACCAGACATAGCCTATGTTGTGGGAGTTGTGAGTAGATTCATGCATCTTCCACAGGTACAACATATGACAACAGTAATGAGAATCCTGAGATACCTAAAGGGTACGAGTAGCACTGGGATCTACTTTGATAAAAATGATCACCTTGATCTAATTGCCTATACAGATGCAGATTGGGCAGGAGATTGTGATGGCCGAAAGTCCACTCCGGGGTACTTTACCTTGGTGGGTGGAAATCTGGTGACTTGGAGAAGCAAAAAACAGAAAGTTGTGGCCCTATCAAGTGCAGAAGCTGAGTTCAGAGGAATAGCTAAGGGGACTACGGAAATCCTATGGATACGGAAGCTCATGAACGAGCTAGGTTTCCCACAAAGAACAGCATGCAAGTTATATTGTGATAATAAAGCAGCAATCAGAATCTCAGAGAACCCAGTACAACACGACATAACCAATAGCATGTGGAGATCGATAGACACTTTATTAAAGAAAAGCTGGATGATAAAGTCATTAAACTTCCATTCGTGAGATCAAAGGATCAACTAGCCGATATCTTGACTAAAGCAGTCAACACTGAGCCCCTCGTTGAGCTTTTGTGCAAGTTGGGTATTGGAGCCCCTACTACCCAACTTGAGGGGGAGTGTAGGAAATAAACAGGGAAATATTCCCTTGACTCATTCTAGGAATATAGAATTATTCTCCTTGATTATAGGAGGATTTTGTGTATACTTAGTTTCCATATATTGTTAGGCTCATGTATATAAATATAGGACTGTAACACCATAATTATTCAATACAAAATAAGTATTCAAACCCAAAACTCTTATTTCCGCATTATACTTTTATCATAGGAATGGGTGGATAGATAAGTGATACATATTGTGAAGATAATGCCTCAGTTTTGAGTGCAAGGTGGTATAGAACATAGTAATCTTTCGTATACTTCATCTCAGTAGGTTTCAGGTCCACGTCAGCTTTTATGACTTTGCTTAAGGTTCTACTGTATTATTTATGAGTTATATGGTAGGCTTATCCAAGTATGTTGTAAATTATGATGAGGGGTGAATGAAAAACTCCGTAATGTGTAAGCCTTTTGGTTTGGAAAGCTAACATTTCTTGAAGATATGTTGTCAAGTACGTTGTGACTTGTATGAGTTATGAGGTCTGTGAAATAGTTTTAATGGCTTGTGATTATATTGTAAGTTGGTGATTGTTAACCATCAATTGCCCTGCTGTATGCCACAAACCTCAAATTATTTCACAAAAAAAAAAAAAACCTCAAATTATCCACAGTGGTCAGTGGGTGATGATTTAGTTATGATGTTAGTGAATTGTGATGTACAACATATCTTTAATACGGAGTATAATTGAGGAGGCTCCAATTTAGTTAAGGTAGAGTTGGTGTGTTGTCTGACTGACTGTTGCTTCTAGATAGTAGATAGATCCTTGAGTATAAATATACCATCCCTGTCCACCTTCGACTTCATAGCAAGTGAAGGTCGCATACATTTTTCCCACTTAGGGGCCGTTTGGTTCGCACAGGGGAATCGGAATGGAATGCAGAAAGGGAATGGAGGAGAATGGAATGAAACCCTTTGAATTTAGGGTGTTGTTTGGTGAGAATGGAGGAGAATGGAATGAAACCACCATAGAACCACCACAGCACAACCATTTCTCCCCCTCCCTTCATTAGTTTCCACCTTCTCCAGCCACCGCACCGCCCGACCAACACCACACCGGAACCAGCCGCCACTCCTCCGACCTTCGCCGCCCCTCCCCCGACCTGGTGAGGTCCGTCGAACAACAATCCACAAAGGAACCCTTCTTGTCCTCGACCTTAGCAATCCCGACCGGAACCCGACCAAAACGCAACTATTGAACTTCCCCAGCAACACCGATGGTTTATGCGGAATTTCGACGGTTGTTCGCTGCCCCTCCTCCGACCTGGTGAGGTGTGGCCGGTTGTTCTGGTGGAGGGGAGGGTTTTTCAAGGTTACACGAGGGTTCGGGGGAAGGTTTTCCGGGTGGGAGGAGGGGCGGCGAGGGTCTGGGGAAGGCCGGCGAACATCCGGCAAGGTGAAGCAAGTTCCGGCGAGCAGTAGCAAGCTGATGGGGTATGGTGGTGGTTGGGGAACCGAATGGGAAAGGTAGGGGGTGGGGAATGAGTCTAGAAGACTTTTGGGTAAACCCAAAAATAAAATGGGGGAGTGAGAATGACAAAATTGTGAAAACAAACACTAACAAAAGGAATCGTTCCCTTTTCCTTTCCCCATTCCAGCGAACCAAACGGCCCCTTATTAATTTGAATTACGTAGTACTTTAGTATACTGTATTTTATGCCAATAAATAAAAATAAAAATGGTGACATGTCAGTAGTACGTGGCAGTTGGCTATAGGCGCAGTTATGCAATATGAAGTAGCATCCATAAGGGTCGGGACAAGTCGTCGCCCCTAATTAATTAAAAAAAAAAATCATAGAAAAGAGTAAATTGTGGGGTTTGAGCTGGTAGCGGCGATCGGAAAGAAAAATTCCGTATTTAGTTTTATACTTTTACAGGAAGCAGTGTCTCCCATGGCTTACGTTGAGAGAGGTATGTTTCTTCGTCTCTTTCATTCGATTCCATTTCTGTGCTATTTTTCAATTGATTTCTGTGCTATTTTTCAATTGGTTTCTGTTTTTTCCAATTGGTTTCTGTGTTTTTTAATCCATTTGTGATCGATCTGCTTTTGTCAATACAGATTACTGTACCTCTCTTCCGATCCGTTGTGCATAATTCGGTGTCCTAAGTGTTTTGATTTCAATTTATTATAATTATTATTAGGGTTTGAGTTTCCATAAATGATTTGGTAGGTTACACACTTACACGTACAGATAGATCATCGATTGATTCTTACAGACGACTGTGGTGAGGATTCTATTAACACAATTGCATGTTTTGTTACTTGATATAAGATGATATGTCCTTTGAAATTTGATACTTCGTGTATTGTAGAATACTTCTGATGAGATTAACATAAGCTATTATGACAAACAAAGATGGAATGGATACAACCGCATACAATGGAACAAGAAAAACAAATTGATATTTTGATACCAACACCAACAAGTTTAACAGAAACAGAACAGGAACAGTTACATATTCATGATGAATGGTCTTGTTGCAATCAATGGACCAAACCCTCTTTATCAATTTAATGGAATGTATTTCATTTCATTCCATTCCTCCAATTATTTCTGTTTTATTTTCATCTTTGAACCAAACTCTGGGTGGAAATTCTCTAATTGCCTCTTTATAACCTATCAAGTATCAACTTCTATAACCCTTTTTACTCTCGTTTGATTATAATTCTTGTTTTGCTCGATCATTTCGTTAGCTGTTGGGCTCATTATACTCATCTTCTTATTTTATTTTCTATACTCTCTGGGAAATTGAATTCTTTTCATCCATTCGTTTTGGTTATAGTTTTATGCTAGTAGTAATGTTCGGCAATACAGACCTTTGTTCACCACCAGAGTTTTTCTTTACCAGGTGTTGTCAAATCAAAGAGATCATTATGGCGCTTGAAGACGCTCACTGATTCCTTCTGGTCTATCATCAACTTCATTGTAGTTTTCTTTACAACTATGTTTTCGGTGAGTATCACATTTAGTTTGCATTTATTACTTGTGCAGTTAAAAAAAATAAAAATAATCTGTAGTGCTGTTATTTGGAAACATAATGCATGTGCTCTGTGTTGCAGATGGAGAAATCAGATGCTTATAGGAAATCATCTGGGTCCAGCAAAAAATGGGATGGTGGTGGCCCTGGTGGTGGAAGTGGCCCTTACGGTGGTGGTCCTCCTGGACCTCCACGTGGGTTAGACAATGTTCGTGGATTGAGGGATGTTCGTGGTGCAGATCATAGTAAGCTCCTTTTTCCTCATTCGATTGTTACTTTGAACTTTGGATTGTTGTATTAACCTATATTATTCATGGTTCAGGCTCACTTCCTGCCTGTGGTTCCTGCTGCGGTTAATAGTCATTCATCTAATGTTAACTATCGGAAGTTGTATTGTGACATAGTGTGTATAAACTCGAAAGCTGGCATAAACTCAGGCTTTGCAAATTGAAAATTCTCGAGTTTGTTCCTACACCTTGTAGTTTTGGATACTTATATCTACATAGCACTTTCGTCTGATTATTTAAACTTGTTATATATTAAAAAAAGTTTTATTGTGTATGTGGAATAATGATCTCCAAATTTATTTGTTTGAATGTATGATTCTGCTAAAGATATGAAGTGATCATTTGGTTGATGAAAGAATATATAGAGGTCTGAATCATGATTACCATTTACCATCTACACAAGTATACAACTTGAATTGACAAGGAATTTTCAAATTTACAAAATCAACCAATTAGAGACTCTCCACATATGAATATATGTAGATTAGCCCAGTCTAGTATTCTTATAATGTCTTATGTGTCAAACTCTCATTAAAAAAATTTCCTACAAATTTTCATATGATGTCATCATTTTTTTTTTTTTTTTTTGCCTTTTCATTTTATTTGCTAGAAACTGGAACCAAGTAGGTATAAAACTAAAAATTCGAAAAACTTGACTTTGACATTAATATTGTTGTGCTTCCACTCTAAATGTATAAACTCATTAGATAATGCAATATTTTATACGAAGTATATTTTTTCTAGCCATCATTTTAGTATATTTTCAATAACATAGTAAATATTATGATGTAGTATTAAATTCTAATCATTTAAAAAAAAAAAAAAGGATGGTGTACATATTTTTTATTTTATTTTCTTTAATATTTATAGATGAACAAACTTTATTTTTTCAAAATAAAAAGCGATCTAAGTCATGTTAAAAAGTTATCAACAAAAGATATAAAAGAAATATGAAAAATTGCTCATCACCACCGTGTAATACGAGGGTACTAATCTAGTTTTTAATATTTTAAAATTATGTTAAGACTCCTTAAAACTCAACTAAATTTAGATCTTCATTCCTCATACTCATTTTAAGATTTCTTAAATGTTGTGCTTTGGTATACGTATAGGCAAAATGCAGTGTATAGAGTAATAACTAATAAGTAGAGTTTTAAGTTAAGTCTTGAATTTCCAAGACTCCGTTCAAGACTTTGTTGAGGCTTTACTTCATAAATGCATATATTTTATGAAGTCTTGTCTTAAAACAATTTCATAGTGATTTGTTGATGTCATGTTGAGTCTTAAGACCTAGGGCTTAAGTAGAAAATAAAACTTGACACTAGTGACTTAATGAGACTACGTATTTCAAGGTCTGATCTAGAAGACATGTGTGTGTTTTTGTAATTTATAACCAAATTTGTATTCAGTGGTGATAGTCTACATGAATTAATAGGAGCTGTATTAATGAGGGGCCTGGGCAGATTGTAAGATGTGTGTAAGTGGGTTGGTTACATCTATAGAGTGAACCACATTCACCCACGTCACTCTTTCATCATAATTTGTGTAGTGAAGTTAGGCCGAAGATCAGCACCCCCCAATCTAGAAGATCAGTTGTCCTCTTCCGTAGTGTTGTTATATTAGCTTTGATAAACCATCAGACCATTTATATCTATTTTTTTTGAAACTTTAGTATCGGGGGTAGTTGCGCTAAATGTGGCTATATAACGGCTTCACCTTTTCTGCATGACTTGCATTATTATAATATCTCCAATCTTCTACTAGTAGTCCGTCTATTACTTTTCTTTGAAAGGGAGTTGCATGTTGTATTAGCTAGCCTAGTGATTACAAGAGAAAAACATCCGAGTGAGGATCCTAAACAAGTAACAATGGAGGTAGAAAAAGTGCAAAACATAGCCTTAAAGTTCAATAACAACAACAATAATAGCAGTAGAATAATAGAAGAGAGCAGCATTCCAAAGGAGTTCATAAGGTCAGAGAATGAGCAGCCAGCAATAACAACGGTGCATGGTACTGAACTTGAAGTGCCAACCATTGATTTGAGCGAGGCCGACGAAGATCAACTGGTTGATTTGATTTCAAAGGCCAGTGAAGAATGGGGTTTATTCCAAGTCGTAAATCATGGGATTCCAACACAAGTAATTCAGGATTTGCAAAAAGCAGGCAGGGATTTCTTTGAGCTTCCCCAGGAAGAGAAGGAAGTCTATTCAAAGCCACCACCTGGTTATAAGGGTAGTGAAGGCTACAGCAACAAGCTTGGTAAGGATATTGATACTGTTAGGCCTTGGGTTGATCATTTGTTCCACAACATTTGGCCTCCCTCTGCTATCAACTTCCATTTTTGGCCCAAAAATCCTCCATCTTACAGGTATGTATATTCTTCTTCTTTTTAATATGCTCATTCTTGCTTCCTTCTTGACTCGAATATTGATTATTGCTCAAACATGGAACCAACCAACCAGGAAGGCGAATGAAGAGTACGCGAAATACTTAATTGGGGTAACAGAGAAGCTGATGAGATGCTGGTCAAAGGGACTGGGTTTGGAAGAGCATAAGATAAAAGAGGGAGGAGGCGGTGATGAAATGGTGTATCTGGCTAAGATCAATTACTATCCACCATGTCCTCGCCCTGAATTAGCACTTGGAGTGCCGGCTCACACCGATTTGAGTTTGCTTACTATACTTGTTCCCAATGATGTAGCCGGCCTTCAAGTTTGTAGGGATGGTCTCTGGTACAATGTCCGCTATATTCCTAATGCCCTCATCATCCACATCGGTGACCAACTTGAGGTACTCTCCGCTAACTATTCTTTTTACTCTCTGACTCCGCTCATTTTCTTACCTTTAGGCCTTACCATGAATGTAATCACAGGTTCTCAGCAATGGGAAATACAAGGCAGTGCTTCACAGAACAACTGTTAACAAAGAGAGAACAAGGATGTCATGGCCCGTCTTCATTGAACCCCCACCACACCACGAGGTGGGGCCTGTCCCCGAGCTCATCACCGAAAAGAATCTGGCCAAATATAAGACTAAGAAGTTTGCTGATTACAAATATTGTAAACTTAACAAGCTCCCTCAGTGATAGATAATATGAGTTTGAACTATGTGGTTCATCTACTTTTAAACTACCTTTTACAGTTCCTGTATCTTTTTTACAGCTTTTTTTCTTAAGAGAAGTTTCATTTCGTATCCTGGCAATTTTGCCTATGATTTGCTTTCCAATAAAGCCATTGCTTTCACTACAATCCATTGATAGAAAACAGTTCATTTTCAGAATGATCATAATACAGTGGCCAAAAGTTCTAGCAGAACTTTGTCTAATGTTTAAAACTCCTAGGGGCGAGACAGCTGAGAAGTATCAAAAGCACCAATGTGTGCTCTTTGATGGATTAACAAAAAATCTGTAAATGGAACTAAGTCAAAGTAAACTGCTGACTGTAATTAGAAAGGATCATAAGTTAAAGCAAATTTTTTTTGTCAATTTTAATACATCAGAACATGTTCTGTGTCTTGATCTCATATACAGAAGACACTGATAACTGATAATCAGAGTTCTGATGTATTATTTTGTATCTAACTATATATACACTTCCATGGTATTACAAAAAATTCAACTATTACAAAAAATGAAACTTGCCTAATCAACATGAAACTAGCACTGAGTATTGTGTATTTTCGTGATGAACTTAAATTTTAAAGATACTAAAAAAATAAATAAACTCAGGCTCTAATTGTACCCCAATGTCCACACAGGTACTGAGTATATCAAGGTTCCCAAGCCAAATGATATCAGGAGGGTGATCAATGCATATACGTATGCCCTCCAAGGATGACTGCTCTCTCTCATTGCATTATATTCGGCCATGAATGTGGAGACAGTACTTAGGCATCCCAAGAGGCCAAATTGTATCCCTGAGGAAACCGTGTCACAATCCTTTGTATTGACCTACACCAAGTACACAAAACTTTCAGATACTCAGCTAAAGGATTACCTATAAAGCTTAGCAATACTTTTAAAGCATTGAGCACATACTTCTATTTTTCAACATCTAAACTGAAAAATTCATAAACTCAAATTCAACAACAAAGGTGTGCAAGATTGCAAGTGTTTAGCCAAGGATCAAGAGCAGCCACAAAATGTCAAAATGGATTAAAAGATTAAGCAATGAGGCAATTGATGCTAACAAACATCTAATGAGGCAACCATGTATCTAATTTTGACAGTATTTAAAGCAACCACAATTGCCTGCAATAAGCCTTAAAGGCACATCAACCAAGCCCACTATTATGATAGTATGAGTAAATAGAAAAAAAACATGCAAAGTAAGCATCTCACCGCTTTTTTCACAGTAGCAAGAGCTGCCATCACGCATGCTGCGGACACATTAGCAGCCAATGTCCCAAATGGGATCCATTTCCACCTTCCTGCTTTCCCCAATCCACGTCCATTGAATCGAGCAAGCCACCACCTCAACCAAACCCCGAAAGGACCAACTAGGCATCCCAACCAAAGTTGAGCACCACTGCCGCCATTTTTAAATTCTTTGTTCTCCAAGATCCCACTTGTGGTCCACAAACCAACCCACACCAACATCAATATTGTTAGTACTATCAAGTGACTCTTAAAGTTATTCACCCTCAACTTACTGAAGCTTGAACTATTTCCAGTCCTTTCAAGAAGCCACCTAAAACCCTTAGCTGTCTCGATTCCAATAATAATAGAATAAGCAGCAAGAAACAACCCTGCAAGTAACAAAAGGTGAGGATATACTGAGATCATAGATGATGAACTTTCTATGTACTTACTGAAAAAATATTTATAAACAAAGTAACAAAGCCATGGCCATAGTTAATATACCACAAAGGTCACAACTCACAAGTAACAAGTCCCAATGACAACATTTCCATAAAAAACAATTACCTACGAGAAACCCCAGTACAGCGAATACCCAATGCCCATTGACGCTAAGATCGAGCATTTTCTGATTCCAACCACTGAAGGTGGTAAGGCTTCCAAGATAACCAGTGGAAAGTCCAACTGCAAGGTGATCTGACATGTGTGATATCTTGCCTTTGAATACTACACCCAACCATCCCATTAAAAATGAACCCACCTGCAAAATGCCCAAAGTTCTGTAAGAAAACATAACCAGTCCTATTGTCTTCGTTTGTAGAGGCAAAAGAACCAATTTTAGAGAAACTGTTGTTTAGAAAATTTCAAGATGCATAGAAGAGAAAACTAGAACCTTCTCCTAAGGAGCTTGCACACCTGAAAGTTGGTTACTTCTTCAATTCTACACATCCAGCGAATTGAATCGAAAGGATGGTCTATCATGTAAGGCAATTCGATTAGAAAAAGAATAATACCATGTTAGATGGAAGATCAAGATATAGGATGCTCTTGTCACTCGTCACACCTATAACACTAGAGCCAAACAGTTTCTGCAGTAGAAACCTGGTAAGGACCTGCAAGATCAGATATTGCTAAGTGAAGACTCAAGATACAATCCCAACTTGCAAAAGCCTGAAGTCATTACACGGTGAGATTTGAGAAACACAGAACAACTGCTTAAAATTCTCCTTACTGCAAGAAAATCATGGATGATGATAAAAGCTCTTACCCCAAGAATTCCAAAGACAGACAAATGTATGAGGTAGGCACAATATTCAAAAAATGGTGGCAGCTCCTTCTTCTCCTCCTGTAGTCAAATAATGCACAACATGAAGTTGAAGCAAATGAACCAGTCACATTAAACAATGATTCAAGCAAAAGGGGAAGCCTATATCTAAACGTGAGCTTACTTGTTTATTGTGCAAGAGAGCACTTGTGGAGGGTGGAGTTATGATTTCAGACACCAGTGGTGACACTGGAGATATGGTGTTTGTGGTGTGATCATGAGACCAAAAGCCATATGAATCCAGTAATTCTTCTGCATTTGGAAAAGCGATCCCTTGTTCCATGGATGATTGGACGCTCTGCCTCTGACTTCCTCTTCTGCTAACTATCCTATCTCCAATATCCCCAGCCAATGAAACAGATTCGTTTTCTACATCCTCGTCCAGATAAGGGCGAGAAGCACCTGACAGGCTAAATACTCTTCGCAGTGAGGCACCACTGCTGCTTGCTTGAGCTATTGAGTCACCATGTGTCAGCTGATTTCCAGGTCCATTTTCTGCAGCATTTTCAACAGACAATAGGAGACCACCAGCCAACTGATGTCTGTTAACATCAAGTGCCTGGTCTCCAAGTTCTGCTGGAGAAAGATTATCATTTGAATGTGAGTTAAATACAGCAGGCAGACTAAAAGAAAGGCCTCCAACCGATGAACTGGAACTGTCAGTTCGTCCCAGAGAAGCACTATGCGTTGCTTGTGAATCGGTAGTTACATGTTTTGCACTGATCTGGTCAGATTCAACGGCAGCCATTGGTCCGTAGACAGCTTCACTAGAAGCAGGAAGAAAATCATCAGGTTTTAGTATCCTTGACAAAGTGGACAAAGGACATAGATGTGAGACCAAGGTTTAACATCTACCCCAACTTGTTTTCTTATTATTTAGTAATAGTGCATTAGAATAGTAGTATGATTTTATGGTATAATCATGAAAATGTAAAACAGACAGAAAAGAGAACGATAGAGATGACAAGATTGGATAATTATTCTATAGCATTAATCTGCTGGAAATCAGCTAATAATCATGAAGCAGGTAGCATAAATTATTGTTATACAAGTATATGTTATTAGTTGTAATGGTCAGTTGAAAACAATAAACATAAATGTACGACTTTCAAACGATAGTAGACTCCAAGAAGATAGTGACAAATTCATAAATCATTCTGATGGATCAAATAATAGTATAAGCTTCTAATCCAAATGAGGTGATATAAACAAGAGTGAGTATTAATAAGTAAAGCTCAAACTCCGTATTACATTTGATGATTAGAAAGAAAGAAATTAGTGGTAATATGCAAATTAGTGAGAGAGTATGTACTTTGTAGGTCAGCATTTGACATTATGGGTAATTGAGGCAAATTAACAAGTATATTAATGATTGATATAATAATATCTCAAAAAAGAACTTTATAGGTGATAACATAGAGGAGTTGGAAAAAGGAAATAAAGACAAAATGGAAGATGTGTCCTCCATTAACAAGGCAAAAAGTGAAAACTCAGGATACACCCAAAACTAACACGCGACACCCCTCAACAGTTAATTTATTTAACCTATTAAAAAGTTAAAAATCCAACAGTAAAGATACAATCAATTAAAACTAATTGATTAATAGGAATAGCAAATCATCAAATAAGAGAGAAAAGAAAGGGGAAAATATGATGAGTGCAGCAAAAGCAAAAAAGGGGGGGTGACGCAAGAAAGAAAGAAGAGAGGAAGTTTACCATTGAATTGCGAGTCTTGAAGCTGAATGTATACGCTCCGTCACAGAAGAGGAACAAGGTAATGTTGTGTTGATGACAGAGAAAATTCAACAAACAGGAATCCAACGAGGTAGAGAGAGAGAGAGTCCTGCTCCAACACCAACCCAGCCAACCCCGTGAGGCATGAGGTCTCATATGGGATTTTTGCCAACCCACATTGACGGTTGACTTTTACCCTCTTTTTTCCTTTTACTGGCACTTGCACAGTTGCACCTAGGCCCAGTAATTTGGGGTGTTCAATCTATACACCGCATTGGACCGTCATCCAGAAAAAGTAAAATAATGTCAATTATTATGGAACGAAGAGAGTATTCTTCAATCTCCAGTCTGATTTGGTCCAAAATCTTCTAATAAATGACTTTTAATTGTATCAATAATTTGTTAAAAAAAATTGTGCATGTATAAATCGAAATGATTTAATTTAAGCTTCAACATGTTGGGAAGAATTTTATATCATGAGCAATCTAATATATCATATCATATCATATCATATCACTAATAAATAAAGTCAGTCTCGCAGTCAGACCACGAGACAGCGACACTTGGCATTTTAGTTATTCGCCAAGTGTCACACCACGTTGGCGAAAACAAGGTATTATTGTGACATATATAATGCTAAGTAAGCGAATTTTGGATAGATTTTTTAAGATAAAATTGTTGTATACAGTTTTATTGTCGATATATTTCTAATATTTCATATATATACAAAATTAATCATAACTTTTAATAAATATCCTATAACTCGGTTCTATTTACATCATAAAATTTGTTTTAAAAAGTTTTTTTAAAAATAAGATCCATTTATAATACATTAATTTATTTTAAAAATTAATAGTGAATGTTGGTAAAAATACTTTCAGTTCAGTAAAAGTAATTCAAGTTCAATAAAAATAATTTCAAGTTAATAATAACATAGATATATTTAATTTATTCAAAAAAATAGAGAATATGTAAAAATAAGTTCTAATCAGTAAAAATAACTAGATGAAGCCCGTGCGATGCACGATTTATTAGTATTTTTTAAAACAAATATTTTTATATTTATGTGATAAACGTTGTACGTAGTATATCATTTAATATTTTTATTTTAAAATAAATTGTGAATTTTTTTTTCATTCGTTATATATTTAGATAAAATTCCTAATTTCAAAAGATAAAATATTATATTTAATTAATTTAAATTTTAAAATCTCATTCGCTAATTTTGCATATGTGTCATTTGAATTATTTAAATCTAAGAGAATTTACAAATCTCTTATTTGATTGGTTATCAAAAAAATTTATAATCTTACATGGCGCTTTAAGGAAAATTTTATCCTACGTGGCTCTCTAAAAATATTAGAATTATATCGATAATAAAATTCTATATAATAATTTTATTTTAAAAAACCTATCCAAAAATCGCTTACTTAGCATCATATGTGTCACAATAATAACTATTTATCTCCTACGTGGCGCGACACTTGGCAAAAAATTAGAATGTCAAGTGTCGCTGTCTCGTGGCCTGGCTGCGAGATCGGCTTTATTTATTAGTGATATGATATTAGATTTTTGTTTGCTAATATAAAAATACTTTCAGTTCAGTAAAAATAATTTAAGTTCAATAAAAATAATTTCAAGTCAACAATAACATAGGTATCTATTTAAAAGCAAAACTACAAAATGTACATTACTATATAAATCATCAAAAGGGATTATATGACCGTATTTAGGGAGTGTTTGGTTGGGGGTTTTCAAGAAAGGGAAAGGTAATCAACTACCTTGAATCCCTTTGTTGCTGTTTGTTTGACAAAATCAATCATTCCTTTTACCCCTCTCATTCCCCAACCTTCTTCTACTCTCATTCCCCACCCCCCCCCCCCCCAAGGGAATCACTCTCACCCCCAAACTCCTCTTCACCCAACTACCATGACCACCTAATAACTACCCTTCAACAACTTTGAAAACACCACACAACCACCAAAACCACCTAGCCACCAGAACGTCCCTAGCCGCCGCCACCACTGCCTAGCCACCACTAGAGTCGTCCCTAGCCGCCGACACCACTACTTACCTCTCCCTCTCCATAAAATGGTCGCTCGACCCTCCTCATCTCCGTAAAACGACTGGCATGCCCTCCCTCAACTTCCCCACTCCTCGTCGACCGTATTTGTACTTCATTTCGATTTCTTGGTCTAGCCGGAAAGCAATCGATTTTTGGGAGGAGAGGAAGTACGGCTTCGAGGGTGGTTGGGAAGGGTTTCGAGCGTGGTTGGAAAGGGTTTCAAGGGTGGCTGGGTGGTTGGGGAAGGGTTTCTAGGGTTCATTTTTTCGAGGGTGGGGGAAGGTTTTCGGGGGAGGGGAAAGTTGTTTGGGAGGAGAGGAAGTGCGGCGAGGGGCAGGGCAGGTACGGCGAGGGGCGGGGTGGCTTGAGAAGTAGGATAGTGAAGAAAGAGGGAGTTGTGTAGTGGTGGTGGTGGTGTGGTGGTGATGTTGTGGATCTGATTCCCTTTGATTTTTAAAACAAACAACACATTAAATTTGAGGGATTTTCATTCCATTTTCTTTCATTCCCCTTGTTCATTCCATTCCCTTTACCCCATAAAAACCAAACGACCCCTTAATATTCATACCAAAAGTTTATCCTAAATAATCTTATCAACCATCTAGGTAGCGCCCGAGCACAAAACTAGTAACTAATATATAAAGCTAAACTTTTAGCCAGGCCACGAGACAGCGACACTTGGCGTTTTAATTTTTCGCCAAGTGTCGCGCCATGTAGACAACAATAAATTATTAGTATGACATATAAGATAAAAATGTTAGATAGATTTACATAGATTTTGTAAGATAAAAAAGTTAATTTAGAGTTTTATTTTCAATAAAATTTGGATAGATTTATAAGATTAAATTGCTAGATTAGAGTTTTATTTTCAATAAAATACCAATATTTTATACCTTTCACTAATTATAACTTTCAAGAAATCTATTTTTAGCCCATAGGTTTCCTAAATTATGACATAAGTGAGTAAATGAAAAAATTTCCTCAAAACAAAATAAAAAATTGGTGGAATTAGCCCATAAGTTTAGTGATAAGGGTTTATATTACTATACTCCGTACAATTAGTAGTTGAAGTAAAATAAGGATTATAGCAATATATTTTTTGATACTATTATGCAACATCGGATTAATTTTTTTTTTGAAGGACATTGGATCGGATTAATCAAGCAGAATTAATTAAAGAGAGAATTTTCGTATCATCTTTCTCATATATAGTGTATATTTCTATAATATATATTGCGCTCTTACAAAAATCAATGGTATCATTCGTCAAAATATCCTAAATCAAAAGGGATATACACCTCTTACATAACAATGTTTGTATCAATGATATGTTTTAAAATTTGGCATATAGATTAAAATTTTATTTTAAAATTCAATAAACAAACCGGGTATCGTCACCAGAATTAAAATTCCAAATAGGCAATCATCTTTCAAAAAAAAAAAAAACCTAAAAGTCTAGGAGCCGAAGATTTACTTTCGAACCAAAGGTTTTTAATAAAGTCTAGGAGTTCAAATTGTTAGATATCAATGAAACCATAAAATTAAATTACTCATCCAATTATGAACTTTTAAAGCAACAAAAGTTTCAAACGTGGATAGATTTAGACAGTAGTAATAATGCCTTTGAGAAAATAATTATTACTTTAAAATTATTTTATAAGTAGGCAATTAATGTAAGGATTTTTAAAACATAATAAAGATATATATTGCGGAGGGAACGCGGGGTATCGCCCGGGGTACGTACTAGTATCATATATATAACTAATATATAAAGCTAAACTTTTAGCTAGGCTACAAGACAACGACACTTGGCGTTTCAACTTTTCACCAAGTGTCACGCCATGTAGGCAACAATTAATTATTAGTATGACATGTATAAGATAAAAATGTTGTATATATATATAGATAGATTTTGTAAGATAAAAAACTTATTTAGAGTTTTATTTTCAATAAAATTTGGATAGATTTGTAGTTGGTTTAGAGTTTTATTTTCGATAAAATACCAATATTTTATATGTACAAATTAAATAATTTCTCTATTAAAAAATAATTGAATTATAACTTTCAATAATTATTATCTTAGTAATTTATTATTTTTATATCATAATATTCATGTTAAAGAGTACTTCAAAATAAATCCAGTTATGGTATAACTTAAAAATTATAACGCGCAACTTTATGAGCGGTAGTACTATATTTTTTTATTGTACAAGTATGATTGTCAAGTGATTATTAATCCATGAGTAGAAAATTCGAATAACATATATATTTTTCTTATATATAGTGTATAATATTTCTATAATATATATTGTGCTCTTACAAAAATCAATGGTGTTCTACGTAAAAATATCCTAAATCAAAAGGGATGTAACAATTTGGATATGTTTTAAAATTTGGCATATAGATAAAAATTTTATTTTAAAATTGAATAAACAAACCGGACATCGCCTCTAGAATTAAAATTCCAAATAGGCAATTGTCTTTCAAAAAAAAAAAAAAAAATCCTAAAAGTCTATGAGTCGAATACTTACTTTCGAACTAAGGGTTTTAAATAGATTTAGACATTAGTGATAATGCCTTTGAGAAAATAATTATTACTTTATAATTATTTTATAGTAGCCAATTAATGTAAGGGTTTTAAAACATAAGGATATATATTGCGTAGGGACCCTGGGCATCGCCCGGGGTACGTACTAGTATATATAAAGGGGAGTTTTTTTCCGAGTTTTTAGAAAGCCACGTAGGATAAATTTTTTTAACGTGCCATGTAGGATTATAAATTTTAGTAATAGGCAATCAAATAAGAGATTTGTAAATTCTTTTAGAATTAAATAATTTAAATGCCACATAAGCAAAGTTGGCGAATGAGATTTTAAAGTTTAAATTAATTAGATATATTATATTATCTTTTGAGATTAGTAATTTTATCAAAAAATATAAAACAAATGAGAGTAAATTCACAATTTATTTTAAAGTAAAAATATTAAATGATATACTACACACAACAAATAAAATAACAAGTTTATTATATAAATACAAAAAATATTTGTTTTAAAAATAAAAATAAACCATGCATCTCACGAGGTTCATTTTGTGATATACTATGTATAACTAATGAAATAACAAATTTTATCATAAATACAAATAGTACTAGATGGAAGCCCGTGCGATGCACGGTTTTTTCATCTAAGATTTTTAATTATTTGATTTATTGTATTTAATAATTTCAGGCAAAATTACAAAAGTTTAATATTTATTTTTTTTACTATAATTTATAATGAATTTATTAAATATAAATAATTTGTAAATATGATATTTTTTCATCTAATTCGTTTTTACTAAATTCATAATATTTAAATATAAATATTATTAAATTGTAAATATGAATTTATTAAATATAAATAAATTGTAAATATGAGAAAGGAAATATTGATACTCATAATATTTTTTATTTAAATAGAATATATTTAAATAATATGTAAAATAATTAGATGAAAGCCTGTGGATGCACAAATTTTTATACATATATCTCAAGAATTTAATAATTTCAGACAAAAAAAAATAAAAACAAATAATAATTTAATTAAAATGATATTGTCAATTACAAAAGTACAATTTTTTTTAATGTAATTTATATCGCGACTTCATTTATTGTTATTTTGTATTTTATTCATTATTCTTAGTTATATGACAATAATATGATATCTTTCAAAAAAAATTTTGTAAATATGATATTTCATTGATTACATATTAGGATAAAATCTTTAATGTGAAAAGATAATAATTTTTTATTTTTCAAATAATTTATATCCTAAATCATTATTCGTTGCTTTTTACACTTGAAATTAAACTCTCAAATCCATATATCATTATGTATATTTCTTGTGATCTCTTGATCTCTAACAAATTATCTGTCTTTTAAAATTTTTAGACATAATTTTTTTTACAGAAGGTAAAGTTTTTTATTGGGTTAAAAGTTTTAAATTTTTTTTATGAAAAAAACATCTTATAAATCGGGTATTTAGATAAAACCATTAATTTCATAAGATAATTTTTATTTTTTTTTAATAATTTAAATCCAAATATCCTACGGTTTTTAATACATAAAATCTCATAAACATAATTTTTGTAATTAGATTATATTCATAATATTTTTTACATTAAAAATAAAGTTATTAGATGTAATATTTCGATGTAAAAAAAATTTGTATTAAAAAAAAAAATTCGATAGGGTCACCAACTTAGTTCACACCAATATCTCTTCCATCTAATAAAAGTGGATAAATAGAATATGTTAACAAAAATAAAATTTATATAAAATTAATCTTTATAGGCTTATAAAATAAATTAAAATATTTACCAGAAAGTGAATAATTGTTGTGAAATTAATCTAAAAATTGTAATTATACAAAATTAAATTTATGCATTGGAATTTTTTCATCTAAATGTCACAAATTTTAATTTAATTATAATTAAGGAATAATTTTTATTTCTTATCATAAACACTATCAAAATTTATCTAATAATAGTACGTATATAAATCCTATATCTAAAGATGATTATTTTAAAAGATAATTTTTAGTTTTTTAAGTAAATTTAATCCTAATAAATCAATATTCGTTGTTTTTACTTACGTGAAAAAATTCTTAAATCTCATTCGCCAATTTTGTTTAGGTGGCAAACGAATTTTTTAATTCCAAAATAAAATAGAAATCTAATTTTTAATTGGTCGAAAATATACCTTTGCCTATGTGACGCTCCGAATGCTCTTGAAAAATGCCTACTTTATTTATATATATTAGATATGTTTCAAATAATACAAACAAACCGTGCATCGCACGAGCTTCAACTAGTTTTTATATTAAGGGTGTGTTTGTTTTATCTTATTTTATCAGTTTAAACAAATTTAGTTCAAATTTTAAGTTCACACACACACAAAAAAAAAAAAAAAAAGTTTAGTTTTAATGTCAAAACAGAAAAGGGACCATATTGAAGGATTGACAAAAGTCTAATTTTGTCATCACTAATTATATTTGAATTTTGCCACGCTAAGATTTATATGAATTTTGCCACCACTGAAAATATAATAGTGTACTTCCTATGAATTTTTTGTAACCACTAAGATTTATGGTCCTAATTTGAATTATTTGGAGCCACTAATACATATTTACTGTATGTATTTGAATAGTAAGGAATAGGATGATGATGATGCTAACATGCATTGACGATGTGGTTCTTGTGGCTATCTAACAAATGGGAGTCCAATCAAGTGGCTTGCTTTGCGTCGAGTAAGGGTAGATATATCAGCCATTAACACTTGATTGGTTACTCTTCCTGTATAATGTTTAAAAAACAAAAATGGCGTTGTCCATACGCCAAATATTCTTAATCTAGAAATTATAATTATATCAAAATAAATCGTAGTAAAAGGCTAGATAGATGTCCATCAGATTAATTGGTCAAGGTCATTCAAATTTTAACATACTACTACTACATGGTACGTAGTAGACTAGTACTCGTAGCAGGCGAAGTACCCGATGTTATACTTGTTTGAGCCGTAAAAGACACAAAAAAATGATAAGCATTGAGAGTATAGCTGAGGTGATATCGAATCTAAATATCTGATTGTGTGATCAATTCATGGGCTCGTCCTTCCACATAGCGTCAAGAGAGGTGTCTCAATCATGATTTCACATACTAATCAATTAATCAATGTACAAAAAGAATCAATAGCAGCCATTTGTTAATAATTTAGAAAGAAAGAATGGCAGAAGGAAGCAAGAGGTTTAGAGGAACGGTTAAGTGGTTCAATGGCTGGAAAGGGTTCGGGTTCGGGTTCATTACCCCCGACAACAGCGATACAGCTTCCGAATTCGTCCACCAGACTTCCATCCAATTCGACGGATTTCGTACTCTTTACGACGGCCAACGGGTAGAGTTTCAGCTGGACCTCGCCGAAGATGGTAGAAGCCGAGCTATCGACGTGGTCCCTCTAGGAAGACGCCGCCGCACTGGCGTTGTGGAGTGTTATAACTGTGGCAGATTGGGCCATTTTGCTAGGGATTGCTACGCTGCTCCTGCTCATGCTCATGCTGAGCCTGGACAGGGCCGTGGATTTGACGGCTCCCGTGGCCGTGGTGGTGGGAGGAAAGGGAGAGTGGACTGCTTCAACTGCGGAGAGGAAGGTCATTTTGCCAGGGATTGTTCCAGTTGATCTCTTTCTTTCTTCAAAGACATGCTACTCGTATTGTATTTGCAGTCATTCTACTGTAATAACTGTATAGGTTAAATGGGTCTCGTCTGCTTCCACTTCTGCGCCTTGTTATTCTAGTACATATACTTGTCGGTTTTAATCCATCATTTGTAACAATACTCCGATTGGTATAAAATCTTGAATGATACTGCGTATATATAGTCCGTATTTTGTTGGCACTTGAAGAGATCATGATGTTCAACGTAGGAAGAGAGTTACAGCATGATGTAAATTAGACAACGTTGTAAGTGAAAAATTACGTAAAGCAATCATGTTTTAAGATACTAGGTATCTAAAATAGGATGTAAATCAGACTTTGAATTCTTGTGCCTTGGGGATAGCCCAGCCGCTACTTATACATTGTGCCAAAATTGTTAAGAGTAATCCTTAGATTATGTGAGTATGTGACATCATATTGTGCTTGTGTAGTTGTGTGTTTGAGTGTGTTAGTTTTCTTTTTTCCCTAATACGGTAGAGGACTAAGATTTCATGTGAAAAATTCCCTGGAAGTTAGAACAATGTTGGTTGGGAGTAACGGTCTCACTCTTTGAACCCAGTTAATTAATTGTTGCAAACTTCATGGCTAAATTTACACCACAATAATGTTCATGGTTAGGCCTGAGTACCTGATTCGGTTTGGTAGCAATATGTCCATATTATATTTGAGTCCAAAATCCAATCTGTAAGTTGCCCATAACTTGCTTCATGTCATCTTTATAAACATATACCCACCTAATGTTGGGCCAGTGTTATTAAGCCCATATTTTCTTATAGTTATGCACTGAACCTTAAAAGTTTCAAATTCACTTCATCTACTACCCTACTCTAAGATACATAGACACTTCATCCAATTGCCGTGTTCGTGTCAGACACCGACACTTGTGGAACACACGACGATACGTCTCGTACCGTATTCTACTATGATATGGGTTGTTTAACTTTTGTAAATGAGAAAATTTAAGTAAAGTAAGATAAATTTGGTAATTAATTATCAAATAATTTAGGTACCTTCATATATAGCTCATTGTTAATATGATACAGTATGATCTAATGCGAGGACTGAATGACAAATATATGGTCAAATTTTTATTATTTATTTATTTATTTATTTATTTATTTATTTATTTATTTATTTATTTTAATATATAATATGAATTTTAACATCCCGTACCCGTGTCCCTTATTTTGAGATAAACGTTTGCCCATATCCATTTCGTACCCATATCCATGTCAGTATCCGTTCTTGTACAACCTACTCTACTACTGAGTTCTGACTACTACTCTACTAGTAGCAACAATTCAGTTTGGGTTGTTTTGCGGTTATCCTGATTTGTTATGTTGCGGTTGAAACCATTAGCTCCTTTTATTTATTTTCCATAAGTTATATATTAGGGAGTAACTAACATATACAAGGACTTTCTCAGTCTTAATTAATAAGGAAGCCTCATTTTATCACAATTATAAACAAAATTTATTCATCAAATGCCAAAATCGTAAAAAAATTAGCAAATTTGCCTAGTCATCATGATATTTTCGTAATTAATCAATAATATATAGGGTCTATTTTTAATACCACAATTTTTTGTATGCGGCCTGCTGTACCGTGCGACAGGGGTTACTCGAGTTTCTCGGTCAGGGTTAAGTCGAGTTGCCGGGGTTATTCAGGAGTTTCTCACTGAGTTTCTCGGTCAAGGGTTACTCGAGTTGCCGAGGTTACTCAAGTTATTTGGTTAGAGGTTACTTAAGTTACTCGGTCAGGGGTTACTTAAGTTACTCTTGACCGAGTAACCCCTGACCGAGTAACCCCTCGAGTAATCCATGACCGAAACCCTCGAGTAATCCATAACCGAGTAACCTCTCAAATAACCCCTGACTGGATAACCCCTCAAGTAACCCCTAACTGAATCCTCAAGTAACCCCTGACCAAACTCCTTAAGTAACCCTTGACCTAACTACTCGAGTAACCCCTAACCGAACTCCTTAAATAACTCCTAACCGAGTAACTCGAGTAACCCTAACCAACCAACTCGAGTAATCTATGATTGAGTAATCCCTCGAATAACCCCAAACCGAGTAACTCAAGTTACCCTTGACCGAGTAACTTGAGTAACCCCTGACCGAGTAACCCCTCAAGTAACCCTTGAGCGAGTGAACCCCTCGAGTAACTCCTATCCGAATCCCTCAAGTAACCCCCTGACTGAGTAACTCGAGTAACCCCTGACTGAATAACTCGGGTAACCCCTAACAATATAACTCGGGTAACCCCTGCCACATGATGTGGCCTCCAGCACTAAAAAGTTGCTATTTTAATACTACTTCCGTTTCATATTTTTTGCAACTTTGGGGTATTATTTATGAGGTATAAAATATTCCAAAATTGCAAAAAATATGAAACAGAAATAGTAAAAAAAATTGTTGATTTATTTACATTTTTACCACTTGATAAATAAATTTTCTTGCACATATGTTCATATCCAACTAATCCAAGTTACAATTAATTGCATTGTACATTTGTTATCAAACTACCCAATTTGTGCTAAATATATATATATTTTTTCAAATATATATCGTATAAGCTTGTTTTGTTTTTTGGGTGCTAAAAAATGAACTTAATGGACATGGAATGTGAGTATGTGACAATCAGTAAAAAGCATCAAAGCTTAATGCATTACCATCAGATGAAGACATATGATATTCGAACACTTGAAAGTGGTTTGCCCTGTCACAAATTAAATAAAGCTAAGCTCTTTTTTCCGTTGACAATGACACTTCACTTGTTTATGGAAGGAAGGTGTAACATTCACAATTTAGCTTAGAAAAATATTCGTAATGATATGTCAACGGTGATAGTATGGTTAAATTCAAGCTTATTTCTAGATCATATATACAAAGGTAACCGGTAATAATCGGTGGTAATGCGAATAAATTTTAAATGTAAATTGGATAGAAAATTATCATTGTAATCCCCACGGTTATGCGACTTCATCTTCAAGGATGTGTTTTCTTTATGTTTTTTCATTACCATTAATAACCATTTGAAAGGAGGTATTAGGTGGGAATGAAATTTTTTAAAGAAATTATGGTTAACTTGAGGTGAGTTAACATTACTATGCGAATTAATCTTGATTCTTTTTACAAATTTACATACAAATTCATTTCCCTTACCATTATTTATGATCACTTATCAAATAGGCCGCTAGTAGAATACTCTGTATATACTTACTCTATTTTTTTAATACTTAGAAAAGGTAAAACGAAAGGATTAATTTATTCGTGTATCTAATCTACTATTTTTCTTAAAATACATCTCAAAGCGGTATGTTACTGAGTAAAGAAAAGCTGATGAATGATGAACTGATGAAATATACTTGTTACTCGGTATAATTTAATTTTCCGCTTAAGAAAATTAGTACCCCTTACTTGTAAAATAAAAGACTTAGTAAAAAGTTTCCTTTCCGCTGAGTTTAGATGAAATTGATAGAATGTTGACATTTAAGTATCAATAATTATATGTCAAACGAACCTAATATAGTTTGCTTTATATCCGTTTCCTTTATCCTGATGGGGTTGCCTTCTTTTTATACAGATTTCCTTTGATTTCTTTCACATGTTTTTTCTGGCATGGATCTATAAATTTAAAGTGTCATCTCATCTTGATTGAAAAAAAATATAATGATAGGATAGTAAGATCGATATCTATGGGATTGGAGATTACTAGCCATAAGCAAGGGTGGATAAAATGGCCTTTTCTCGCCTCTTTTAAAGTCATTGTACGTGTTGTCCTAATTAAGTCGTTAAAGCTCCATTTCCTTCTTTCGCAATCACCCATTAGTTTAGTCATCAACTCATCCTCATATATGACCATTATATATGACCATTTTAAACTGATGGTTTACTTCATATATGACCATTTTAACTGTATGTGAGATGAAATCTTACTTATAACTAAAAAAATTGTTTAAAGACTGTCAAATGAGTAGATATTAAGTAATTAACAAGTACTCCATACTTTGTATTTATTTGAAACAAGGCAAAAATTAACTATATACCTCCATGTGACAATGTGTTGCTTTTCCACAATATCATCTCCTTAGGTCAGTTTAATCATCATCAACTAGTATTACAACATGCAATTTATAAGCTTGTTTACTATTTGGAATGATTTATAAATAAATTTGACATTTTTTTTAAAATAAGTCAATAAAAAATTAGTACGGTATAATAGTAGTCATTTTAAAAGCAAGGATGACTATCATAAAATCATCTTGAAAATACTTGTAATTTTAAGTTCTAAAAAGTAAATAATCTTAGTGTAGAAAATAAAGAAAGATGGAAAACTCATTTGAATGAAGTTAGTTAGTGTAAAATATAGTTTGTCGTTAGAGCAAAATCCAGGAGATAAAAACACAAAGCAGGAATAGACAAGGAGGAGGAGGGCAAGTGATAAGGTATGTAACTAAATCAAAGGACCACCATAACCGTATGTCTGCACTGTATATATAGGCCATAAAGTTTAGGTAAAATCACTTGGATTTTTGCGTTAGTTTTTTCTTCTTCAATTCTTTTTTTTTTTTTTTTTTTTTTTTTTTTTTTTTTTTTTTTTTTTAATCACAGACATTGCATGTTACATGCCTGCTTTGGCTCGCAATTTCTATCCGACTTTCTTTACCTTGATTGTTACGCCTTTCTGAATCATGCAATATTTCGACAACTTTGTGCATCATTTTCTGTACTCTTAACTATAATATTTTTCACACCCTAAGCTAAACTGTTTGAAATTAATTAGTACATACAATCCAGGATAACTTATTATACTGATGCTAAATATTCTTTAAATACGATTTTTGTCGTGGGTTATTAAGGAGTTATATATGTTCTCGATGTTTGATAAAGCATAAACTAACTGGTAGATCCAAAGTATAAGTTTCAATATCACCGCTCTATCCTCTATGTATAAGAACAACCGCATGCAGTGGCGGACCCAGGAATTTCCGACTGGTGAGTCACAATCGATAATCAAGTATCTAAGAAAAAAAATTTACCGAACAACCAAATAATAGTACTAAAAAATACATCCAAATATTCAAAACAGTACAAAATACAACCAAATGTATGTGGAAGATTAGCAAATTCATGTTCACAATCGATAATCAAGTATCCTCTTTCCTGGATCTTGTGGAAGATTAGCAAATTCATGTTCACTTAATCTTTCACCAAAGATTGGGGCATTAGGAGAACATTGGCCTTGTTCATTTTGAGGGGAATTTTGAGTGGAATAATTAGATGGAGATGAATGTTGTTCACTTTCTTGAGGTGGACATATAGTTTGTTCACTCTGTTGAGGTGGAGATATAGTTTGTTCATTTTGTGTGGGATGTGGAAGAGAAGTTGAAGTAGGATTCTTTTTAGCAAAGAAGCTAGTAATGTTTTGCAGTTCATTTGGAGTGCGTTTTCTCTTCATTCTGAAATTTGAATAAATAATCAACTAAAGCAAGCAAAATTCCCCAGAAAAATTATTTACAAAGATCATTTTACCAAACAAACCACAATTCACATAATCACATATTCACATGGTCAAAAAGGTTCAAACTTCATCTAAAACCCAACAACATTATTACATTAAGGTCATTACTCATTAACAAAAGGTTCAAAGTTTACCAAACAAACAAGTGATTGAAGACTTGAAGTGAACAACTAACAAATCAACCAAAGTTTAATAGAATTAACTAATTAGACTTGATTAAATTGAAGATTAGAATTTTAAACTAAAAATTAGAAATCAACTTACTAGCAAAATGAGAATAGGAGATTAGACTTTAGAAGAAGCGACGAAGCGAAGAGCGGTGAGCGCAGAGCACGCTCTCGACTCTCGAGCAGTGGAGCAGGGCAGCAGGCGACTGCCGACTAGGCGAGCAGCAGGCCAGCAGGCAGTATCACAGCTTGAACAATTAACAAATTCACCATTTCACAGCTTGAAATCACAAGCTCACAGGGCAGCAGGCCAGCATCACAGCATCACAGCTTGAACAAGTATGTAAAGTGTCAATTGTCAAACATTTCACAAATTCACCATTCAGAATTTCATTGAACAATTCACAAAATCACAACAATTAGGGATTATTGAAATTGAGTTGATTATTGAACAATTGAGTTGATTATTGAACAATTAGGGATTTAGGGTTCAAAGAATCAAATTTAGTATTACTAATTCATAACTAACAAGTAATATCAATTATCAACAATTAAACAAATTTAGATGAAGACTAAGTTAATTAATTAATTTATGCGAAGAGGAACTGAGGAAGACGAAGAGGAACTAAAGTGTCAAACATTTCACAAATTCACCATTCAGAATTTCATTGAACAATTCACAAAATCACAACAATATATAACAAAATTAACAATTAACAATAATCAGTACTCAGTAGGCGTCTAGGCAGCGTCTAGGGCCACTGGGCGTCTAGCGATTAGCGAAGCAATCAAGCAATTATCAAGACAATCAAGTTATCAAGTTATCAACAATTAAACAAATTTAGATGAAGACTAACTGAGGAAGACGAAGAGGAAGACTAACCTCACCTGAATTTATGCGAAGAGGAAGACGAAGGGTCGAAGGCACGAACTGCGAGTCTGCGAAGAGGAACTGACTAACTGAGGAGTGAGGAAGATGCTTACTTGCGAAGTTGCGAGTTGCGAACTGCGAAGAGGAGGACTGGAGGAGGCGATTATGGAGGTGAATAGGTGATTGATGATGGCGAAGGATTGAAGCCTTGAAGGGAATTAGGGAAGAGGCGAATTGGCTAGGGCATGAAGGATTGAAGGCCATGAACTGAAATACTGAATTCGTGAATTTGGGAAAACTGATTTTTTTTTTTTTTTTTTTTTTTTTTTTTTAAAAAATTAACTTAAAATTTTTTTTTGGGCCTGGTGAGTCACTTGACCCACCAGGTCTAAGCCCAAGTCCGCCACTGACCGCATGCATGCTCTTAACTTATTCATATTTTTTATTTTTAATATATGCATTTTTAATAAATACGTTCTTCATGATCTTCTTATTACATACCTTAGTTTTAACATACATAGTTTATATATACTTTCTTCGATCAGTTTACTAATAGTTGCACCTTTCCACTTTAAACTTTAAAGGTCTTATCAAAGTTAAAGTTTAATATTTCATCATTATTATCATAAATCTCATTAATATACAAGAGAAAATAATCATGCATATGATACTTTACTAGCTTTATCTTAATGTATATTTGCAAAATATAAACATTCATAATTTTTTCTGATGCACTCATGCACAATTAGAGATTGATATTCATTGTTGTAAAACGAGTATATTGGAGACCGTAAAATGATAAAAAAATGAACGGAAAAAATAGATAATAAAATATGATTGGTTGGTTCAAATAAAAATATTGGGGGGATCCTCTTTGTATTTTTTTTGGGATGTGCATATGATGTTTTCTCTATATATAAGTATTTATGTATACAATTGCTTAAAAATATGATTGGTCCACGTTCACAAAACACACCAGATCTATCCATGCCAAAAACTCAAAAAGTGTTAATGTATGAAGTACAAAATTCCATGAAAAACCAAGTTTACATATCTTATCAATGAACTCACGGAAATACAAAAAGGAAAAAAAAGAAAAAAAAAGCCAAACTTTACACGCTCTATGTATTACGTACGGAGTATATAATGATCAACAGGTTTTGCGTAGCTCCCTAGAAAAAAAAAATTAAAAAAAGAAAAAGAAAAAAGCAGTTCAAAGCTTGGGCTTATGAGGAGGGCATTGATAGCACTTGGCAAAAAGGCCAAATGTGTTAACTTGCTGTATGAAATTCATCATGCTGGCCCACCCACCAAGCCCAAACCCTACCACAAACACCCACACCACTACGAATATGTTGATGCTGTACATTCCTGCCCACCCTCCTAGGAATGATGGCGGTCTCTCCACTGCGTTCTGTTCAATATTCACAGCCAACACCATTTTACTTATTAATTAACTAATACTTGGATCATATTATTATAAACTACTGTTATTCAGTATATAATGATTTACCTCACGAGCGGCTGCTGGTGCAAAAGTAATCATATGAGCCATGGCCGGAATTATATATACAGTGAAACTAACCAGTAGTGATCCAACTGTTGAATTTATGGGTCCGAAGAAAGGGAAAACAATGGCTAAAAACCATATTGGGATCACCACCGGAAGCCTCACCAATGACCGCTTCATAATGCTCTTTGTTTCATGCACGCCTAAGAATTTCTCCCACACGAAATATAGAGGAGTGCAAGCGAATCCGAATGTTATGAACTGCACAACATGCATGTATATACCAAATCTCAATTATTTAATTGCATGTTGTTATGCCAAAGCTAATTCAACATATAGTATTACTGATCTGATGTGATCAAACCTGATGTATTAACATGAGGACAATAGCAGTGTCCCTAAAACCAGTCCTAGGAAGTAAAGAGAAGGCATTGGAATGATCAAGTAGCATGTCTCCGAATGCCCAATACACTGCACTTGCTGATGGCAGGGTCAGAGTTAACACATACAATGTTGCCAACAAATATATCAACTTGAACTTTTGTGGCTTCCACATCGCATGCATTATTTCTCTGCATTCATCAGTAATCATAGCATATATAATTTGAATTAGTAATGCCACACGTTCTTTTTTTTTTTTTTTCTGAATGAATGTAGTTTAATAATTAATATTTACATATTAATCAAACATCTTCCTATCTTAACCAAGTTGATTGCTAAATTATAAAACAATTAATTGGCAGCGATAAAAAATGATCAAAGATAATCATATAATCTTACACAGTGACCGCATGGCCACCAAAAGTGTAGAGAATGTTGGTAGCACCCGTGAAGTAGAGAACCAACTTGGCGGGGCCAGAGTGCTTTACTCCGTCTACCTTAGATTATCAAAAACAGAACATAATAAAATTCGGATCAGCCAAATCAATTGCATGTAACCTCAAGCTGTAGGTGTAAAATAAAGAAATTTGAGAATATAAATACCTGGCCATGGAGGAGAGACGCAATGGTGAGATACCAGGCTGTATAGGTAGTCATGATAAGGCCTAGAAATGACCATATTCTGTAATTGTGGAATGATGGTATGAACACTGTCGTCGCACAGCAGGCACCAAATATATATGTCCATGTTCTCTTGTCCAGGCTATCATTTATGTAGTATATATTGCTGCACATTTTTTTTATTTAAATCATAACAACATATTATCATAATATTATCAATGATCATATAAATGGATTATTATTACTCGTAGTAGTAGTTTAACATTGTTTCACTTTTATCAAATTCAGTAAATAAAGTAAAGCAAGAAGCAGACTCACCTAGCACAAGCAATTAGTTGAATGACAGATCCAAATAAAAGGAAAGTGCAATTGAAGAATAGGCCAATATTTCTCCAATGTTTCCCAAGTAATCCATCAAGCACTTCAAACCACTGCAGTCATTCGATATAATGTAAAATTAGGTAGCAAAAAGAGAATTGATCAAAAGTAAACCTCTGTGTCATAAAAGTATAAAAAAAAAAAGTAACCTGAATAACATGGTTCCTAAAATCAACTTTTTCTCTCTCTTTTCTGGTTCTGTACTCGACGTAGAGTAAACTGATAAGGTAAGCAGTCCAGCTACCCATGAAGCCGTAGAAGAGTTGGAAAAGTATTCCAGATAACATCCCGAGTTGTGAGAATGAGTATGGTAGTGTTAGTAGTACTTGTGCAACCTGCAGTGGTATAGTAGTATTAATTAGTACGAGTATACATTATATATAGTGGCTATTTGATGGGATTAATATCACAAGTAATAAAATAGGTACCTGGTTGGAAGAACAGCTAAACCATGCATCATAAACAGAGCCACCATGCCATAAAAAGTTGGAAAGCTTGGTCTTGACGGAACAAGACTCTTCCGGGCCTTGTTCTCTCTCCATTTCGACATAGTTCCCAGCTACCACCGTCTCCACCTTCTCAGAAGCCATCCGATCCTAGCTAGTATAAGTTTCTTTATATATATACTGGTATCAAAATATATAGAGTTAATAAGTAAGTTTAGTTACGTTAACGATCGATGTGATCACACAAATGAAATTGAGCACTTAGCTTGTATATTTGTTAATAAATAAATAATATAGTAAGCTAAGGTAGGAAGGAGTAGGAGGACTTGATGACTTAAGTAGTCATTCTAGCTTAGAAATGAATGCGAAAGGAGCAGCTTCTTAAAAGGACTCTTATTAGAGGGGAGCAATGATTAGCTCGCTTAATTGCTTTGCTCACTTCAACCGTCCTCTATTATTATTATTATTATTATTATTATTATTATTATTATTATTATTATTATTATTATTATTATTATTATTATTATTATTATTATTATTATTAAAAAAGGTGTTTGTTTGCCATGTATATATATATGTATGAATGTATGGGATCATCGCTCTCATTTGATTGGTAGGTGATATAGTTTTGTCCCCATCTCCCACACACACACTCTCTTGCTAGCTAGCCGCGGCCATCCAACCAACATCTTTTTTTTTTATTTATTTTTTTTCTTTTTCTTTTTTATTTCCTTTTCCTCTTATTCAGGCTTTCTGTTTGGGTCACTCTCGCATGCAACCCCACGAGCGGGATGTCTCACTATCACGCCGCTTTAAGCTATCAATCCCCATGTACTCTTTTTATTTTAATTTAAATCACTATTCAACTTCATATTACATTTACTTCTATAACTAATTATATTCAAACCTATAACTACTACAAAGATGAAAACACCCTCCAACTAATGTAACTCATTCAAGATATCGTGTCTCACACCGATACTGCAATACATGGATATATCTAAATTTGTGTCAAACACACTTAAAATCTTATACTTGTACAATTTTAAAAATTAAAGAGGTAATATGAATACCTTTTTTAGCAAATTATTAAAGTAATGTAATGTTCAATTTTCTTTTTTCATGCATTCTATAATTTGTGCTTTGTTGTATCGATATTCTCTAATTGTAAACTGATATTTTATCGTATCTATATTGTGTACAAAGAGTTAATTTAATGAGATAAATTTGCAAAACGATAATAATAAAAAAGGGCAATTTAACAAACCATAAATTCTCGTACAATGCAATTTAAGTTTAAACCATAGAGCAAAAGGAAGTTTTGTTATTTCAAGGATGTTATGGTAATAAACCATAAAATAAAAGCAGTCCGTAATAAAAAAAATGATCAATTCAATAATGATGAAGTGAGAGGTTAATGTTGATGTAAAGAATGGAAGAAATGATTAAGAGGGGTGGACTTGGTGCTTATCATGATTAGCATCACACGTGTGCCAACTGGCTGGCTTTACAATAAAAGAGAAGAAAGGGCTAATTCAATTAGCGAGTAGTGTGCAGTATGTAGTCTGTTTATTTATCTAGGGCCAGGCTATGCGAGTAATCTCCGTAATAATTAGCGTATATGTAAGATCGATGTTAATTAATATAAATAGGTGAAGGCCAAATTAAAGGATGATATATAGATGTTGAAGAGCCCTTTCCACGACCTGAAAGAACATTTGGTTGCTTAGTTAGCTCCTGTACTGTACTTCATTTATTTATAGATAAATTGATGATCTCTCTCTACTTTGTGCGGGTGCGTGGTGGGAAATGCATAATCATTACTTAATAACCTAGTTGATACCAGAAACCAGCTGTAGATTAACTTTACTTAATTGATTACAAGCTTCAGACATCGGGAAGTAGCCAAGGCTAAACTTCAACTAACTGTATATGAGTAATAGGACATATATGTCACAATATAGGTGCATGCAGGAGATAACGAGATTTGGTATTTTATGCTTGGAGAGTTTTCGTTTATCACCACATCAAATCATCAATCATAATAGTAATCATCTTCATTTTTGTCTAACTTTTGCCTCACATCCACCACTAACTACCATTTTTCCAACATCGATCTCATCTTCACCTCTAGAATCGTCACAATTACCCTTTTATGGATTTTTCTTATTGGCGTATGCCGTATGTATTGTTTGCTAAACAGTAGGCTATTTAATTACAAGACTATTGAACATTATTCGATCTTGTTATTGCTCAATTCCATATTAGAGATTTAGATATGTGTATGTGTTGGTTTTCTCATTCGGCTCCTTTACCCATACTACAAATATTGCAACACTACCCTAAATCATTGACGCCTGTTGGTGTATTAATTCCAACTACATAAATAGTTGTATCTTATTGATCAACTGTGGACATATGTTTGACAATATGTAGTTTGTGTGATTGCCGTTCTAATCTCATTTGCAATATTTTCAAATTGATCATAATTAGCTCTCTAAAGTTTTACTTATGCTCTTAAGTCAGATAGATCATTAGAATTCATCACGTACACTCTTTTAGATTTGGAAGAATCATAAAGCATGCATATTGATGAAGGGCGGTCCAAATATCTTGTTGGGAAGAGATCCCCTGCATTAATTAACAGCATCACATGAGCTTTTCTGAAAGCAAGCAAGAATAGAACCAAACACAACGTGCTTGCAAAGAATGGATAAAGAATCAACCTTATTTAATTACTTTTAATGCATACTTTGGATTAATTAATCACAGGGTTGCTCTGCATAAAGCTAATAGGATAGTCTTGTCTTTTGAATTTAGATTAGAGGGATGTTTATACTATTCCCGTATTCCTAGTTTCTTTATCATTGCCGTACATTCATGTTATAAATCAATCAACCCATGCTTATAAGACAAAGAATCAGTTGCAACTGCAGGAAATTATGGACACTAAACCAATTTCATTTTTTGTATTTATTTTCTTCCTTATTTCTCAAGGTATGTATGATTTTCAATATCTATTTTTAATCACTTCATTGATTATTTGCGTACATTAATGTACGTACAATTCAAAAATTATGTTAATTATAATGCATGCAATAATATAAATCTAGGAAGCTGGATAAAAACAGAAGCAGCAAGAATATTCACCATCAAAAATGATTGTAAAGAGACCATATGGCCCGCTGTAACCCCTGGCCAAAGCTTCCAAGGAGGAGGATTCACCTTAAAACCCGGGCAATCCATGGTATTCAATGCTCCCGTAGGATGGTCAGGCCGAATATGGGGCCGAACTGGTTGTGACTTTGATCGAGATGGCAACGGCACCTGCCTCACTGGGGCATGCGGCAGATCCCTCAAATGTGGTGCCGCTGGGAAGCCACCGGCAACCTTAGCAGAGTTCACACTAGCTAAAGTAGACTTCTACGACGTGAGCCTGGTGGACGGGTTTAACATCCCCATGGCAGTGAAGCCCCTAAACGGTGTAGGGAATTGTACAATTGCAGGGTGTGATGAAGACCTTAGGAAGAACTGCCCCAAGGAGCTGTCTGTTAAGTCCCCTGATCACGGGGAGACGGTTGCATGCCGGAGTGCATGCGATGTTTTCAACACGGATGACTATTGTTGTAGGGGAGTTTATGGGAATCCGGTGACATGCCATCCCAATTATTATTCAAAATTATTCAAACAAGCATGTCCTACTTCTTACAGTTATGCTTATGATGATCCTACCAGCATTTTTACCTGTTCTGGCACCGATTATGTCGTCACTTTCTGTTCTTCCAGGTAATTCTTGTAATTTGTTCATTAATGCTCCATATAATTTTAATTTTTACCAATCATACTTGTTTTACTTGGATTTGAGGTTGTATGTATATCTATTTACTCGTATATGTATGTACAGGTCTCAGCCCGTGTGTACATACCACAACAACAAACTGATTTGCAGTAGCGGATCTATGGGATTGAAATCATTGCTCAATAGATGGCTGTCACTCACCGTTGCTCTAGTTTTCCTAATAACTTGTATAATCCACCTTTTGGATTACTAGTAATAATGTCATTTTATTTGTATTCTGTTTTATTTATTTATTTAATTTTTTTTTTTTTTTTTTTTTTTTTTTTTTTTTTTTGTCGACATATCAACAATACAATCGCTTTGTATATGTATATTATCAATTTTTTTTAATGAAATGTGCAGTGAACCACATATATACTCAAATTGTTTGACTTACATATCATATGTATCACTCTTATTTGTTACAGTATTTTAATTGTCTCTAATTTACCATTACATAACCCTATTTGTATGAAGAATTCCTTATGACTTACGCCGTGGATATATAACTGAAATTATTATTATCCCCTCCCCCATTCGCTGTCCCTTAACATTAAATTTTTTTGCTCTTCAAACCTAATCCTAAAGAGTTTTTTTCTACTCTCTTTGCATATTCACTAATACAACTATACAAGTATACAAATTGAGGGTCATTTCTCTCCTTCACATATTTACATTTGTAATAAGATGGAATTGTTTGAATTGATTGGATAAATCATCCGGGGAAAAAAAGAATATTACTATATACTTGGACCTTAATTAAGGAAGTAGAACTTCACATAATTAAGCTAATAACACATCTTGTAGTAGCATTTTCTACGAAATGAAAATATAGCACTAGGATATCTCTATCTGACATGTGTTCAATCAAATAAGCAATTGGATTTAGCCTGTGGTTAAAAAAAAATTGAGCTTGGTATGAATGTCTAACACTCTAACCCTCTCGATCTGATGGTATAATTGGCTTTTTTTTTTTTTTTTTTTTTTTTTTCTCTCTCTCTAGCAAATTATTTGGTACACTATAGTAGTGCACAGTGCTCATACATGTTGCTCCCAGTCAAATTAAATATGTTCATTGATTTTGAACTACACATATTCATTAAGTTACAATCTTTTCAATATGACCCATAACGTTCTCTTAATTTTTGAAAAACTTAATAAGAGCATGTGTTTTATTTGGGTTTAAACTACATGTTCTAGCTTTGAGTTTGGACGTGGAGGTTAGACACCTTCTGTTTGGGGTAAAAATACCCTAAACACGTGGCCCAATGGCCTAGTGACACGTGGCATCCAGTCGTTGGTCAGCAGGGCTCCAATCCTCTGCTGACACGTGTCCTCTAAACCCTAAAAGGGAAACCATCCCTTCCCCACTATAAATAGTGGAAGGACCCTCATTAATGGGAGGCTGGAACATTTGTTGTTCACATTGAATACTCCTCAAAAAGAAAAACACTTACCCCGAGCAATATTAATTGCAGAATTCTCCCATTACGCGAGAAGTAACTTCTACATTACGTGCATTCTACCTCCCGTATCTTTACTAACTTGATCGTCGGAGGCGGAGCTCCTACCCCCAGGAGTCTTCGTGATTTTGCAGGCACAGGCGTCGAAGGGCATTCTTGGAATTGTAACTCTCCCGCAGGACACATCAAAAAACCCCGAAACACCTTCATTGTTATTTTTGGGGTTTATGTTCATTCATATTACTCTTATATGTTCTTTTAATTAAGATTCATGTTCAATTATGTTCTTTGAGTTTTAATCTTTATATTCTTTGAACTTAACCTTTATATATGTTCTTCGATCGGGTGCATATATAATTAAACTAATAATTGTTTGGACCACCGAACCAAAGTGAGAGATAACAGATATACGACGACTTTGTATGTGTTGATCAAATAGCAAGTGTGTGGTGTAGTAATTAAATAGCTCGTAATCTCCGATTGTCTAGCTATGTGAGACAATACGTGCATATTAGTCCGTAGTTAATTGAAAATGAATGCTTCAAACCATGGAATTGGAATCTTAATTAGCTTGTTAAGAAAGACAAGAAGACTTTACACGCACAGTGGTAGTAGTACTATTAAGTAGGGTATATCAATTATTATCTCGTGGCTTAATAATGTAAGAAGATCCCTGGATTTTTGTGTAAAACAACTGGAAAAAGATGGAAGAGAACTTGAATTGGAGGCTAGGTTAGGTCTGGACAAAGAATCAACCAAATGTTGTTGCAAAGGCCAGGGAATGCATATTCTTATTATTCATCTTTGTCTCACGCAAATTCATTCTTTTCTCTCCTACGTGCCTTGCAAATCGCAATGCAGTCCTTTAAATCATTTTCCTTCCGCAGTTTCATCCATCTCTTTTATTATCCGTCTCAGATCATCCCGATTAATCATATCATGCAGACAAATCCAATTTCACTCACATCTTTTGTCTTTATTATTTGCTTTCTTCTTTCTATAGGTAATTACTTGGGTTTAAAGTACAAAAAGTGTTAATTAATAATGTTATGAGATATAATCAATCAATAATGCAATTACTTATTAACGTACGCAGGGAGATGGAGAATATCAGAAGCATCAACACTGTTCACTCTCACAAACGATTGTAGAGAGACGATATGGCCAGCCATAATACCAGGCGACAGCTTCGAGGGAGGAGGGTTTCCGTTAAAGCAAGGCCAGTCCAGGGTCTTCACTGCTCCCGTTGGATGGTCAGGCCGAATTTGGGCCCGGACTGGGTGCAACTTCGATCAAAGTGGAAATGGCACCTGCGTCACTGGTGCGTGCGGCACATCATTGAAATGTGCTGCCGCCGGTAAGCCACCCGCAACCTTAGCGGAGTTCACCCTGGCAAAAACAGACTTCTACGACGTGAGCTTGGTGGATGGGTTTAACATACCAGTGTCAATAAAACCCTTACACGGGGCAGGTAACTGTACAGCTGCTGGGTGCAATCAAGACCTTAGAAAGAATTGTCCCAAGGAGCTGTCTGTTAAAGCCCCTAATGATCATAGCAAGACGGTGGCTTGCCGGAGTGCATGTGACGTGTTCGACACCGATGAGTATTGTTGTAGGGGACTCTACGGCGGTCCGTCGGTCTGCCATCCTACTTATTATTCAAAGTTATTCAAGCAAGCATGCCCTACTTCTTATAGTTATGCTTATGATGATCCTACCAGCATTTTTACCTGTACTGGCACCGATTACATCATCACTTTCTGTTCTTCCAAGTTAGTACGAGTACCTTTTATTAAGTAACATGTTTTTTTTATTTTTAATCTCATATCGACTAACCAAGAATTGTGTTTAGTTAATTACTAACTTTGGAATTGATCTGGCTTAAGTATATATGTATGTATGTGTAGGTCGAAGCATGCGTGCACGTACCATGACAATAGACTAATTTGCAGCGCTTCTTCAAGGATGGACTCACATCTCAGTAAATGGTGGTCTTTCATGTTTGCTCTACTATTCCTTGTAACTTTGCGGAGTATTTAGTGATTATCTTGTAAATTCCCCTTTGCTCCGATCCTTTTGTACTTGGATTAATACATTGTAATTTTTGTTGGAAGGAGGAAGGAGGTTTGTACTTGTACATGGAAATAAATTGTTTGAATATCAATGTATCAACACGAAACCAGAGTCGACGACCAAACATGCATTTTATATATATTTGAGGTTATCTCTCATTTTGTTGATATTAATATTTATGTGGTATATATAATGAAGTAATTTTGCAGAAAAAAACTATTTAAAAAAGAGAATATTTCGTTTTTCCTATAATATACAGTATAACATTAATGTGCAACATTAATCTTCGTATTGTCCTAGACAATGGTACTAACTAAGTTCTCACCTTATGAGTCAAAAAATGATATAAACATGGTCCATGGCACCAACATTTCAGATTAGCTCAATGATATAACTTTAATTCTAAACGACACAATTAATGTACTGCATTAATGTTATCCTCTTACAAATTTGATTGTATGAAATATATCATCATTATTCATTTATACCATAAGATTTCAATAATTTTTGGTTTGGGAACATGATTATCAATGTCTAAACTAAATTATACCACATCTCTAAAGTCAAATGTGGTGGGGTGGGAATTGAAATTGGGCCTTAAGTGAATTGGGTATGCGGAAAAAAGAAAAGTGGCGCAAGTGCAGGATAATGGGCTGCAAGATGTAGTAAAAAGACTTATAAAATTGGAAAAGTAAACTTAATTGAAACGCAGAGAATTAATCGATTGATCGGGTAAAGAAGAAAACAATGGCGAGTGGAGCAGAAGGAGGAGGAGGCAAGGTGTCCTTCAAGATAACACTGACTTCCGATCCAAAGCTTCCTTTCAAAGTGTAATTTGATCTATCTCATACTCTAATTTAAAAATCTGAGAGATGTTATTAATCCAATTATAAACAGGTTTAGCGTGCCGGAAGCTGCCCCTTTCACCGCCGTCCTCAAATTCGCCGCCGAGGAATTTAAGGTCCCTCCTCAGACCAGCGCTATCATCACCAACGGTATTTCTTTCCTTTTTATTTACCAATTCAACTCTCTTAGATCTTTCTGTTGATCCGAATTACACAATTTTCGTGATTGGATGTTTCTTCACTTGCTAGCCCTGAGTTTTTAGGATGATGCTGACATAACTTTTTCAAAATAGAGTAAAATAAGATTACTTCCCTGTTGCTGTTGACGGAATAGTTGGATAGATGAGAGTGAGAGTTATAAGATATTTACTTGCGCATTATAACATTGGAAACGACCAATTCAGGATTTTTTTTTTTTTTTGTTTAAACATAAGTCTTATTTAGTTTTAGGGGCATGCTGGAAGGGATCAATGCAATTTGTGACATTTGTGACATTCAGGGATGAACATGTATCAACCTGTGCATCCAAACATACATCATTTCATTTCTTTATTTTGGTATCCTTTTTGTGGCATCTTCATTTGTTCCGGAATTTCTACTGCCCTGGTATATTCATCTTTGTATTATCCGCTGAACAAGAAAGATTAAGAATCAGGGATAAACTAATAAAATCTGTATTAGGTTATGAATCCTGCAATTCCTTTTTATTTGGCAGAGATAAACTTAATTGAAACGCAGAGAATTAATCTGTATTTTTTTTTTTTTTTTTTTGAATCAGGGATAAACTTAATTGAAACGCAGAGAATTAATCTGTATTAGGTTATGGATTACATAAAGCATCTAAAATCTTATTTATAAATCATCTTAGTTTTGATTCCCAAGGACAAAGCTTTCCATGTCTTTTGTACCTATCAAATGAGATAAACTCTCTTTAGCTAATGGGGTGATTTTCATGCTTAATAAGCTCCAAAGAAAATATAAAAGTTAAATTGTTTTGGGATAATCCATAGTAGAGAGGGGAAGAGAGATTTGGTACACGAGGTCATATTTTCTCTAGTGCTTGTTATAAATACGTGAATTAGACAATAATAACCACTCTCCTATGTTTATTGCCTCACTGTTTACCATGAAACCAATTATTCTTTCCTGCTGTCTGAACTTTTGGAGCTTCATGGTTTGTGCATTCAGAACTTGTACACCTTGCTATTTTGAAACATAGGGTTATGGTGGTCCAGGTATATTTTTAGAATTCTCTAGACGAGTTTGTTAGTGGTATATCTACTCGTTACTTAATTTATATTTCTCAGGAGGGAAATAAAATACAGAATCATATACAAGTACTTGTATATCATTTATAAAATTCAGCTTACTCTGGATGTTCAATAGTTAAGTTGTATTTGGATGCAAAAGGGAACATGTAATTGTTCAACTAGGTTCCAACATATCGGTTTTCATTACTCCGTATCAAAATGAACAAACTTATTACAGGGCTAATATCTTCGAAGTTCGACTTATCTCTCGAACAAGCAATCTAAAATTAGTGCAGTATATTGTTCTTTGATTTGAAACACAGATGATTAGTGCATTCTACTAATCATCTATCATTTTTTTTTTCTTTTCAAAACACAGATGGTGTTGGTATCAATCCTCAGCAAAGTGCAGGTAAAGAAAGTTTGTCAATTTATTAGAAGTTGTGTACCTACTACCTACTGAAAGCCTTTGTGACAATTAATACTCTTTTCCAAGGCTTTTCTTTTGCTAAGCAGTTGAAATATTTAATATCTGTTACATTATGTGCGCCTCAGTCACAGTGTGGCTGTGGCTAAAATGACTTTTTAACATCAAAATTAATGATAGTATTGTAGGTAGTCGAATCTGATTTATTTGTCTGAATGTTTTTCTGTAATCTCTTCAATCCTCATTGATGCATGTATTTGTAGTTTTGTCCTTCCATCCATCTTTTCTTGTGCAATTTAGCATTGATTTTCAAGAAATTAAGTCTCAGTGCTAAATATGTCTTATCTTCTAATCGATTTTTCAAATTATAAAATAAATTTTAAAAATTGACTGTAAGGGTAATACACAAATGCTTTGGTGAAGACTTTTATTTCATTATATGGCATGGACTATTGTTATTTTTAATTGTTAGTTCATTAGCACTCTGGTTAATGCTGATTTAATCTTGAACCTGGTATTCATTTAAACTCTAAATATGTTAAGCTTGAGAACTTGTTGTGGTTATGAAACAAATTTAGCGGAGAGGATGGTCTTTGTGGTTATATTGGAGTCTATAATTTTATGGCTTTTGAAGATTCTTTGGCTTTTTTATATCTAGCTTCCACTGCTACATTCTCACTATCTTCCTCTTCTTTCCATTTGTTTGAGTGTATATGCAAATTTGGTTTAGTATTTATTAGTCAACTTTTGGAATTGTGCTGAACTCATTTAGAATCAATTGGTGAATGCTTAAAATACTGCTAAGAAGAATATATCAAGCATAAATAGTGTTAATGGTTATTAACTTATATCAACAATTGAATGTTTAGGTAATGTCTTCCTCAAACATGGATCTGAATTGCGGCTGATTCCCCGTGATAGAGTTGGTACTCTGCAGACCTCCTTTTAGATGATCTTGTCATAATAATGTACAACTCAGTTATGCTGTCAGTGTATCTATTGTTTCGCATCTTTGATGTAAGAAATTAACCTCTTGACCCAGAATAATGTATTAGTTGCAAATGAGAAAAATGGAAGGTTTTGAAGTTTGGACAAAGTTTGATTTGTATTTGTAGCTATTTGTTACTGCTTTATGAATTGCTCGATCGAATTCGAGAGGTCTTATGGTGAGATAATAGTGAAGAATAAAATGACGATGGCCTATTCAGAGATAGCAAGCCAATTGATGTAGGAGGGGCCAGAGGGTGCGTCATTCTTTAAAATTGACAGTAGACAGGCCCCCAGCAGCCTTGCAGAGTAGCAGGGTCAAATGTAAATGCACAGTAACTTGCTAATAATGTAGTATTAGTATTACCCAAAAACACTTAATAGTGTGGTCCCATTCATTTCTCAATTTTAGACCTCTTTGTTTACAATTGTAGATGTTTCAAGGATATTAATTTTGGGTTGGAACTTTCAAACTGTAACTGCTTTTTTCCTTGTCATTTTAATTTTTTAAAAAATTAAAAAATCCCTGAGTCACAGGGGTTGGCAACTCTTTAGTTGAATGACCCTTAAATTAGTGTACAATGTTGTCAGTTTCATCCAGCAATGAATGGTAGGTAGAAATCAAATCCATTAAAGAAGGTCTCTAGATTATGTGTCTGGCCCGAAAAGAAAAATAATGACGGAGTGTGGCTATCTGATCTGTGCCATTTGGATGAATTCAGATTTATAACTATTTTTTTTTTATGATCATTTCCTCACAATTTGAGGTAATGTTGGACCAGATCTGTTTGATTTGGAACTCTTGACTGATTATTGACAGCTTTTATCTTTGACAACTTTTGGCCTATTATTATGATCATGAAGTGTGCAAACTGTGCAAATATTACTTAGTGATAATATGAAATGGTACTATGGTTGGAAATACTAAATATGTACTCGTAGTGGTTATGCGATAAAATTGATGGGGTGAAGTTTGCAACATTGTCATGTGTGTTTTACGTAAGAAGACTCTTTTAAAACTGTTTGACAAGCGGTGAACTGGTGATTTATTGTTACATCAAAGTAGCATAGTACAAGATTCTGGAGGATCAACTATGTTCATTGATTTCCACTGCATGTTGCAAACAAATCGAAAAAAGTCATTAATGAGGAATATTATTCATTCAAGTGTTGTTAAAGTTAAGTACATCCAATGAGCAATAGTAACTTTGTGTTCATCTAAAACTAATGCACCTGGATGTGGGTGTGCACAAAAGATACTCTAGCTAACAAAAAGGAGCAATCAATCAATTTTTCCCATAATGGTTCAAGAGTGCTTATTTGGGGTAAGGAGGGGGAGGGGGGGGGGAATTTGAGGTAAAAACCATTGGCTTTTTCTATCCTAGTATCCTTGCATTGGTGGCAATTTTTGTATGTTTTTGTAACCACATTAATATATGGGAGTAAGGCTTTGATTGATTGATCAATATGACTATTGATATTAGTTGGCAATTTTTGTAACCATATTAATATGACTATTGATATTAGAGATATTAATGAGTAGAGATTTTGAGCTTATTTAATTTAGTCAAGCAATTCAAGCACAACTGTTTAGTTGAGCTTAAATGTTCAAGCTTGTTTTATATAGGAAATCAATTTGATTATTGCGAGTTTACAGGTATAATGAGTTTTGACTCTGTACAAATAACATAGTATTTAATTGAAGTAGATAGATGAATTGTCAATGAATTACATGAACAATGAATTAGGCAGGTGGGTTTAAACTCTATAATAATGGTTGTCTGGTTTCAAAATGGTAACTAAAATCATATTAACTGAGAATCATGGATTAATATACTCATTTACAGCTGTATTAAAACTGTAATGGTGTAGATCTTAGAGTAGATTACGGATTAACAGTAACAAAACTTCCGAACATATTGGACAGGCTAAGATCCAATAGGATACTGTGATGATAGATGTAACTTAGTAGCGTAATAAAATCAGAAAGGCAGACCCAACACCCAAGTAGTAGTGGATAAAAATTAAGAGTAAAAATAAAAAATAAATTAAAAAAAAAAAAAGGGAGTATTAGGCAAAAGCCAAAAGGGTGGCCCTTTCCTCGCAAAAACTGATTGCAGATTTGCAGAGTTGAAAGTTTGAAAAACCCCAGTAGTACAGTATTAAGTATTTAGTGGGCTGTGTGCTGTTATACCCCTAATTTTGACACCGGCCAAAACATCCCACCCAAGCAGCAGCAGCAGCAGCTATGCATCCCTTTGAATTTCTGGACAATCTTATTCCTTGATTATTTCTCTGCTCCTTCTTTGGAAATTATGGAATCCGCGACTACTCGCTCCAAACCTCGCCGTAAAATCATTTACGCCGGCATTGTTCTCCGCCGCCGGTGGTGCCTCCGGTACTGGTTGATCTTACCGGTGCTTTATCTTATAGGTTTGATACTTTGTGCTCGTCCTCTCTCTCGACTCTTCTTCCCTCTTCCTCCACCTGGTTCTGTCTACCATAGTCATCAGATCTTCCACAACCTTCGCCTCCATATCCTCACCGACGATTCCCCTGCTATTCAGGTCCCAATCTCTCTTTATTGTTTATTCATAATAGTGGTCCGTATTTTTATTTTTTTTTTGTCAACTGTAGTAACACTGACTTCAATTCTACAGTGTATTTTGTGTTTGCTTGTCTCATTCAATTCTCCAATGTGTTTATATTACTAATGCTTTGTACAATTGATCAGCTTTCTACTCGTATTATTGATTCCATAGGGAATTGAGTGTTAGGATTGGTGATCCTGAATTTGAGATTGACTAATAAATGCACTAGCTTTTTTTTGGGATCACCTTTCAAATCGTAGCTAATTCAAATGTTACCATAACTGCAACACTGGGTTTTTTCTCGCAGCTATCTAGTCTTTGGATGTATAAAAAATTGAAAATTGAAAAGCCTTGCAAAATTACATACGAAGAAACACGAATGGGTAAGCAAATACGTTATACATACATGATATTTCATTATTCCTGAGCTGTCCTTAACGACTTTGCCATTCTCAGAGATGTCAGTAAATAATGGATATCTGATTGTTGAGGCTAATGGAGGCCTTAATCAGCAGAGGTCTTCGGTAATGCACTCCCACCTTTTTACTTACATTCGTCTATTTTTGTTTTTTTGTTACAAGCAGCAGTGTTCTTGATGGAATTGTATTAGTTTTACTATCTCTATGGAATCAGATTTCCGCACTACTTTTGTTAATACCAACAATCTTTAGTTAAAGAGAAACATACATTTGTGGAAATAATTATTGGGAATGCACCAATCACTTTCCCATTTCTATGTATAGAAAAAACATAGTACAAATGCTGATTCTTCTGTGTTTCTGATTCAGATATGCAATGCAGTGGCTGTTGCTGGGTTTTTGAATGCCACATTAGTAATTCCACGTCTGGAATATCACAATGTCTGGATGGATCGAAGGTCTTTCATCTTGTCTTTCTTTTGCTTGGCCTTTCATTGAAATTTCTTTTTCATTCATTTTCAACTTAGGTATTTGCCAGTCTCCTCATCTGCTTTTATTTTTTCAGTCATTTTGATGATATCTATGACGAGCAGCATTTTATAAACACTCTTGCTGGCTTTGTGAGGGTGACTCGAGAACTACCTACAGAACTTATGGAACAATATGATCACGAGATCAGTAATGTACCTATTGTCCAAGTCCCTGCCTGGTCTCCCATCAGTTACTACCTTGAAGAAGTTTTTCCAATCTTACGGAATCAAGGGTACGTCTGTTTCCATTATTGCTTTCTTCATGAACAACGAATTTACTTTTAAGAGGCATGCTCATGATAATATAAGTTACCCTTCCATGACAGAACATATTACTTCATCCCATTTCCAACCATCTAAATCACTTTCTGAACATTTGTAAAGAATAATGAGAAAAAATTACAACATCAGTGGGAAAATATGGAGTAAAATGTGGTGATGATCAAATCAATGGTAGATTGAATATCATTCTTGCTATGTCATATGAGGTATTCTGTACATTATGAAGTTGTTTACACTTTACAGTATGGTAATGATCATTATATCCTGATGTCAGCCAGGCTTGTTCGCATAGCTCCTTTTGCCAATAGATTGTCAATGTATATTCCTCCAGACATTCAGTATTTAAGGTGCCTCACAAACTACAAAGCTTTAAAATTTGCACCTCCTATATCGGCACTTGCCAAAAATTTAATCAAGCGCATGATTGAGAAGAGTCCAAAATCCGATGGTAAATATGTCTCAGTTCACCTCCGTTTTGAAGAGGTATCCAATCTTTCTTGGAGCATGGTTTGTCCTTTTCTATCAAATGTTCTGAACATTGCTAATTTTTATATGGGTCTGACTGGACATGTAGGACATGGTTGCATTCTCGTGCTGCATATACGATGGAGGAAAGAAAGAGCAGTTTGAAATGGACTTTGTCCGAGAGAAAGGATGGAAGGGGAAATTTAGACGCAGGGGCACAGTAATCAATCCTGGCCTCAATCGAATCAGTGGAAAATGCCCTCTTACCCCTGTGGAGGTATGTTCAATCTTTCACTCAAGCAGTCAAGCTATAAAGACCCTTCAGGAATCAGGATTGATCTCCTGCAATCTGCAGATAGACCTTTAAAAAGAGTACATAATTCAATGGATCTTTTTTTATCTCTAGATGTTTGGAACAAATAGTATAGATCTTTGAATAATAAATCCCAAATAACCAATAATTGGGGGTCTTTGCACCTCTATATAATCATTTATCTCACCTTCGCCTCCCATGCCGTTTCTTGTCAGCATAGGTTGGAATGATGCTTAGAGGAATGGGGTTCGACAACAATACATTGATCTATTTGGCATCAGGAAAACTATATCAGGAGGAGAGACAGTTAAGTCCCCTATTAGAGATGTTTCCGCTTCTATATACCAAGGAGTCTCTTGCATCCCCTCAAGAGCTTGCTTATTTTAAGGTGATTATTGCTATTTTTCTGGGACTATGAATAAGTTAATAGTGATCCAGGATGTAATTGATCATAATCATGATTTAGACCAGATTCAATTATAACTTTGGTGCTTCACATTTCAAGAATTTATAATGGCTGTAGCTGTAGCTTCCATTTTACTGGAGTGATCACTGAAAATCATTCGAACTTATTCACCTGTGACAGGGGTACTCATCTAGACTGGCTGCTCTGGACTATGCAGTATGCTTATTCAGCGAGGTTTTCTTGACCACTCAGGGTGGAAATTTTCCACATTTTCTCATGGGTCATCGCAGATATATCTATGGGGGACATGCAAAGACTATCAAACCTGAAAAGCAGAAACTTGCTCTTCTGTTTCACAACACAAGCATCAGGTAACTCTCCCTCTTATCTCTTTGTTGAACAGCTAATCTGCACATCTTGTATTATGAATGTGATTTGAGCATGTACGCTAGCTTTAAGTCTAAATAACTTGTCCGAATTGAAACTTTGGATCGTTCATGCATATACTTCATACACTTCCCACTATTTCAAAAATTCTTGATCAGATAACTCAAATGTGTGGGTTTAACAAATGTTTTGACAGTTGGCAAGAGATTAAGGATCAGGTCAAGGTGATGCTAGTAGAAAGCAACCGGGAAGGACTTATGATGCCAAGAATTAAAAAATCTAGCAGGCACAACTCAATTTACAAATACCCATTTCCGCAGTGTAGATGTCTTCAAGAAGCTCAAAATCTTACTGTAAATAGAGCAAATGTGGGTGATGTGCTGGATCACCAGCTAAAGCACATAATTTGATACGGCTATTCTTTTGTGATACCAGCATGCCATGCCAAACGAACATACCTTGGTAATTAAGTATAGATAAATGACCTAGTGGAAACTTATAGACGAGGCCATTCTTCAGACTCCAGTGATTTTGCACGGGTCAGGCCAAGTTTTGTCTTAGAGCCACACCGATAGAGTTATTATCATTCAACGAATTCTTCAAGGCTCAAACAGAAAGAAAATGTCCCATTGCTGATAGTTTGTGCCTGAGTTCATTTAAACGAAGTGGGATACTTGCTGGCAGCTCTCGTGCAGGTAATTTTATATCCATTATGATGATGCATTTGTAGTCAACATTAGGAGTTGCTGAAAAGCAAAACCATGAGTTGATGAACCTGCAGCCTTGAAAGTCTCAAAGCTAGGACATTGCTTGGGCCAGTTTTGATGTAACCCATTGGGGCAACTACCCCTAATTGTTAATAATCTTTTTTGTTAGTATAATATTACGGTAGCCCCTATAGTAGAAATTCTGTTTGGAGATGACCTGTTATCCTTTTTTTGTTAGTACAATAGAGTATTACAGTAGCCCCTTAAATAGAAATTTTCTGTTTGGAGATGACCAGTTAACCTTCTTTTGAATTTGTTCGTATATTACAATATCTGCTATAGGCCTATAACAGGTAATTTTGTAGAATAGACCCTAGAAATCTAATGCTTACTGTGGTTTTGATCGCCTTATTAGGTGCTATATATTAGTTTTGAGAGAAGATTGTCTAAACCTTTGTATTACTCCGTTTTATTTATTCATTTTCTTTGAAAAAAATTAGGTGCCATATTTAATTGAAAAGAAACGAAATTTATAACTAGAATTGGGATAGTGAACATAAGGGTAAATGGTCCCCTGGACATTAAAGATTGAAGGGCCCTTTCGAGCATGAGCATGAACCAGTGAACCTGAACTTGATCCAACAACATGGATAAAAAACCAATCTAAAGACAAAAGGTGATGCTACGTTGCTAACAAGTAACAACCCTCTTGAGTTTTACTCTGTAATTTTTATTACCCTGTGCTTCTTTACTCCCTTGTGGAAATCAATGAGATGAAAATATGATTTATGAAAAAATAAACGGCATCAGTTAAATTAAACCAAACAATCTAGTAGAGTAGTAATTAGATTGTAATTTGTAATTGCAAATATCATTGCAGTGAGAGCATCCCACTCCGGCATACTAGGAATCAGTTTCCTTTACCTAATACTCTGTATTTTATAATAGTGAAATGTGGTCATGCGCATTGTCGCTGTAATGATTTCATACTAGCTTTCAACATCCCACTCCGGTATTCCCTCTACTCTTTGTTCATTATTATTCTTATTATCCACTGAAGCATGTTCTTTCAATTTTACCTTCTTTTCATGCCCCCTGCACTCTTTCTTTTTGTAATTTATTTGCTGTAATTCACCCAAATTTACTCTTTCTTCCTCCACTTTTTCTGAAAGCTGAACACAGCAGCAAATCAAAAGACTAAAGAGCCCTGTAACATTTCACAAAACCAGCTTCCATTTGCTTTTCTTTTTTACTGGTGTAGTAGTGTAGTGAGTACATTTAGTCACCTGGTCCTAAAGCCATATTGTAACAATATCAGCTAGCCACTAGCCAGGGTCTCTCTATATACTGGGCCGGGTCCTGTGTGAGTCACTGTCTGTTAATTTATTAAGCTTCAAGCTCGACTAATTTAATGAAACAACAAACAAACATTATTGTAATTTATATTGTTTATCAATCAAAGCCTTAATCCCATAAATGGGGTCGGCTAAATGAACCAAATTTGATTATTCCGTGTAGTCATCGACATAAATATTCCTCTTCCATCCTTTACGATCCAATGCTTCATCCTCATGCAAATCCATATACTTCATATCCTTTCTAACTCCTTCCAACCAAGTCATTTTCGGTCCCTCTCTCCCTCGTATAACCCCTCCTTGTTCTCACAAAAAAAAAAAAAAAAAAAAAAAAAAAAAAAAAAATTTGCAATTGAGAATGAGCAATAGAAATCAAGGCAGTTGTTTCTTGTTTGACCCCGGCAGTAATTTATATATATAAGGAAGACTTGGATTAAGCTGTGGTAACTCAATCCATATGACACGCTGTATGCCAAGTGTTGTAAGGAATCTGGATAATTGACCTCATTAACTTTAATAACCAGTCTTGCTTATTAGGGGGGGCCGTGCCTTTTTGGTTTTTGGTATCAAACACTTAACAGCAGCTGTACGCCCATACAACATTGCTTCATTTTTGTTATTTCAACATCATTATACTTATCAAACTGCTACTGTCTACTGCATTTGTATTAGCAGGCCTGGCCTTTGCCCCTTGGTTGTACAATTCAAGAATCATCATCAACTTCAACTATTAACTCCCTGCTTCCCCAAGTAATACATACATACAGTCATACGCTTTTGTTTACTTCTTTTAACATCGATTATTTTCAACTTTTATTTATAATGAACATGTTAAATTCGTTTTTTAAGACTAAATGTAGAATAATGCTATGTTGAACACTCATCATAATTCCCATTTAGAGGTCGAAGTATTGGGTTTGATTACTCAAAGAAGCATGGATTTGGTGTATTTAATTTATAGGGTCAATAATTTTGTTTGGTTGGGCGTTTTTATAGGGGGCAATAATATTGTTAGATTGGACCACATCTAGCTAGTTTATGGCATCTGTATCACAACTAACAAACACAGGCAATGTGCTAATATTTTCCATTTGTGAGTTGCAGTGACATCTTTTTCACTCCATTATCTATTTCTAGGACATCTATTCATGCCAAACCGACCAGGTTTCTTATATCCCTTTTCTATCATAACTATTTCTCTTAATAAGACAATTTTCAATGAATATCAGCTTTCATTTTCTCTCTTTACTTCTCAAGAGTCTCCAAACCAGTACTATAAATCATCTAACTTCTGTCATTATACTTTTGAAATAAACTTATCAAGTTATTAATGAAATGAAATGAAATTATTTAAAACCAAAAATGTCATTACTCACTTGCTAAGTTGGTAGCTGGTCTTTTTCATTTTTTTTTAAGAGTTGACTGAGGCCAGATTAGAACAATCTTAACTTGCATTGCTTGGGTCTTCTAACCAAGGGCTACCATTTCCATGCATATTGCATATAGTACAAAATATCATTAAAACGTTGCCCTACTCAAAGCTGAAGATATACAGTAACCAAAGCATGTAGAAATAATCTACACTAATTTAAGATTTCCAGCCCAAACATCTAAAACCCCCTATAGATAACAACAAAACAAGGCAGAATTGCCTTGGGGTTGAAAACATACAACTCATCCAAATTTGAATATAGTCCTGTTGCTCCGGCCACCGAGTCATACTCCTCTGACCCACCGCCTTCTGGGCTCTTCTTGACCCGGCCGGCAATCACTCGGCACACCAGCATTGCCCTACTCTCCTGCTCCTCTGAACCAACATCAGCTCGATCATGAGCTCGCCCACTCGTGGCAGTCGTTAGTATGCCTTTGCCTGTAGGCCCCTCATCGGCTAGCTTAAATCCATTTTTAATAATGCTACAAACATTGCAATGTGGGATGGAATTGCAAAGGTTGGAGGAGTCATTTAAACCTAGGGAGCACATAAATGTGGTGCAATGGAACCTTAGAAGCTCATTTCCATCAGCTATGCACCTAGCATGTTTTTTAGGGAGCCTTGTTGCCTTAAACTTAATTGAGTCCCTATATTCCTCAAACTTGTTGATGGTCTTTTGGGTGTTGTGGACTTTAAGAATTCTATCAATTTTGCATACTGGAGTTTGCTTCTTTAGCCAGCTTGATTGGAATATAATCTCTACTATATTCTTACTTGTATCCTCAGGACCCAGTTCAGATACTACAGCAGAAACACATAAAATCATCTTAGTCAAAGAAATTTTATGACATAAAAAGTATGAAAATGCTCTAAAGTGCTTATGACATGGAGCAAAATTTCCATAAAGTGAGAGCTAAACATTCTATACTTAAACAAGAAGATTAATTAAATTGTAGTCCATGACTTTTGTAGCTCACTTTCTGCCTTTATATCTTCTGAAACTAGACTAAAGCTAGAATCTTTACATATGTAATATGAATAATAAACAGTGGTGTGTATTGTGATTAAGCATAGATAAGAAGTTGATAATTGAATAATTAAGAGGAAGATGAGCTTTGCACGAGACTAAGAAAGAGCAAGTACCTGCATGCCTGACAGCTTGATGAAGCTCCAAATTCTCAGGTTTCATGAAAACTTCACCACAATGAGGACAAGAACAAATAGTAGCTCTAAGAGAAGGATCTCTAGTGAAAGACAAAACAGGATCAACAACCATTCTACACTCATAACACCCTGAAAGTCTTCTAAATGGAATCCCTTTGATGGAGTAATTAGCAGCAGTAGTGCTGTTAGAAGAAGATGATTTAAGTAAGACCCCATTATTGTTAGTATTGTTATTACTAAGGTCACTCAAAACAGGAGATTTGATTGATCGATTTGATCCTTCATGGCTGCTGCTACTGGTGGTGCTAGTGCTAGCATGGGTAGGACCACCCCTGCTTTTTCTCTGAAGTGTTTCTGGGGAAGCTGGTTCAGGCCTCTGCATCACTTTTGTGTTGTTGCAGAGTGACCCTGAACACTTCATTTTCTTATTCTTCTTGCTGTTTTCCTCCTGTATTGCTGGTTTTTCCGCAAGTTTTTTCTTTTGTTGTTTCTTTTTCTTGGATAGTGATGCTTGCTCTTGCTGTGGTTGTTGCTCCACTTCGAGGTGCTTGCAAGTGAGAATGTTCCTCATTACCACCCACGAAGGTAATGCTTGCGATTGCGATTGCGGCTGCGGCTGAAGCTGCTGCTGCTGCTTTTCTTTGTCATCTTTCCTCTGTGAAGGAGGTTGACTTCTTCTTGTTCTGTGAACTTCTTTTGTGAGCTTCCTAGGATTTGTTGTTTTGGCCATTGTTGGGAAGAAAGAAAAAACAGTTTGAATTATCTATTTCAAGGTTAACTAAGGTCACATGGGTTAGTTTCAAAGCACAAGTGCTGGAAAAGCAGATAGGTGGTTGCAAGTTAAAGAAGGGCAAGAAAAAGAGGGAGAAGCCAGGAAGAGGGTTTGCTTTGCTTTGCTTTTTGTGAATTTATGGTTGCATTGCTTGGATTTGAGATTGAGATTTATGAGGCCAACTTTCATGATTCACCCTCCACCTTCCTATATGGCTATTAGGCTATATACTTGTTTCTTTATTATAGTGTCTTTAGCTTGGATTTATTATTTTCAATTAATTTTCCACTATACAATTTGATACTCCATACAATTTAAAACCATACATTCTCTTTTTAATTTTAGTTGATACGTTTCTTTATTTATGTTTGTTAATTTAAAATTTATTCTAAGTATGTATTATGTATATTAATTTTTTATTTTTTTGGGATAGAGGTTGAAAAAAAAAGGCATAATACTTACGAAGTCCGAAGTATATTATTGTAAATACTGACATGTATCTTGCATTTAACATTTAAATTTTTTTAGAGAAAGCAAGTTTTTAAAACTTAGTTCTAATTTACAATTTTTTTTAATGCCAGCCCAGAAATGTACAGCATTACAGCATCATTTGCACTAGGAATTTTTTCGAGCTCTATTTTGTTTACCTTATTTCTACATATTTTGAAATTTAAGATAAGTTCAAATAAAGGTGAATATTACGCCTCTTATACTATTCCCTGTTTAAGCGCAACTCCATGTACATAATCGTCTTCCATCTTAGATGTTGCAATTTGATTTTTAGTTTAGGTATTATCTCACTTATGTTTAGTGGATTCTTTCTATATGAATTATGTTACTTCTATTTTATTTTAATTTATTACCCCATGCATTAAAGACGTTATAGAAGCCATTCTAAATTCCTAATCTTGTTGTACATGATCATGACTGCATTCTCATTATAATCCTTCTCAATCTTGTTCTTTTTGTAAGCACTTCTCGTCTTGTACGTGTATCTCCTCCATCATTTCATGCTGTTCTTTCTACTTATAATCTTTTTGTAAAACAAAATTGGTCAAAGTGAAAAAACAATATCTTATAATTTTGATTTAAATAATATTACAAAAACAGGAGCTATGTTCAACTAACTCATATATTGGTAATTAATTAATCTGGCCGTTGAAACAAAAGAATCTCCGCCGTGACCAAAGGATGTATAGGGGAGTGCATTGCGCATTGTAGTATCATAGATCATATCATTTTATTTCTTTTTAATACTGTAATAAAATTGCCATACAATTTATACAGAGTAAGAGAGCATTTATGCACAAAAATTCTACTCATAACTCACAAGTGACTCACAGGAGACCATCACAAGAGCCAAGGAGAAACTTTAATATAAAATTATAATATGAACTAAAATTATACTCCAGTAATAACTTATAGTGAGCTAATAATAGTGCATTAATAGTGGTGCATAGCTTAGCATGGCCAAGCTATATAATATACATACACGTAATAGTAGTTGTTGGTAAGCAAGTAAGTTAGTACAGTACAGTAAGAGTAATTGACAGAAATAGTGTACGTAGTAACGTAGGTTGAGCTTTAAATGACCAGCCCAAACATTGGACGATGATGTAACTGATTTTATCCCCACCACACCACACGGTCCACTTCACACCATGCACGCACATATTCTCCAACCTTATAACACAACTTTGATTTTCCTTTTTTTTTTCCCCTAGTGTTTTAGAAAGCCTCAAGGCCAGATGATGAGAATCGATCCCAAAATCTCCTAAAATCAGAAGGGAAGCTCTAACCACTTGAGCTATCCCTCGCTCTCCGATTTTCCATTTCATTTAGTAGTTAGTAGTAATTCGTCATGTATTTCTTCACTTCCTATTTGTATCTTGCTCATTTTGGGTCCTTTTTCCTAACCACTTATTATTACTCCAAGCTATTTTTTTGTTGCTATGCCTACCTAATGTTTTGTCTTATAATTTTTTACTTGATACAGTATATATTGGAACAATTTGCTAATATCCTATCCAATCAATTGCACGATTTCATTTTTGTTTTTTTTTTTTTGAAAAAAAGTATTTGAAATCAAAATCTATCGGAGTTAAATGAATTAATACGTACTTAGTAATTAAATCTTATTCAAATAGCTTATAGATTTTAGGATATTTTATTCAATCATGTAGCTTAATTTAACATGTGAGTTTTTTGTTCTCTTCACATTTTAGCAACTTCTCATATAAACTTATTATGGTTGTAGCTTTAACTTGAGTGTGGCTTATCAGCCATCTTCTAAATTTGTTATCATCTAAACTTAGCTTGTATCATAATTATTTTGAAAGTGAACAATAAAACATTAAACAATTAGACATATAACAGATTAGGGTCTTTGAACAAAAGATCGAATAAGTAGGGTAAAAAAAAAATTGAGTAAGCTAGTACTCTAGTAGTAATAAAATTGGAGACTAGTTTCTCCCAAGGGTGAATTTTTGGGGTAAAGTGAAAATTGATGGAAAAACACCAAAATCAAGGTGAAAACACTAATTGCACCATAATGACTTAATGAGAGTTGCTCCTCCATAAACGGGAAAGGAAAAAAGCTGATGTAAAAAAAAAAAATTGATTCCTTTTGCCTCAAAATCATGTAATGTAAGAGAGACCACACTTTATGGTTATGGAATATTTAAAATTAAAGCTCTATTTTACTTTCAGAGCTTTACTTTTTTAATTAAACCGAGCCACATTCATCCCACGTACGTACTCTAACCTAGCTACCAACGGAAGTACTTGAGTTTTATAGACTAACTTCATCAGTGTGTACTTAATTCCACTATCTTGATGAAAGTAGCATATCTATCTTCATATTTATTAATTGTTCCATACTATATCTTCCTGGCCGTGCATTATAATCAGGAACATGACTTCGTGATTTATGAAGTTTCGTTGTTTCATTCGTGTACGACGAGTGTATTATTAGATAGATACTCATAACTCATAAGAGACCACTCGTACTATATATGTATGTCATTGACAGAGGTCGGGCCATAACACCCCATTCAAATGTTTAATCAAATGAATTACTAAATTAATTATAATTTGAGCATAGGAGAACGAATCTCATGCCTTATTATATGAATATACATATGATAGCCGATAAGAATGTCACCATGTTATTTATACTCTCATTGTACCATGATAGAATATCTTTTTTTCTCCTAATAAAAACAATTTCATGCAATAATAATCAGAATTGATAATGTATTTTGTATATGTACGTAATGCGTATGTATAAGAGAAGCATGTCCTGGCCTTTCATATTGATGCATCCCGGCCTATATATATATATATATGTCAAATTCGTTGTTTTGGAAAATGAAAATAACCAGATCAGATTGTATAAAAGCGTGGCTAAAAATCCTTGTATACAGCTCAATGGAACAAAATCTTAAAAAACGAAAGGGTAGCGAGCGAGGCTGACGGAGACGATTCTATCTGTCTTATGTGAGCAAATACCGGTCCTATGTACATGCTATGGTGTTTGTTGGCAGCAAGACAATCTTTTTTAGTACTGTCTTTCAAAATTCAAAATGCAGCTTCATTATTAAACTATATACTGTACATTCTTCCTTCTTTATTACTTGCTTTAATTAAAACGTAACTTTGGTTTGAAAAAATATTGATCGATTGGAGCTGGATAATTTAATGGACCAGGGTCGAAGAGAGCTCTTCTTTCATTAATTATCAGCAAATAATGCCCGCAATCTTGTTTATTTTACTTGCTTTTTTTCAACAGTTGCGTTGGTGTGCTAGTATAAATGTATAGTTATTCTAATAGTTATGAGATAGAGTACTACTAAGAATAATTCGAAAGTTGAGCAATCCACTTTTATCAATTTCAAGTTCGAGACGTCTCGAAATCTTCCCAATTTGTGTCATTTGTTCATAATTATATTGGATCTTACTTGTCTAATACAAGATAACACAATTGCTTACATCATGATCAACTCCTCTTCCTCTTTCTAGTATATAGATCTTCAATGTAAAAGGATAATAATGATCAAATATCATTATCATTATCATTATTAGTTATTGTTTATAGTTTGTAATATTTTGATTTACTCTTTAACTTTTCTGGTATATCCCTTAATATTATAACTAATATACCTAATCATATTTTGTACCTAGTCATAGTTTGGTGATGATCTACATTCTAATCTTGTACTATACATGTACTCATCAATTTAATAATATAAAATCTCTAAGCTTTCTCTCATTTTCTGTAAACTTTTCAATATTCTCTTTATCATTCAATGGTTGGTTATTCATGTTTTGATCGTAAGAGATTGAGCTATTGAAGTTTTAAACCTCGTCTCATTAATTTTTCTGATTTTTATTCATGTTAGTTGTTAAAATGTAATCTAGAAAAATTTAGGTCATTTTGTAATATAAATATCTAAAGTATATTCTAAAACGTGTCTAGAAAAAATCTAGTAGATAAATATCCTAGAAAATCTAGGCAATAACTATTAACTAGGTAAGACTAGTTAAATTAATCTAGAAGCATTGTCCTAAGTAGGTAAAGCATGTAGCACCACAACTATATACATGCAAGTGATAGATGTAATGTGAAGTGTGTGGAGTCAAGAGTATTCCACCAAAAATTGGGAAAGTTAGGAGCTCCCACAAAATTGTTGTGGTGACTGGTGAGGGAAGTATTCATCAAGATAGTGAGAGCATGATTATATATATGAGTTGTGTAGGAGTGGATCGAAATAAGAATCCCACCAAAAATATTATTTTACAATTCATGATATAATTTATGAAATGTAAAAATTGGTGTATGACATTCGGGTCCATTAAACTTTTACGTACGTCCAAATTCTATCATTAGTCACACATGACAACATGAATATATATTTAACATTTGTTAAATTTATGAAAACCCAAATCGCCGTGTAAGATTTTGATGAAATCACATAGAATTATTGAACAATGCAAAATTTTGCACTTTATCCGTCCCTAAATATGTACTTTCTTCGTCATTTTTAAACTTTACATTTGACATTTTTTTTTTGATAGAAAAATGGTCAAAACGTAGAGAATAAAAAAGTGATGGCAAGAGTAATAATTGTCACATTTGATTAAATTAAAGATCTTTTAAAAGGAGTTGGAATGCTACAATCAATATTTTTTTTGATGCAAGTCTTTTCATCTTTATCACACAACACTTTAATCTTTCTTAAATTCTATAAGGAGTGTATTAATAATGGTGTTATGTGCTTGTTGTAAATTTTGACAATATTCAGATCAGATCAGATCATATCATATTAGAACTTTTAATTATCATTTATTTATTGCTAAATATCGTTAATTGCGTATTAAATAATGGGGGTTGTTAAATATCGCCCTCGAATATCTAGCTAACGCCCGCAAAATAACCTAAATTGACGTAAGTAGCTTTGTTATAAAAATATTATAAAATAATTATTTTTACCTAAACTTAACACTTTTACCCTACACAAAAAATTTTACCGTTCTCTCTAGTGTTCACCGGCCACCAACGATCACGTTGAACCACCAACCACTGTAATTTTCAAAATCAAACAAATAATTTAAATTTTTCAAAACCTAATTTGTTGGATCCCATGGAAGACAACGAACACTACTAGAAAACAGGTCATTTCCGACGGAATTTTTCCGACGGAATCACCCTGAATTCTGTCGGAAAACCTGTTTCCGATGGAATTTCCGTCGAAATCGGTTGTCGGAAAACCTTTTGTAGGAAAAACGACCTTTTTCGACGGAAATTCCGTCAGAACTGTTTCGTCGGAAGAGGATTTCCAGAACCGGAAAAATTCGTCGGAAATTTCTGACGGATACTGTTTTGCCGAAAAATTCCGATATAAATTTCCGTTGGAACATGCTTTAATAAAAACAAAAAAAAATCCTCCCATCACCACCAGCTACCAGCCACCTTAACCCACCAGTCGACCACCTTAACCAGAACCCACCCACTAGACCCACCTAACCTGAACCCACCACCTTAACCCACCCGAAACCACCCAAAAATACGCGAAACCACCCAGATCTAGAACAAACGGCCACCCACAACCACCACCCAGACTCACGCCACCAAACCCACGAAGCCACCAAAACCCTTACTAACCCTAACCCACGCCACCAAACCCAACGAGACCACCCAGAAACCACGAAACCACCCAAAAATTCACACATCGCCACCTTCCACCAGCCCACACATCATACACGCACACACAACAACGTAACTCAGAACCCAATAATTTTAAGAAACCAAAGAAAAAAAACTCAGAAAAGCGAAAAACTAAAACATAAAACATACCTTGAATTCAAATGGGTTTCGAATTTCACCACGAAAACGGTTTAACAAGGCCAAATTCGGCCATGAAAAGTCTAGATCTAGGCTTTTAATGGTCGAATTTGGCCTAAAAATCCTTTAAAATAATCAAAACAAAACTCATGGTGGTGGTGTTGATTGCGCAGCGGCGGTGGTGGTGTTGGTTGCGCAGCGGCGGTGGTGGTGTGAGAAGGAAAAGGAGAGCAGAGGAGAACTGAGAAGGAGAAGAGAAATGAAGGAAGGAGAAGAGAAATGAAGGAAGGAGAAGAGAGAGAAAGAGAGGGCGGAGGAGAGAGAAGGAGTTCAGAGAGAGAAGAAAGGCGGAGAGAGAGAAGAGGAGAAGAGAGAGAAATAAGAAATGAAAGGGGAGGGGGATCCGTTTTTAGGGTTTATTTTTTTAATTTTTTATTTTAAAAAAACACCATAATTCCGCCGGAAAGGCTGTAAATTCCGTCGAAAATTTCCGACGGAATATCTAGATTTGTCTGAAATTTCTGACGGAATTTAAATCCATCGAAAATTTCGTTTTTTTCGACGGATTTTCGTGTCCTTCGGAACACATCCGTCGAAAATTGACCTTTTCTAATAGTGGAAAGACCAGAAACACCACCTACGTTGCTGTCGGAGGCTCGTCGGACCGTACGGAATCGGTACGATTATTTAATTTTTTTTATTTTCGAAATTCCCAGGCAAATGCCTGGAAATTTCAAAAAACCTAGGTAGAAACGCCTAGTTTTTTCAAACACCCTAGGCAATTTTGTAAAAACTAGGCGTTTCTGTCTAGGTTTTTCGAAATTTCTGGGCATTTTCCTGGGAATTTCGAATTTATTTTCTTTTTGATTTTGAATTTCACATATTCATTATTATTATTTTGATTATATTAGTTGTGTTTGTTATTATAATTACTCGTGTTTGCTATTATAATTAGTTGTGTATTGTTAGAATATTATTATTATTAGTTGTGCGTTGTTAGATTATTATTATTAGTTGTGTTTTTGTTGTTTCTCAACTTTTATTAATATTTGTTTTTATTATTATTATATAGGATTCTGAGTTCGAGGATGGTGATGGTGTGGACTACAACGGATATTTTTTGACAGACACTGTGTTTCCTAGTTTTGAGGATGTTGTTCTATGGGCACAAAATGTTTGTTGCCCGCTCGGATTTATGTTAGTGAAGGCTTCTTACAAGACCGATCGGAGTGGTCGGCCGTATCGATATGTGAGTTGTGATCATGGAAAAAAGAGCATGATAAGAGACATGATGAACACGATACGCAAAGACACGAAAAGCAAGGCAAACAGTTGTCCCTTCAAACTCAAGGTTGAGTATGTCAGAGTAGTAAGTGGTTGGAAGCTCAGTTGCTTGAACGACACTCACAATCATTCTTTGGTTGTGTATCCCTCCAAACACAAGACACATGTTGTGTGTGTGGCATATTAGCAAAGATGTTGAGGCGAAGGTTACTTCCATGTTCGAAAAAAAGAAGGAGATTGGTGCCAAGTTCAAAAATGGGAGGTGGAGGCATGTGATTAATGCTACATCTTAAGAGGCTTATAAAAGAGTAGAGCTTGTAGAGCTGAAAACCAAGTGGGGTCGATGGCCGAAAGTGATTGACTATGTTGTGGACACTTGGCTCATACACAAGGAGAAGTTTGTGATGTTTTGGACGAACCAGGTACTGCACTTCGGCAATGTTAACAACTGCAGGGTTGAGAGCCAGCATTTGGCATTGAAATGTTGGATTGAAAGTTCTACAGGTTCTTTAGACACAGTTTGGGCTCAGGTGCACTGCTCAATTGAGAACCAGATCATAGCCATTCGTTGTTCTACATGCAGTTGAGTACTGTTATGGATTTTTATTAAACTTTATATAACTTTATTAATAAACATGATTTTTTTTAAGCAATTCTTTTTAAAATTTACTAAGTAAGTACTTCGTAATTAGAAAATAAAAAACTAATATATAAATGTCAACTTGATAATTCCCAACAAATGTGTAAAACATAAATGTCCACTAACAACATCCAAAACATAGTCTAATAAAACAACAAAGTCAAAGCTAAAATACATATTACAACTAATCTCTAAGTCCATTTATTACATTCCAATAATCAATCACCTGCTCCAACATTGCTCTGGTGTCCCTTGATAGCATAGGATACTCACTAAGTGATCGCTGCACCTTAACCATGAATCGCCCTACCCACTACACAAACCATTATAATTGTGTATTAATAGTAATAATAGGAAAAAAATAATTAAATAAAAATAAAAAACTTACGTAATCAACGTTGGTCCTCTCAGGAAGACCGTGATCATCCTCAACATTAGGAGTGACTATAGGATGGCTAACTCTCCTAAACCATGGTAGGTAGTCAGGTGCACAAGTATGTCCGCCACGTGGAACTCTAGTATATCTACCAAGCAGAAGATTGAACGCAACACCGGGGACAAATCTATCCCACATGAGAGTGGTCATCTGAGCTGAAAACTGACCCTATAAGACTTCACACTAAGTGGTCTCTAAGCATCATCAGGCCTAATCATGTCACCGGGAATCTCCTGTATAAACCCCAACTGTCAAACAAATCGATCGGGCATATATGGCTCTATGATCCCCCGATAGCGAATACATCCCGTAAACATAGTCCTAGGCACCTGTTGTGCAGGAAAAGATCCGTACGACAACCAGCATACCTGAAAAATTAGTACAAGTGTAAATCAACTGTAAATAAAGCAATATAAAACAAATAGAAATTACGTATCTATTTATACCTCATGGTCACCCAACTGGTCAAGTCGAGTACGAAAGGACACGAGACGCTGTTGATGCATCCGCGTCATACCAATATCCCATAACCCTGCACGAGCATGAGAGACGTCTCGTGTTAACACATCCTGGTGAGGCCGAAAACATGGAAAGTACTCGTATATCCAAGCCTGTAGAAAAGTCAGACAACCCGCGATAGAATCACATCCATTTCGGGTGGCATGCCCGAGCTGACGATACAAGTACGCTAGTGTGGCTGAACCCTAAGAGTATCTCGTCAACCTCTCCAGGTTATCCTCCATACACAACTCACTGAGAAAAGAAGGGTGAGTACGGGTACCGCTCTTGTTAGTATAGAGCGTGTTACCCAAAAGGAACCACATGTAACCAATGACCTGAACCGCCTCCAGCTGCTCCTCACTACGACACCTAGTAATAATCTGGTCAGTATGGACGCCACCGTTCCTGTAGATGGCGTTTCTGAGTCTTAACCTGTAGCTCCTCCGTAGTCAACTGTAATAACCCAGCTACCAATGTCCTATACTTGTTACTAGGGAAATCACCGCCAACCATATCCCCATCAACCCGAATACCAAGTATATGGTGTACGTCGTGCAACATGATGGTCATCTCACCAAAAGGTAGGTGGAATGTGTTCGTGTTTGGCTGCCATCTCTCAACAAAAGCAGAAATCAGCGGAAAATCAAGGTGGTCGTGCATAATGCTCGACTAGTGCGACAACCCAGTCTGTCGTATCCGCATAATAGTGGCAGCCGTAAATCGCTCTAGCCATTCACTCAACTCTCTACACACACCAACTCTAGTCTGACACCGCAAAAATCGTCGATCTTCCCCATCCCAAATATATCGAGCAACATGGGCCCCGAAACTAGGAATAACGCTCCCATCCTCGAGCCCACCGTCCATCGACCCCTGAACAAGCCAAGACGCTGCAGATCGAGGTGGTCGTGAACTCGTAAATCTCCCATCAGGACCTCTCGTCACGACAGTCGGCTGCTCCTCAGCATTAGCCTCACCCTCATCTTCATCGTCCTTAAGTCCATCATCCTCGTACCTCGAACTCGAACCCGCACCCGAGCCAGTAGTCCTCAACAAAGCATTAGGCTAACCACCGGCTCCCTCCCGCTCATCCAAATGAGTACCAGAATCATCCACTACCCTGTCGCGCTCCGAACTGAACTACCGTCCCGTATACTTACCCCCTGTCTTTCCTAATTGACTCGTTATACCGTGTGATCTAGCATGCCGTGGACCAGAACCCTCGACTACATTCTAAATTTAGAACAAATTTTAATATTAATAATAAAAACAAAATAGGTGATGCAAACAATTGAAAACAAAAGATATAAAACTAATATTAATAATAAAAACTAATGAAATATAATAATAACTTGTGCTTTTTAATCTAATGAGTTTAAAATGGCATTGATATAAAACTACCAAGCTACGACCCATTCTTGACTAACTTTTATACTTAAATAATCCTACATTGTATTGCCACAACATATAGTAATCACAACATTTGCAAGAATGCAAACCATTATTCTAAACAAAACTTTGCACCCAAATTCACAAAAATAGTTGGATTAAAACAAACCCAATATGCTTAAATTTGTTTCTTTCCAAACAAATCTAAAACAATAATAAACTCTAATAATAACTACAAGAATAATAATAACAATAATAATAAACAAAAATAACAGTAAAAATCATTTTTTTTAAAAAAAAAAACGAATTAAAAAAAAAATTCAAAACCTAGTAAACACCCTGTTTTTTCGAACAACCTAGGCTCAAACGCCTAGTTCGTTCGAACAACCGTGTGGTTGTTCTAATTTTCTAGGCGTTTCATCTCAACCGCCCAAATCTTTCGTACAACCATACGGTTGTTTGAACGAACTAGGCGTTTAAGCCTTGGTTGTTCGAAAAAACAGGGCGTTTGAACCCGATTTCAGAAAAAAAAAACAAACCTTGTTTCCGGCGACCGCCTTCCCCTTGTCCTTCCTCATCATATCCACGACTGTGTAGATCGAGAAACTGGAGATTAAAGGAGGTGGTGGTTGTTTAGAGATAGAAGAGGGAGTAAGGGTGGGTAAATTATGTTTGAGGAATTGAGGGGGGTAATTTTTTTTTTTTTTTTAATATAAGGGTAAAACTGTTAAATTTATTTTATTTTGCGGGCGTTAGGTAGATATTCGAGGGCAACGTTTAGCTTTCCACTAATTACATATTTGAAAAGTTCATAATGAGAGGAATCTAACAAGATCTATTTTGATAATGTTTCTCTTTATAGATTAGTATTAAAATGTAGTTAAAATTTAGTCAAATTATTAAATCAGATCAGATCAGATAAAGTTAGATTAGACCTTAATAAAATGAGATAAGATCTCCTTGTTTAAGGTGAAGAAAATAAGTTCTAAATACAATGAAGTGATTAAATGGGCTTAGATTACATAGTAGACAATGCCTGGGCCTTGGGTGAACGTTTCATCATGGGGCTGGATGGGTTTTCATAATTGGGAGTGAAATGCAAAAAATAAGAGCGTATAGAATAAAGAGAAAGAGAGAGAGAGTAGAGAGCGCCATTAACCCTGAATTCAAAATTATACAGTACTGTACTGAATTGAGTAGAGTTTCATCTTTGCAACAATGGCGATGGCTCTGGGTGTGCGATCGTCAAGTATAGAACCGTTGGAGTAAGTGTGTTGTTCAGAGATGCAATCAGAGGTTTTTCCATGCCATGGACGGGGACCCTAACGTTCCGGCCCCGCTGCTCACCTCCGCCACCCGCTCCGTCAACTTCAACTCCAACTCCAACTCGTCTTCTTCTTCTTCTTCTTCTTCTTCTGCTACTTCCTCTGAACCTGATTTTCTCCGTAATGTTCAAGCCGCTTTCAAACGCCACCGTTCCATTGGTATTTTTTTTTTTTTTTTTTTTTTTTTGATTTTGCCTTTTCTCCCTATTTTCGATTTAGGGTTTGCTTTTATTTACTCAACTTCTACTAAATCTGCTTTATGTTTTTTTGTTTTTGGATTTTGGGCATCCGAAACATCACTATCAATCGTCCAATTTCACATTGTATATACTTGAATTCAATTCTAAATTCTCCAATTGGGTTTTACTACCAATCCGATTGCTTGTGCTTAAGGCTCCATTGTCAGATTCAATTCACGCTTTTATCTAATCAACAACATCCTAGGGATTCCTAGCTCTAAACACCTTGCAATTTTGAGATTTTCTGGGCTCAAATTTGGGGGTTTAACCACCAGATGCCTTTCTTTATCCTCTTTTTTTCTAATGATGCTTGGAACTTACAGGTACAATGCAATCAACTAACTTGTTACCAAGACGTAGTGTGCTACCACAAAGGGAAACGCCGAAAAGTTCAGTGCATAATTCAGGTTTAACAGTAGAGACCAAGAGGTCTGTTGAAATTGCTTCTCAACCCAAGAATCTCCATGGCCACACTAATGAGAGATCGTCTGTCATCGATCCTCAGGAAGATGCCTCACTTACGCCTCCTTCCTTCACCGCTACTATCACCAATACCTATGATGACAAGTATAATCCATTTGGAGGGCACATCAAGGAAGATCAACTTACCTGCAAAGCTGGTGTTGACATCAATGTTTCCTGTGGTGCACAATCTAAACATTGTCAAATGGTGGAGGGTTCAAGGAAAGTCAAATTTTCACTGGCCAGCTCTGCCAATTCACAGGGTAATTTATTAGAATTCATTTTTTACATGTTTCAATTATGACACCTTTTATTCCTTAGAACAAAACAACTCAAATTTTTGCTTGTTACCAAAGAGTTCATATCACTCTTATGATTGTGCTTTTGCGTCGAAGTCGTGCTACAAGTGTGTTTGACTGTTGTTCATTTTTACTGCTGCCATTTTTGTTCAGAATTGCACAACTTTTTCTTAAATTAAAATTCATCTAAATTAGGTTGGTATTATATTGCATAATCATCAACTTTAGAACTTGCCTGTTCAAATATAAATCAATTGTGAAATTGTGGGAAATGTACCTTTTCCTTTTCTTCAATGCTGCTATTAATGCAGGAACTGATGGTCAAATGGCCACCAGAATGGATTTGGCCACCAGATTGGACAACTTATCTTCTCATATGGATTCACTTGCATTGACAGAAATGGAGTGGGAAGCGGTTAATCAAGCAGAGATTTCCAATGTCATTAACAATGAACCAAAACTTCAGGATGCTGTCAGTGCTGATGCAGATGGTTGTTCGAGAGGTGATGGAGGCTCTTCAGTACTAGCAGTAAGAATGTCATCTCTTCAGAACCAGCTGCACCACTTGAGAGATTTCCTGCATAATGATGTAAGCCATCCAATGACCCAATCTTCTGTGGTGGGATCATCTTGTGTCACCACAACCTCTGTCCATGCAACATCTGCACCGATGCTCAATTCAACAACTCATTCTTCATGCCCACATCAAGATAGTTCAGCAGTTGGGTCCTTAACTGATGCCAATCGGATTTCTCAGAACATAGCCGTAAGAGATGGGACGCATCAAGCTTGCCCTACATCTGTAAATGTCAGTGGAGTTGATGCTGACAGGGCACTCAGTGGAGCTCAAGCTTCGAGCTCTGCAACAAATTCCTTAGCAGAAGTCAAAGAAATCCAACAACATAACTTGCAGCAAGCTAAAGTACCGGCTGATCCACCCCAAACTCAAAGCCAGCCCATAATGGAGAAAGGACAGGGGGCTGATGCTTCACATATCCCACCACCTAGCTCCTCATCAAAGGACCTGTCTTCTAATGTGAAGCTGGAGCCCTCTAAATCAGAGAAACATGAAAAGGCACCATCTCGGAAAAAGGGTTATGATCCTGACTTGTTTTTTAAGGTGAATGGGAAACTTTATCAAAGGCTTGGCAAGATAGGAAGTGGTGGGAGTAGTGAAGTTCATAAAGTTATCTCATCTGACTGTACAATTTATGCTTTGAAAAAAATCAAGCTTAAAGGTCGTGATTATGCTACTGCTTATGGATTTTGTCAAGAGATCCTGTATTTAAAGAAGTTAAAGGGGAAGGATAATATTATCCAACTCATTGATTTTGAGGTAGGCACTCTTCAGATTCCAATTTATACTCTGTCTTGGCAGAATTAATGATTTCTTTTGGGAATATAACAGACAGGGTTCCTGTAAAATTTAGTGTCTTATTTCAGTTGTTTATATGCTATCATTCAGTGATCTATAGTTGTGGGCTTAAGTAGGTTGGACAATCTTTGTTTTATCCTCATCTCATCATACCACACTAACGCTCACATCATGTTTACCTCAAGCGTAATTGAGTGAGTATACAAGATGAAGCAATAAAATCAGCTAGCTGCAATCCTCTTTCATTTCTTATGCAACCTCATAGGATCTAGTTTTTTTGGGGATTTAGAACCTATGATTTTTAGTTTCTCTGTTTTCCTTTGGGACATTCATTGATTGACTAAACTTTGTTAGCACTGTCATGATCTAGGTTACGGATAAAGCTTTACTACATGAAGTTATGAACGGTTCCATTTCTAACAAGGACAGCAGAGTCAAAGATGATGGATATATTTACATGGTTCTTGAGTATGGAGAAATTGACCTGGCTCATATGTTATCTCATAAGTGGAGGGAAATTGAAGGCACCAACTCAACTATGGATCAAAACTGGCTTCGTTTCTACTGGCAGGTTTGTGATCCCATTCTTGGTTTAATAAGCCTTGACAGGATTTGCTTTTTTAATGCAGAATGAATTTCTAATTTCTGCTAATCAGTAATAAAATTAAATTAAATTTAAGTGTAAAAAAGTATCATCCTAATGTCCAGGATAATTTCACCACACATAACTTTAATGGAAATTTAATATGAAGAGAAAGATATAATTTGGGGGTAAGCTAGCGTTACCATGACATTGGCATAATTCTTTCCTTACAAATTTACGTACACGTTCATTCTCTTTACTACTTTACTATCGAATCATTTCATTTTTAAAAAGTAGTTGATTAGTGATCATACTGTCCAACTTGCTTATAACTCATCCATTTCATCAGGTATAGATAGATCACATCTCCGTACCGGAGTAGTTTGAAACAAAAATTAATGATTTTGGTTTACTAGTATAATTTTGGCTAGACTGAGGGAATAGTGCACTAACTTTTTTTTTTGTGTCAATTTTGATGTCAGCAAATACTCCAAGCTGTAAACACAATTCATGAGGAGCGTATAGTGCACTCTGATCTGAAGCCAGCCAATTTTCTCCTTGTCAAAGGTTCATTGAAACTCATCGATTTTGGCATTGCTAAAGCTATAATGAGTGATACAACCAACATCCAAAGGGATGCCCAGGTTTTTTTCTTCCTCCACCCAGTATTTTTAATGGTTATACTGTAAACTCTAAAACTGGAATTCAAGTAAGTGCTCAGCTATCATCTATTTGCTCATGCAGGTGGGTACATTGAGTTACATGTCACCGGAGGCATTTATGTGCAATGAGAGTGATGCAAATGGGAATACTATAAAGTGTGGGCGCCCTTCTGACATATGGTCTCTTGGTTGCATTCTTTATCAAATGGTTTATGGAAGGACACCCTTTTCAGAATACAAGACATTCTGGGCCAAGTTTAAAGTAATCACTGATCCTAGTCATGAAATTACATATGGTCCAGTTTCCAACCCTTGGCTTCTGGATCTGATGAAGAAGTGTCTTGCATGGAATCGCAATGAAAGATGGAGAATTCCTGAGCTTCTTGAGCACCCATTTCTTGTTCCTCCTATACAACAGCAGTTGCCCCCTACACTGAAGCAACATTGTAAATTTACTCATGAGAATGTCCCAAATCTGTGCTCTGAGTTCCAACAGCTACTAGAAGATCCAGCTGCCATATCTCGAGATAATCAATTTAGGATACTATCGCAAATCTCATGCATCTGTCAGCAACTTCAGGAGCACCTCACAAAGATGAGCTAGTCTATATGTAGAAGAGGAATGTACAGTAGCAACATCTCTGCTAAGCATTTTGAATCACGTTCTCTTCTATGCATAATATGATTTGTGAATAAGTTCTGCTTTAAATTTTTTTTTTATGGCACCTTCCATCAGACTGATTGAATCTTAAATTATGGTTGTACAATCCTGTAATCTCCATGAAATGAATGTAGCTCCTATTTACTGAGGAAATTTAAAATGAATTATTACACTGAAAATATTTTCTTTTTTGGATTGGTTTGGGTCTTGTTTAATCCAAGTTCAATTTTATATATTTTTTTTTTTTGCGATTAGGGCATTGCATAATTTTGCATTACAATTTTTTACAAGTATATTTGTGTTAAGTGCACACCAATTCCTGGCTTTTACAGTAGATTCTGATCATATTCCGATCACAGAAATCAATTGTTAATCGTAATCTAATTGAAGGATAAAATTTAATTGTAAATTGCAAACTTCAAACATGAACAGATGGACTAGTAGTGACGAGATAAGCACTCTGATAACTGAAAAATCAATGATCAATCTTCAGAATCCAGATTGTACGCTATCATCTCCAATCAGTCTTTGATGTCTTTCAAGTTAAAACTAGTTTATATTTTTCTTGAGAGACCAAAAATCTAGCTCCATTTACAAGTCATTAAAGTATTCTCTAATTCGAACTACAAGTACAAATTAATCAATGGCATTTCAAGTACCCATTACCATAATCAAAATTCCAAATTGTACATTTGGCCATTAGTAAGGTTACAGATGGAGCAAAGCAATGCCAAATTTTTTTTATAATTTTTTTTAAAATTATTTGTTGGGTTAAGTCCCAACTTCCTATGCAGAACTACAGAATCGCAAGAACAAAGCTTGTGCTACTATGGAGCACTGAATAGCAGAATCTAATCTCCTCTGAAGGCAATCGTTGTACTAGTCTTTGCAGTGGAGACATATTCAGTCTTCATCGAGAGGTTTAAGTTTGAAAGAGGCTTCAGCAAGCGCTTCCTCCAGCTTAAAAAGCAGCTCCTTCATAAAGGGCGTATTTGTCCCATGGGTCAGTCGCAAAATATCCAGTGCCTTGGTTAATGATCTAACACAATTTGCAGTTTCACCAAGTAACCTGCATGCAAAGATACACAAATTGCTCAACTTCAAAGATGTGGAACAAACAAACACAAATTGCTTTTCTCAATAAGGGATCAAAATACAAAATACAATTCATCCTGGAAGAGCAACACCTCTTGATCACGGTGAGGAACAACACAAATTGCTTTACTTTTCAATAGACCATGTTCTTACCATTCAAGCTTTCCACATGTATAATATTGCAACCCAAGCATAGGATGACAACCAGGGTAAGCCTCTGCAAGACGATTCCCGAAAAGCTTGAGATAACCAGTCCAACCATTTGGGGAGGGGGGAAGGTGGAATCATATAGGTAGTAGGGGATATTATCCTTCCAGTTATTCAGCTCCATGAACACCTAATATGGAGAAAATACATCAATGAGATGCACATTAAAATCATCAAAAAAATCACTGTCATAGTTAGCTCAAGTTTTCTGATTTCTATTAGGGCTTTGTGAGTCTTATGGAGCTCCCACGTCTCCAATATGTGTTTTTTTTTTGGTACTCTTTGAGTTTAATCTTATGAAAGCAACAGTTACACAATTATAACTCCATGCATTCTAAAACAAAGGCAAAACTTTTACAAGTCTGAGGAATTAGTTAAAAAAAATTCATATATTTCAGATTTTAGCTATAACTAGATTCCCCATGAATTATGCTGGACTTGAGATCTACTGGAAGGAATGAAAATACACAAGCCCATGATGTACCTTTAAGAGACTATCTCGTGTGCGCATTAGATTAAGAGATAGTGGGTAGCATAATTTTATCTGTAGCTTTTCAACTGCATTATACATAGAACCAGCTTCTTCATTATCTGAATTCTGTCAAAGAACCACCTCCATTTGGATACAATAGCATGAGGAATAATATTATTTTTTGAGAAAGGGGAAGATGGAAAGAGAAGGGGGGGGGGGGGGGTATAAACTATAAAGAAACAATGTCAACACTATACTACAAGATGTTATTAAAACTATTCTGATTTCCAAAACAAACATTTGAAAGGATACTTCCCGATTTCAGGGAATCCTCAGCCTTTTCAGAAAAGGTATTCACTTCACTTGCAATCTTTCTAAGATCTTCCAGTTTCCTTGCATGGCCCATTGTTGGCAAATGAATGCCTTGTTTTCTGTATATCAGAAATTGACAACTGATGTTAAGCATCCAAGTACTGTTCACAAACTTTCTAAAAAAAGTACTACGTTCGTACCTAAATCCCTGAGCAAAAATCCCATGCATGCATTATTTTCACATCCATAACCTTCCAATATAGAACTTTCTTGAATATCTTCGCATTGCCCCTTTAATATGATACAATAGGTCAGTATCACAGTCAAACAACAGAAATTTCAAATAGCAAAGAGTAATTAGCTTGAGCCATAAACTTCGGGGTGATTAAGGAACAATGTCATAATTCAAGGCACTTACTAATTTAATGCAACGAGGACATGAGCAGCTGAATAAGTACTGTTCTTTTAGAGCCTTTTGTCTGAGTCATGGTGCTTCCAGCAGTTTCTATATAACTTATTAGTACCTTCAAGAGCACCAGAAAATTACACTCAGACTTCATTATGCCTCTCTCGTTGTTTCTCTTTTTCCGTTTTCGGGGGATAGGGCTCAGGTTGTATTACACAAGAAGCAGACAGAAGGAAATAAACATGATTTGTGCAACACTACTGCTATTATCACGCCATTAAAAGTAATTGCAGTATGCATAAGAAATGGAAGAGAACTAGTCAAAGGATACCTCAGTACCTTTAGGTATAGGTTGCACTGCACGAACCACGGCTTGTTTTCCCTCAAACATCAATACTGCATTTGGCAAGCAACTGAAATACTATAACCAATAAGCACTTACAGTTCCAATTGCACAAACAAACAAAAAAAAGTAGCCAAATTACCTGTGATTGATTATAGGTATAACAGGATATAGTCTTATACCCAAAGGTCTAAGTTCTGAATCACATATACTATGTACATTGCAAGCAAGTTGCAACAACACAAAACAATGAGTATATGAGAGACAGGCCCAAACTCAGATTTAAGAATTTTGTAGTAACAAAAAATCGAATTATCTCTGATGTATTTATTATGATAACCAATTTAACCTCAATTGGAATCTGATAAACCTAGCATATGCTTGAGTGATACATGGATAGAAACATATTTACATAAGATTAATTTTTAAATGTGCTTTAGGTAGAACAAGTATCAAGCTGATGCCATTAAATAGCCATAACTTTTGCATATATTGGCTGCAAAGCGGCTGAAAGTCTAAACACTACAAAATTAAGAAATCAGTATCAGAGCATATCCAGGATGCATGCATTCCAATGACTATAAGCCAACTACAAGTTTCACCAGCAAATTAAACCTTGGAAAAGTTCTCTGCAACTTCTTTCAGTTTCAAGCCAGGCCACTGAAGTATCACACTAACAAGGTTGGCCATCTGTGCATATAAAACCGGCTGCTCGTCATCAATCTCAGTCATATCTTCAAAGGAAATATGGTTAAGCAAAACAACAAAGGGAATAAGATTATTTTAAGAAGAGGTTGGGTTGATAAAACTGTAGTACCCATGAATTCCAGCTCTTTTTCTCAGTCAAAAATTACTGTACTTCCTAGACCCCACAATCCCACCCCCAAACATAGTCTCTCCTTTCCCAGTCACAAGAACCCCCCCCCCCCCCCCCTTCTCTCTTTTCCTCCCTACTCACAAAAAAAAAAAAAAAAAAAAATTCCACACATTTTATGGAGGATACGAGATACTAATGCCTCCATCAAGTTGTAGTTATCAGTCACGGTAGTTGGTATAACCTGCCAAATGAACACTCATGAGTTATGATTTTAAAATCAGAAAATGTATTCATTCATAACAGGATAAGTTGGTTAGCTTGCTAGATAATTAAAAATATGAGAACTGATGACTTCCCACATCAAACAATTGACATAGATTCTGAATCTTGACAATTACTGCCAGGACAGCAATAGAGAGGATAAAGAACAAGGTACACGGAACAAGAACAAGAACAACCTTGATAAGGAATATGAGTATACGTTTGCAGGTATTATTTCAAGAATTTCATTACAGAGTATATTTTATAATAACCTGGAGGTATGCAAGATACTCAACCTTTTCATCCTGCGGCTTTCTTCTCAAGTAAAGCTTAACCATCAAGCGTATAGAGGGTGTGAGGTACTTTAGCCTTTCCTTTTCAAGCTTTGAGTGTCTGGCATTCAACACGATGGAACATCCAATCCGATTTCTGGCAAGGGAGCAACAAAAAACATAAATTTCAGCATGGATTAGGCTGAGATGATGAGCATATATACATATATATAAAATAATAATAATTAAAAAAAAAAATCCATTTGTGATGTTTTCTCCAATTCTAGATGAATTTAAGGACGTTAGCCCAAAATTAGGTGCAAGTTGATATCACTAATTCCAATGTTTCTTATCTATTACATTCCATGCTGTAAAATTATTTGTTCCAAACATATTGATTAGAACACAAATGGGAGAGAAATGAGATACATCTATGCGAAGGAGGCAACATCATCTAACTGATTTGAGATCACAAAGGAAAATTAATCAAAATGCCTGGCAAGTACTCCCACAATACCACAAGTATAGCATGTACATATAGCTATAAAATTGGGACAAAAGTTGCAGTTTCTGTAACAGGGGATTACATGAATTTTGAGTACCCTTAGTGACACCAAAGATGAATCATGAAAACTTCATTACAGTTGGCCAGTAATAGTATAATGAGTAAGAATGTTTGGGTAATTTTGACAAACACCTTACCTGCATTCCCAGCTAAGAGTATAAAAAGGAAGTTTGGGGTTTGAGTAATTAATACCAGCAGGTAAAACTAGAGGTATAAGCCCATTGATTGATTGATAAATGTAAACATCACAATGATTCTAGCAATGCAAGAAAGTGTGGAAAATGAAAACGGAAGAAAGAAAAAACCTGGAGAAAAGTTCCTGGCAGTGAAAAGAAAACGTCCTTTCTCCGGCGAAACTGAAACGGAAAGCCCTATTTCCGACAGATAGCCCTGCACCTCCTCCATGCTTCTACCTTCTTCTCAGTCTTTCCCTAGGCTGTTTAGCTTTTTGTTTTTCTTTTTCAAGGAAAGGAAACTACTCAAAAGTCAAAACACACAAACCTTTTCCTCAAAATTACATTTAACCCCCTTACCCTCGAAACCCTTCCAGTCAGCTCTCCCTCTTTTTCTTTTTTTCCTTGCCAAATAGTAGGAAAAGTGAGGAAGGGAATAGGAGTCATCAAATAACTTTTTCCATTATCAAAAAGATGTAGAGTTATAGTGGACACTGGACAGCAGACAACCTTTATTTTCATGGGAAAATTGTAAAGAGAGTTTTGCAGTTGCCAAAGTAACAAGTTTTTTAAGGATAGAAACCAAAGCATTAAATTAAGTAGCTGTAAAATGGGAAAAGAAAAGGTTTGTGTGAGTTTGGTCGAGAAAATGGAGTGACTTTGGGAGGGAAGCCTGAAACAATGAAGTCCTGTGTATGTCAGATTCGAACTTGTTTTGTATCACACTCTATGAGTTTCTGTGTTGACCTCTTTTTAATGCACTTCACTTTTTGTTCACTAGTTACTTTACTAGACTTTCTGGGAACTTAATCTTTTGATGTTGATCTATGTCTTCTAAAATAATGAGCCATAGAGTATAACTTACAATGATTGTGATAATGACTAAGCATTTTATGGAAAGAAATCTTGGATGTTGCTTGTGATGTTATATGTTTCTATTGCATGTTCTACATATATTCAGTTTCTACCATTCATTGCTCTACTAAAAGTTAAATTAATGGTGTGAGATACATGGGCAATAAGCTGAATATGTGGCTACTTTGTACAAACAATTTATATATGATTCATTTTATCTGTGTTTTCTTCTCACTTAATTACCCTCCGACTTTTGTCTTCCACAGGCCAAGCGCAAGGTCAATGAGGCTGATGCTGTTCCTACTTCCTACAAAAACTACTCTAAGGTCGGATCATGGGGAGATTAATAGAGAAGAGCTTAGGAGGCAGCACCAAGCTGAACTTGCTCGTCAAAAGAATGAAGAAACTGCTCGGCGACTTGCTGGTGGTGGTGCAGGGGCAGGAGATAATCGTTCTTCATCAAGATCTTCAACAGAGCTGGAAGCTTACAAGAATGTAAACGATCTTCCACAACCAAGGGGTGAAATGATGATTCAGGTTGATCAGAAGAATGAGGCTATTTTACTGCCCATCTATGGAAGCATGGTCCCTTTCCACATTGCCACTGTCGAGACTATCACCAGTCAGTCAGATACCAATTGCAATTGGTATGTTCGGATAATTTTTAACGTTCCAGGCAGTCAGGCACACCTTTTAGTCCATACGATGTGAATTCTTTGAAGAATCAGGGGGCAATGTTTGTGAAGGAAGTTTCCTTCCGTTCAAAAGACTCTAGCCATGTGAATGAGGTGGTTACGCAGATAAACACGCTTCGGCGGCAGGTTGCTGCTAGAGAGTCTGAGAGGGCAACCTTGGTCACTCAGGAAAAACTTGTAACTGCTCAAAACAGATCCAAGCCAATGAGACTGTGTGATCTATTGGTCCGTCCTGCTTTTAGTGGACGGGTAAAAAAGATGTCTGGTACTCTAGAAGCACATGTGAATGGATTTCGGTTTTTTACCTCCAGGTCAGATGCGCGTGTTGATATCATGTTTGCTAATATCAAGCATGCATTCTTCCAGCCTGCAGAAAATGAGATGATAACTCTTAATCATTTCCACTTCATAATCATATAATGGTGGGTAACAAAAAGACCAAGGATGTGCAGTTTTACGTTGAAGTGATGGAAGTGGTCCAGTCCCTGGGTGGTGGGAGACGATCTGCGTATGATCCTGATGAGATTGAAGAAGAGCAGCGAGAAAGAGACAGGAAGAACAAAATCAAAATGGATTTCCAAAATTGTCACCAGGGCAAATGAACTTTGGGGGATGCCACAGTTTAAAGATCTTGACCTTGAGTTTGATATGCCTTTGAGGGAGCTTGGCTTCCATGGTGTACCATACAAGGCTTCTGCTTTCATTGTCCCCAGTTCAAGCTGTCTTGTTGAGCTGATTGAGACACCCACCCTAGTGATCACTCTGAGTGAGATTGAGATAGTGAACCTGGAGAGAGTAGGCTTTGGGCAGAAGAATTTTGACATGACAATCATATTCAAGGATTTTAAGAAAGATGTGTTCCGAATTGATTCTATCCCCACCAGTTCTTTGGAGAGCATCAAAGAATGGCTAGATACCACTGATATCAAATATTACGAGAGCAGATTGAATCTGCATTGGCGTGCCATTCTGAAGACTATCACTGATGATCCAAAGAAATTTATAGAAGATGGAGGGTGGGAATTCTTGAACATGGATGCAAGTGATTCTGAAACCGATGAGTCAGAGTCAGATAAAGGCTATGAGCCATCTGATGTGGAGGCTGAGTCAGAGTCAGAAGATGAAGCCTCTGACAGTGAATCCTTGGTGGAGTCTGATGAGGACGAAGAGGAAGAGGAGGAAGAAGAAGGCTTGACTTGGGAAGAGCTAGAGAGAGAAGCAAGCAATGCAGACCGTGAGAGGGGAGATGAATCTGACAGCGAGGAAGAGAGACGTAAAAGGAAGATGAAGGGCAGCTTTTGGGAAATCCCGTGCTGGCCCTAGCAGCAGCAGTTTGCCTAAGCGTCCCAAGGGTAGGAGGTAGATGGGTTTGGCAGACTGATCGGTAAGTTCAGTTTTGTGGTCAGCTGATATGGGTTCTAGATAGGTTCTTTTGGGTTGTGTTCTTCTAGATATGGGTACTTTTTCATTGCTTTGTTCTTGTTATGGTTTTTGCTGTGGGCATTGTATAACGTTCATCCTAGAAATGAAAGAAGTTTCACATGTAAATTGGTAAAAGTGGTGAAATTAGTTTTGTTGGAGTCAAGTACCTTTCTTTTCTAGCATAATTCTCTCATTTGTTGGTATCATCCCTCTTTTTTGCAAGTTGATATCTGCCATGTATTTCCTTTCGCATCCTGTAGGCTGTATTGCCTAATTGCCTGTATACAAGTACTTGTATTAGGCTATTAGCAAAAAAAAAATAAAAAAAAACAGGTTTATGTGCATTTTGCACTTTTTTAAAACACTTAGCAGAGAATGTAACGACTAACGAGTGCTGAGATGCTCATATCTTAGCTAGTTGACAAAGCACTATTAGAAAGGTTTGCTACCAAAAAAAAATCTGCTTCATCATAAATTTAATTTGAATGGATGATTTAAGGTATTCAACTCATGAGGAAATCCGAGTTAATTAATGAGATTGGCAAAGCTTTCCAATCATCAAATGACATAATCGTGAATAAAACTACTTTTTTCATAAAGATAATAAAAATTAAAGGAATATAAATGTCCTTGATTGACATTTTTTGTCGAGCTTATTGATTAACTCGGACACCGCCTTCAACTCACATTATTTGGGTTGTTTATTTTGGGTTTTTTTTTTTAAAAAAAAAACAAGATTTTTTCACTCAAGCTAACAAATAGGTAAAATCTCAATTCTCACTTTACTTATCAGTTCAATCTATAGAATTCATTCGGCAGAAAAACTCTTTGCGAAATTAAACACTTCATCCAATTTTAGGTGTTTATGGATTATAATTTTATAGATGCTCTCGATTAAAATATTTAATTAAGCGAACGCATCAAAATAATTTCAAAATATAATACTCCCCCTCTTTTTTTCCCTTAGAGGAAAATAAATACAATACTACATAAATAATTAATTAATTAAATAAAAACGAGTATTTTTTTTAAGGTAAGGAGAATTCTCTTGCAAGTAGAGAGAAAATTACGTATCCCATTTGCTTGGGGTGAGAATTGAACCCCCCTCACAGAGATGGAAGGAGGTGCCGGAATGCCTAGTATCAGAGCTAATTGTAAAATTTCTTTTCAAAACAGCGCATAGCGCGTGCCGGAATGCCTAGTATCAAGATATTTTGTAAGTATCTCTAAAGATTCGATTTTTCTGTTTCTTCTTCAATGGCGGATGCTATCCGTTTATTTTATTGCAATTCCCTTCGACTTTCCGTATAATTTTGGCATCAAATTAATCGCAATTCCCTTTAAAATCGTTGATTCTGCTTTTGTTTCTTCCTTCAAACCCAGAAAGGAACCGTCCTCTTTCAAGGTAATAATTTTATAATTCTGTTTTTCTTTTTTAAAATTATTTAACATAATACGATCAATATACATGTAACATGTTTCTTATGTATGTATGTTGCTGTAGTAATTTGCATTTTATTGATTGCTGTTTGAGAGAAAGATAAGAGCAGGTTCCGTGGTTTATAGAGAGAGGGAGGAGTAATTCGAAACTCACTGAGAGAAACTAACAGAGGGAATCGCATTGAGAGTTTAATGTTCCGGGGTTTCAGTTGTCGTTCTCCTTAAGTGAAAGCCATGGACTCCGATCATCTTCACTTATTTCTCTGCGGAAAATCGTCGGCCGAGAAAGATATTGCTTATTCTCTCCTTTCTAATTCTAATTCTAATAATAATTACAATACTTGTCAATTTCAAGTTCCCAATACCAATGCCAATACATCTCTTCGTCTTCAATCTCACCTCCCTCGACCTACCAACGCATCGTTTAATGTGGATTCCTTCTTCACTTCTCTTTCTACTTGTCGTTTTGGGCGCTTTCTCATTTGGTCTCCTCGCTTGCCTTCTACCCACGACGTCGTTTCACAGTATCCCTCTTTCACTTCTCCTTTTATTTCGTTGTTACTCTTACAATCACCGTATTCAGATATTCATTATTGTATTTTTGGTGATGTAACAGTAATTTCAGTGAGCTTCCTGTTGGATCAGTTTGTGTTGCTGATGTTCAATTCAAAGGCAAAGGTAACTCTATTCTGTATTAGCTTTTATCATTTCAGTTTATTCTACAATTTACATTGATTGCTGTGCTAAACTTTCACTTATAGTTTGTATGGGTTGTAATTTACTCAAAACATAACTCATTCACTAAATCAGTGAATTATGCTGCATTTCAAAACCTAAACACACAACTACATCCTTTAGAGACAAGTACTCTCACTTTCACGCTCGTCAATGCCTAACTTTGGTCATTGATGTCTTTAAATTATTATTAAGTAAAATTGAATAAAAAAAAATGATATTTAGAAAATAATCATTGGCACGAATCCAACAAAATCACGTGTTTGTGTTTTTACTAAGTACAGAGTATAAATTTTAAAAAAATTGGTAATATATAGTATGTGAAATAAATCAAAGTGTTTCATCTAAACAAACGAAGGAATGTAAATCTTGCTAATATAAGTGTACTTAAATGTGCAGGAAGGTCAGCAAATGTTTGGGAATCTCCACCAGGTTGTCTTATGTTTTCGTTTACATTACAGATGGAGGATGGACGAATAGTGCCTTTAGTGCAATATATTGCTTCTCTTGCACTTACGGAAGCTATTAAAGATCTTTGTTTTAACAATGGCCTGCCTCAGTTGGGAATTAAAATTAAGTGGCCTAATGACCTTTACTTAAATGGCTTCAAGGTTGGTGGGGTACTCTGCACATCCACTTATAAATCGAAGAAATTCAATATCAGTGTGGGTAAATGCCGTCAAACCTCTTTTTTCCCTCTTTCAATGGTTTTCCAATTCAATGAATTATTATTATAACTTCCTTTTTTTTCCAATTCCTGTTGTAGTTTGATGCAAATGATCTGTTGTATTACTTGTATGCCCAAGATCATTGTTTTCTCTTTCAGGGATTGGATTAAATGTAGATAATAAACAGCCGACAACTTGCTTGAATGCAAGGTTGCAACAAATAGCCTCTATGTCCTGCCAACTACGCAAAGAAGACATCTTGGCCTCCTTCTTTGACAAGTTTGAGAATTTCTTTGACCAATTCTTAAGCCAAGGTAAACCAAGTTTACTCTTTTTAATCCATATATAGTTAGCTTTTAGCTCTATTTAGTTTCCTGCCCACTGTCTGTTTAATGTTTATGCCACTTTACCCCTGCTCGCCTGAAGGAGTATATGTGAATTGCTTCAAACTTGATAAAAGACTTATTACTTGTACAGGTGCTAATGAGCTATAAAATTCACGAATTTTGACAAAAGCTTGAATTTAATTAAATGGATGCATAAAACTCCAAAGAAATCTTAATTACGATATATCAATCATTCTACAGTGAGTACATATATTTGTGTCATTCTGCATGGAGTAAGATTTAATTGACTTCCCTTACCTACTCTGTTGATACTTGAGAGGAGGGCTTTATTAGAAATGGTGAAAACTAAAAAGTATTCTTTTGTAGAATACTGATGATTCTATTATTCTTTCAGGTTTCAAACCTTTAGAGGAACTCTACTACCAGACTTGGTTGCACAGGTTAGATGCAGGCCCTGTCTTGTTTAAACCTCAATTACATAGAAAAGCTGCTTATACAGGTTGTCTTATATTGGTTTACCTCAGTAACCCTATCTTCTTGATTACTTTCGCAATTTACAAGTATTTGGTCATTCATACCCCTTAGTTATTACTGGCTGCGGTAAGCCTTCCCTGTGGTATGTAGCAAACTAGCAATACTTACTTTGGGGATATAAACTATTCAGAAGTTTTGGATTTTATAATGTACAAGCGTTTTCTTGCAAGTGCTTTTACTTGTTTTAACTGGATGACATTAGCAAGACAAAGGAGCAAATTGTTGCTGTAGCCTAAATTACGAAATTGACTGCACTATGCAAGCTTTTATATCTTACATTTATAGAACAAATGGGTTGAGGGTATTTTTTATTTGCAGCCTTCATTAATCATTCAAAACAGGATGCACAAATTTGCATTGGGATCAGGCATAAACCATATATATTTGAACTATATAGATCCTCCAAAAGTTTAAAAGGTGCATGCAGGATTGCAGCTTCAAGGGTTGCAATATTGAGACTGTTGGTCAAGTGTGTATAAATGTAATACTTGAGACACTGCATGTTGATCGACTTCTTGAGTATCTTTAGCTAGAAGTATAGTGTCCTTTGATAGGTTTTTATTCAATAAATATCTTTATTCCCCTGGATTTCTTGATTTTATCTTCTAGGGACAGAAATCCTTGTCAACTTCTGGAGCAGGAATAATTCTCTGTGTCCAAATGTGAATTATTGTTGGTTCTAAAATTGGGCTTTATTTCTGATCATTGCTCTTAAAGATCACATCTTGTAAACTCCTTGACTGTTGATATGAATCATGTTATGTTTAGTTCTTAATCACCCAATATAGTTCACATTCGTTTCTCGGCTCTCTACAGACAAATTCAGTTGTATTGACTTGGTGTTCTTTTGTTGTATACCTGCAGTGGACAAAGAGTTATTGTACAGGATACACGTGAAGGCCAAACAGTGGAAAATGCTGCTACTATTCAGGTAATACTTCAAAGCAATGCATATACATGTCTATAAAAGGATTATGTCAATCATGTATCCTGGTCTAGTACTTCCAATTCTTCAACACTCTTTATATGGTTATGCATGCACTGTAAGATCTTTGAAAGATAATAGGAAAACAAAATTGTTAGTTTGAATACTTACATTAAGAAAATTGCAAGGTATAATTGATGAATGATAACTTTACTTGGTATGTGATTCCAGCTTAGACCCCTAAATATTTGTTTGGCGTTAGTATCTAGCAAGTTGTGTTTGTTGGTATCTGCATTGGATATATTGGCATTTTTTTTTGTTCTTGTACTAAATATTGATTTTTCTTTCAGGGATTGACATCATCGGGGTATCTATTGGCAATTGGAGATGATGGCCAAATGTGTGAACTTCACCCAGATGGCAATAGGTTTGTCATCATAGATCTTCTTTTTTCCAATTTTGATCAAGTACATGCTTTCCTAGCATAAAAAACCTGCATTACTCATTTGAGGGATGGCTTTATTTCACAATAGTAGCCTACCTTTTAGAATGCTTTGTGGGAGCAGCTCTCTATAGGTGCCACACTGCAGTTTACTTCCTTCACTTCTATCAGCCTTGTTTGGAAAAGAAGTGGATTCTTGCATTATTGACAAAGGTGTCAAATTGAATAGTGTATTTCTGGTTTTGGTGTGGCGTTGAATGATCAAAGATATCACAGTGGTAACTTGGAAAGAAGAACTGAGGACGTCTTAGCTGGTTTTTCGTGATACTTTTACTGCAGTGTCTTTTGTTCTGCATAATTGCCAAACATTGATCCGCCTGTATGGCAGAGCATGACTTTTCAGTGACACGGATTTCTTATGCTGACTAGGTCTTTCCAAGGTTTCCTTTTGTCTTTTTCTTTTAGAGGTGAAACTTGGGACGAGTTTGCCCTCCTTACTGGTGATGGGCCTATTCCAGATAGCATGTAGCACATACTATTTATGAGGCTGTAAAGCAAGCCCTTGAAGATCTTCCGATACCCAGCGAACAATTACAACTAGTGAATATGTGGGAGGGTTCCCGGGGCACCAGTACAAGATGTATTATAACCATCAGTAGGCTTTGGAGACCCATTACTAGCACCTTGGAAAGCCTGAGTAGAAATCTTTCAAGCTCTAAAACAGCCTATAATGGTAATCTGAACATAAATGAAAATAGTGTAATAGACCCTTCCATTGCCCAATCATAAATGTCTAACATTTGTTGTGAAGCCTGCAAATGTAATCCATTGGCCATAGGGTACATACATGATATTAAAACCAATGCTATCTCTCTTGCTAAAGGCTACAACTAATGTCTACATAACTCGGTTTTGATGTTGCTGGTAAGTCTCCTACACTTCGTAGCCACTTTCAGAAGATAAATTGTTGTCTGCAGCATGAAGACTTTTGTATCGATATAGCAGAAGATAAGGCTCCCCGTGGAACCATTATGAGATTGGGCTTTAGATGTGAGTAGAACCAATGGGAGGCCTTATGCTGGTCACTTAATCACCATAACTTATTTAACACCATGGAGACCTTTATTGGACACTGGTAGGAAGCCTTCTTGGCCAAAAGTGAAGTGCAATTTTCATGGGTCTTTGCTAGCCTCCTGCAGTCTATAGAGGACTATTTAACCTTTACATATTGTGGACACATGCATTCTGATTTTTTTTTTGCAACTTTTCACCATTACCGTTTTTTTTTTTTTTTTTTTTTTTTTTTTTTTGTAGTTTTCTGCTCTCAAGCTGTGTAGATTAATTACAGTTAGATCAAAAATCTATAATATCCTTTGAATTTAAAATTTGATACTCGTGATTATGAAGTATATAATCTGTAATTAATGTGACTGAATGTATTGATTTGAACCCATAATCGGGAGTGATACCCAATAGCATGTTGTTGCCACAAGCAGAGTCCTGCCCTATTTTTTGGGAATCTCCCAATAGCTCCAAAGCATCATTTCCTATTAGCATAATGCCTTTCAAGCAGGTGAAAGCAGTGAAATTGTGCATCAGTGAGTGACGGAGGATTATATTGTGAGAGAATATCCTTTAGTTGTTTGTGTACCATGATATATGTAAGTGGTGTGCTACATATGTGAGTTTTCTGAATACTTTGGTTCAAATCCTCTTTCAAGGAATGTTAAGGAGGTATCTCCCTTCTCCACACATCTCACTGATCCTGGAAAGCAACTTTATGATATCAATTACAGAAATACAACTAAAAATATTGGAGTATTAGATCTATATATGTTCTTTTTATCCTGGATAATTAGAAGAATTATTTCATGGATTGAAAAGACAAGTTTTTGAGTGATGTAAGATTGAAAGATTTTTTTGAATCTAATTATTATTCTTAGGTTCTGTTGATGATCTCAAAGGACAAGTATTATTAGAAGAAAAGAATAAAAGGTGATGTCATTATTTTAGAGGCCAATAGCATAAGGCAGACAATTGTTGTCAAAATAATTAGAGTATTATGACAAAGAAGAATCAATCGTGTGGGTTTGCATAGGCAGGAAAATTTAGGAGGTTATTAGTCTTATTACCAGTATTACATGATCTCCAATTGTCTGCATGTTGAAAGAGTAGGAAGAGGTTGAGAAGTTTGATAATGTCTTCAATTCAAATTTATTTATATATTAAAATTTGAATGGACTTGTAAATTGTTATCATATTATACTACAGAGACGTGCCAAAATATTTCTTTTCCTCAAAATTATTATGCTACTCTTTTTGGTGGGTTGGTAGACCGGCTACGTTTATTATTGACCATTTAATCTTATTCTGTATTGGCACCTCTGATTTCTAATTGCTTTTTTTAGATCAATTATTCAAAGTTTGTCCAACTTAGTTTACATGAATTGTTAAAGACTTGTGGACATTGCAGTCAACAACTTTTAATTTGATGATTCAATTATATCTTTTAAGTTTTGTCAGTTCATGACTAATATACTTAATTTTATCCTGCGTGGCAGCCTTGACTTCTTCAAAGGACTAGTCAGACACAAATTGAGTTAAAGAATGCTCTACCATTCATTTTCATGTGCTATTTATAAGGTTGTTTCCTTTCCCTCTTTTTTTTAATTAAAAGAAATAATTAAAACAATGTTAGATCTTGCCTTTTTATTTGTGCGTATAGTAGTGCAATCCTGTTCAGAGTTGGATTTAATGTATTTTTTGAAGCATGTGAGATATCATTGATTTGAATGATTTAAAGTGTCTATATTCAACCTATATCTGATTATATTTCTTTTGCCACAATTTGGAATATGTTGACCAATGTTTTCGTGGTACAGAATGACAAAATAAATAACATCAAGGGGGATGTGCCTGGGTTAGTTGCTTGTGTACTTGGTAATTTGGTTGCATTAGCTGTTGGCGTGTTTAATTGTTGTGAGTCAAAGTTTCATCCGTAGTTAATGTCATCAAGCAACTTTGTTCGATCTGACCCTATCCATATGTCAGTCGAACTGACTGCCCTGACTTCACTGTTTTCTATAAGAGTAAAAGCTTACAATTATTTACTCCGTCAGTCTGGAAGTGCAATTAGAGGTGGTCCATAAAGTACTTAGATAGCATTTGTGACTGACTTCATCACACCCACGGTCCACACTTGTGTAATCATATCTAATAAGGTTTGGAATACTCCCTCATCCTTTTTTGTTTGGCTGGTTTTTCTTTTTAGGACGTCCTTTAAATATTGTCTTGTAATGATGACTATGAAAGACCATTAATTTATTCTCACATTCGCAATATTATGTTAGGCTCAAACAATTGGGTACCCTTGAGCTGTTTGTTCTGGGCAAGAGCCCGTCCCACAATAATTGAAAAATGGACGGTAGTCTGTTACAATACGAGTAACATGCATATAACAATTATGATTCCTATGTTATATTATCATGATAATATGAGATGATACTAGATGGGTATAGGCGTCGAGATAAGGCCTAGGAGTAGCCGTAGTACCCAATTTTGTTTGTATTGCAGATTTGAAGTCTTATGAAGTATCTTGTGGGCACCCATTTCAAGTTCTCGTGTCATACGCATATTGATGTTAAAATGTGTAAATGTGTGGCCAGCTAGTTAGACGGTTTCACAGCTTCCAGCTATATAAGTTTCGATTTACAACTCAAATTCCCACCATAGATAGATGTCCTCCAGTTCCATAGACAATGACTCTTTTGGCACCATTCTTGCCTTTTGCGTCGTATGTTTAACAAGTATGTTTTTGTTCAAGTCCCCTCTCTACTCCCCACCTAAAAGAGTTACTCATTAAGTTTCTGTTTTTAGGTCGCTACAAGTAAAAGGGGCCCAAAATCAAGGCATTATCTTCTGTAATGAGCAAAGTGAGTCGCTTTTCTTAGGGGTGAAAATATTAGGTGAATATTACCCGAGTTTAAATATGGTTTTGAGCAAGTCCAGCATATTTAGCAAAGTAATGATGATAATTTGTCCATCTTCTAGGAGATCTAATTAAGGGTATCCTGTTTCCCATTGGGGTGTTGATACAGTGTCATAGAAACTTTCTCAGAGATAGAACCCCTCTTTTGGTGCCTGGGACACCTTAGTAGCTGGAGCCCCTTCTTTTTCATCTAATATTAGTTTTCCATTGGTAAGGGCTGAGGAGAGATATACACTAGTTTTATCTAGCAAACATTTAAACAGTTGTATTGTCCAGAATCCAATGAATTTTAATTTGTTTGTTGCTTACCTGCCTTCTATTTTAAAATTTGTGGATTTTCTAGAATAGATGGTGGAATATCACGACTTTTAATGAATGAATTCGATAAGTTGCATTACAATATTGTGATTTTTTTCACCATATGCCTCTTATTAAGTACTGCATAAGGTTTAGGAGTACTGCAAAGGTTCTTTAATGAATGCCGTATGACTTTATATTAATAATTAATGAATTGATTTCACTATTTAATAAAGTGCTTAATTAAATAACAAAAGAATCTGTTTTACATAATTAACCCATGTTTTTTCCTTCTAAACGTCTAGGAGTCAATTTTGAATGGTCTAGTTGGACTTTGCCAACTACTTAACTCATCATTGAATTAAGATAAATCATTCTGCCCAAATATAATAATTAATATTATTAATAACTCTAATAAAGTAATGAAATGAATAAAGCTGAGTTGGTGTCTTGGTGAGGTGGTGAGGTAGTTGTCTTGAAATCTGAATGGCAAATCATATAAAGCACTTGGTCAAGCTGCATAAATAACTAGACCAGCACATCAAGTAGTGAGGTTTATTGGGGCTAAGTATCTCATACTTCGTATGTCAATGGCGCTAGGTGATGCATGCAACTGCGTACATGATACTCAGTATATTACAGTATTAATCGTTATTTTATTATATTATTGGCAGGTAAGAATTAAGAAGGCAATCTTTTAAGCCAGGGTTATTTATATTGAAAATGACTTGGTTGTACTAGTAAGAGGAAGGTGGCCTCAGCCTTTATAAATTTGACCTTAGGGTTCATCGTTTTCCTTACCTCGGAAAAAAAGAGTAACTAATGAAAATACATAAATAATAATAATAATAGTACGATTATATAAATGTGGGTAAATAGATAATAGTAGTAAGACAAAAATGGAAACAATAGAGAATTATTGGGGCACTTTGTTTAACAGAAGAAGAAGAGTTTGATTCATCCTCATGGACATTCTTGTCTTGGTCTGGTTTAGTGACATGGGACTTGTACAGTAACACAAGGGTGGACCAAACTTCAACTCAAGAATAAAGCTTCTGTTGCTTTCAAATCCCAGTTACCCTATGCATTTATTTGAAGTTGCCCAATGCCCACCACTTGATTTCTGTGATTTAATCTCTGAATACTCTGTTTTTAGCTTCTTTCTCCTTTTATCAAATTAATTATAAATTCTTGTTTCACTTTTAACAGTTGTGCATGTCAAACTTGCTTGTTTCTCTACTCTCTAGTCATTGAAGAAACTAGATATTACAGAGTATAAGTCTTTGTTATGTGTTACCAAGTAAATGATTGGTTAAGCTTAAGATGAACAAGCTAATGAACTTTTCGTGAATAATCCAAAGTATCATTTGATACAGAGTTGGCAGCAAATCTTTCTTCCCATCTAAACTAAATTTCTGGAGTGACATGCGTAATGGCAATATAGATGTACAATACAAGAAACATTCTAGAAATAACAAGATAGTGAGATATAGAATGCTGAAGGTGATGCCTGAAACAGGTGATCTAATAAAGAGTAGTACATGGTATTTATGTTGCACCTGCAGGAGTGTGATTGAGCTGGAAAGCGACTAAAAAAAGGGCCAATTGTTGTTTGGCAGAGTGAGTCAGCAGCCAAGAATTGAAGATAGAGAGAGAAATCTCTGGAATCAGATCCTAATCGTCTTTGTTGGCTAGTATTAGCGTTTCATTTTCTTCAATCAAACAAACAGATCAACTATTCATATCAACTGAACCTGATTCGCCTTCTAGTACTATTTTCTTTTGTCAGGGATGCCTTCTCTTCTCTTCTCTTCCTCCCATAGTTTTTACATCATTAGTACGGAGTATTAAGTATTATTCGTGCTACTTTGTTCTTTTTATGTTGTACTACGTGAATAATTTAATTATTGATTCACCCTCCACAATCACTTTACAGTTTACACATTACAAGTAGATGCAATTATCACTGTGGCCACAATTGACCATCTCAACTCAACTGTAACTATCTTGCTTTTTGTCCCCTTTTCATGCCCACGGCCCTTTATGTCTCGCTAATTTCATTTTGTTTTACTAGATTTGACGTCTTCTCATTACTCCATCCTAAATCAACCCTCCTTTGTTTAGCTTAATAACACAAAACACTTTCAAGAGTTGACGTATATATATAATATATGGAATATCCGATACTCAAACACTCATATGTCTTGGGTATTCGGACATATGTTACAATTTCTTCTACGTTGTTTTACGCCCTCATATAACTATTGTACCTAGCTTCGTCTTTATGTAATATTCAATGCATATGATTTAAAGTTTGGCAATGGAGAGAATATTATTTGAAATTTTGGCCAGGATCGAAGGGGTGAATACAACATTAAACAAAGACTAGTATAGGTATAACCAAGAAAAGTAGGGGTAAGATTTCCAATTGATTGTCTTTATTTTCAAGTGAAGAGTTTCATAATCTAGGTGCGTGTTCAATTTCGATAACTAAAGTCAAGTGATGATTAGCGCGTTTTACTTTTTGGTGTAAATTCATTAAACAAATCCAAACCCGTGAAATTATACTTGTTGTAGATATGAGTAAGCTGATTACTGAAAGCAAAGGTAAGGAATAGCAGCCATCTTGTACTCATGAGACCATTTGCAAGCGTAATGATTAAGCTAATAAGTAATAACTCAGTCTAAACCATCCTACGATTTGCAAGGAATGAGTAACTACCTAACAAGTTATCTAATTTTTTTATTTAAATGATATGAAACCAAATGATATTGACATAGTAATACACTAATACTTGGTATAATGTGTTTTTGTGTGAATATATTTCTTCATTAGGAATATTTGACCTTTACTTTCTAACTATTTTTTCAAATCAATCTTCTATTACAAAGAGATGAACAAATCATGTTCAAATTATTTTTCATCCTTAAAAAAAAATTATGATTTCTCTTTGAATTGAAATACTCTCTATAAGAGTAATGAACTTATGACAATTATATTGAGATAAATGAAAATTATAAAAAAAAAAAAAATTATATTGACAAGGTAAACTGTAAAAGTAAAAGAATATTAAAATGAAAATTGTAGTTAGTAAAGAGGACTGCATGTTCGATCCCCGCAATAACAATTAAGAGGGACTATAAACTAATCACTTACAACTCATCCCAAATCCGAGTGAACCGTTTGGAACACGGAAAAAAAAAATTGATGGGGGGAAGATTGGTAAAGAGTGGAAAAAAAAAAAAAAAAAAAAAAAAAACAAAAACAAAAAAAAAAAAGCATATTCCAACCTTCTGAATAATACGAAGTTTAAACCGAAAAACCACCTCACCACCATTCACCATTTCCTCTCTCTCTCTTTCCAGAGTCTCCGGTCTTCTCCGACTCCCCTCTGCTTCTCTCTCAAAATTGGTCATTCAATCAACCCGCCCCGTTTATTCAATCAACCGGAACCCGATGATACGCTCCCGTAAAGTGCCTGTTTACTGGACTCCGGTCAGATGATCCGCTCAAACTCCCCTCTTTTTTCTTTATTTTATTCGGCAAATTAGGGATCACATGCATCCTTTTTGCTGCGTTTCTCCAATCTCTAATCGCGACCAGGCTTCTGCCTTCTCTCCAATGCCTTCTCACTCTCTCTCCTCCGCCGACGCTCCGCAAATTAACGGCTACGATGATGCGGCGATCAGGAGGAGAGAGAGTACAACCACCGCCACCACCGCCACCACCTCCACCAGCACCATCAGCAACGCTACCAATCAAATTATAGATCTAAATCACAATAATAACAATTTTAATAATAATAACAATAGTATTTTGAACAGTCAGAATCATCAGCAAATGTCGACGGTGGATCAGAGAGAAGTGATGATAAACGATATAGTTGGAAATGGAATATGTGGGATATTGTATAAATGGGTCAATTATGGAAAAGGATGGAGACCGAGGTGGTTTGTGCTACAAGATGGTGTTCTTTCTTATTATAAAATTCATGGACCTCATAAAATTACCCTTACTTTGGAGTCTGAGAAGGGTTTCAAGGTCATCGGCGACGAGTCTATGCGCAGAATTCGCCGTACCGGTAACAATTCTTCCTCCAACTCGCTCCGCCGTAAGCCCTTCGGTGAGGTTCACCTCAAGGTACTTTTTTCTCATTTTCATTTTAAATTTTATTCTAATTTTGGATCGATGTTGTATGCAGAATTCCATTTTGGTTTGTTAGATTCTGTGAGAAGAGAAGTTGGTTCTTTTTTTTTTGAGATTTGGGGAATGTTAGTTTGTACTTGGTACTGTACACTCTCATGATTTTGGTCGTCACTAATAGATGTGACATGATGATTAGTTAAGTTTTTGTACAATTACTTTGATTTATAACTGGATATGCAACTTTAATGACGGGAATTGAGGGAGCTTGTTATTTTGCTTTATTGGTATTCGTCAGAATTATCTCTATTAGCGCTATGCTTTCTTGTTCAGGATACATTTAATTCAACTTTGAAAGTTCCTCTTATTGTAGGTTTCATCAATCCGCGAAAGCAGATCAGATGACAAGAGATTTTCCATCTATACTGGCACAAAGAGGCTGCATTTAAGAGCTGAAACCCGTGAGGATCGAATGACTTGGGTGGATGCCCTGCAAGCTGTTAAGGATATGTTTCCTCGAATGTCCAATAGTGAGCTGATGGCCCCGATTGACAATGTTGCTTTGTCGACTGAAAAGCTGAGGCAAAGGCTCCAACAAGAGGGTGTCAGTGAAGCGGTTATACAGGACAGTGAGCAAATTATGAGGGCAGAGTTTGCAGGGATGCAGAATCAACTTGTTTTGCTCAAGCAGAAGCAGTGGATGCTTATTGATACGTTGCGTCATTTAGAGGTACATGTTTACAAAATTAGAGAACAGCCTGCTAATCGGTTTCAGTATTCTTCTTCAGTTTCTCCCGTGTAGGGCAATACTCATTTATAGTTTTTATTAATTTTCGGTTATGAAATTCTTGTTTAATAATTTACCTAGTTTGTAATCACTGATCTGATTAATTGTATAGCCTGCCTTCCCACTATTGTAATTAACGAGGTATTAATTAATCTATCGAATAGGTATATTATGAAATCTCTTTCTTAAACTTAATTTATGGAAAATAATTTTGGACAGTAGTATTGTATAATGTTCAATTGATTTCCAAGAATCCATGAAACTAGTTAGATCTCAGGACTAAGCTTACGTTTTTACTAAGATATATATGAGCCCTATACTTGGCCTCTTGTATCTATCTCAGGGAAACCCAAATGGGGTGATTATTTTCTGAGTGATGAAGTGTATGAGGATTCAACTCCAGGCCATTGCTCTGGGAGTCACAATTGCGTCACTCCACTTCCACAAAATGCATACATGGGTAATCAAGCATGTATTATCACCAGACATACTTATCTGTCCATCAGAGTATCAAACAGAGCTTAATATGTTCATGTTACGGAGTTACCAATCTCCCTGCCAAATTCTTCGCAACTACTTGCAGACTGTTAGGACTTAGGATTCATTAGGTGGCTGGGAAAGTATTGATTTGCATAGATGTTGATTGAACTCTTTATAAGAAGTTGAGGTAAATCAAGGATGAGTTGAATGAAAGTCGTATAAAAAGGTATAGGAGAATTGGATTTTCAGGATCATATGATATTGCAGATGAGTAAGGTGGAGAAGATTCTACTTGAGCAACTCATGGAGATGCATTTTTGACATTTTGGTTCATGAAGCTGATCATTTTTTTATTTTTGTTTTTTTTTTGGGGGGGGGGGGGGGGGGTTAGGCTCTAATGTAGTTGTTTTTGTAACCAAGTCAAACTCTGTACACCAATTGTGATAAGTGAATATTTGGTGATGACTTCATTTTCCGAGTACCTATGGTGTACTCAAGTTGGGGTGTTTGATGGTGGAGTACTGGATTTGATGCTGGCAATGTCGAGGTAGACGAGCTATTATGCATGATATGAGTGAAATCTGCTCATTAGTATCCAACTGATATCAGCTTCCACCTGACTTTCCCTGATCAGTGCTCAGCTTCTTCGGCTGTTTTGCTGATGCATCTTGATTGCACATTGAAGCAAATTTTTTTGACTAACTGGAATACTGTTCCCTTGGTTGCCGTCTTCCAGTCATCCTGTGCATTCCTTTTCCCCATTGCTTTTAAACAGTTTAATTATCTGCATTTTTCTTTTGTCAAGGAAGTATTGCAGTAATGGCATCTGAGGGTTAATCTTGGGTATCCCTATTGTCTGTTTATGAAAGCAGATTGAAGATGGACTTATCTGAAGCTCTAAAATGTTGCATTTGAACAGATTTATATTAAAGAAAAACTAAAAAAATTGAGTCACTCTGAGAATTTTTTTTTTTTTTTTTTTCCTATTTACAGTTGCTCTGGTCTAAGTCTGCAATTTTGTTTCATGGATGATAAGGTTTCTAAAGCTTTTGTCTCAACTATAGCAAATTTGAAACTTTTTCGATGTATAACCTATTACGTATTGCAAGGGAATAAATCAACTCCATTAGCAATACAAAACCACTGAACTTTGAAGATTTGAGTTGCTGTTCTGCATTCTAATTAGAAGATACTGCAAGTTATTCTCGCTTTCTAGATTAATTAGTTATATGCAATACTTGCTTAATAAATTGCTGTAATGGTAATTCTGACCTCTAAAAGAATTCTTTCTTTTTTATTTGGCCTTGCTGTAGACCGAAAAGGTGGACTTGGAGAACACAGTTGTTGACGAGAGTCAGAAGCAGTCAAAAGAGCAAGGGGCGACCTCCAGAACAAAACAAGATAAATCTAGTGGTAAGATTTTTATGTTTGACATTGCTTAGTTGTTCTGGTTGGTTTTTCTGTCTTTTTAAGTCTCCAAGATGCCTTCTTTAGTACTGGAAGAATCAGGAAGAGTTGGGCTTGATCTCAGCTTTTACCAACCATTTCGTGGTTATATGATATTAGCTTATTTGCATTGCATGTTTGGGATTGTGCACTATGGTTCTGACATTGAGCTTAGTTCCTGATTATTTATTAATTTGTCTGAGTATTGATCTGAATCATCTGATTTTATTTCTATAATTTGGACTTTCAATTTTGGCTACTATCTACTGCTCCTATTTCAAACTGAAAGGTCAGCAATGCTTACTAAAATTCTTGTAATTGATGGCATGTAAATTCGCAATGATTTTCTAGAATTTGAGTAACAAAGACTAGCATGTTGTTTTTCTGTACAGTCCAATGCACTTTGAGATCATGTGATTATCATTCTTAAATGATTGCCTTCTGTTTTTATTAATTTTGTTTAGTGCACACAATCGAGGATGGGTTGTACTTTCCAAATTTATATTCTTAATAATGCCCTTTCTTCTTGCCATGGCTGAATGGAAAAAGTAGTTGCTGATTTATTTTAATTTCACATTATGTGTCTGTCCATCCTGCAGAAGCAACTCCAAGTGATTCTGATGATGATAATGATAGGGCTGATGCTGCAGAGGAAGACACAGATGAAGATGAAAACGCCTTTTTTGACACAAGGGACTTTTTATCATCAAGTTCTTTCAAAAGCAGTGCGTCTGATTTGAGGATATCATCTTTTTCCTCGGATGATGATGATTTTCATGCTGCTGAATCTGAGGAGGATGTTGATCCTTCCATCAAAGATGCAGTAGCTAACTTTCCTTACGTTAAACGGCGTAAGAAGTTGCCTGATCCTAAGGAGAAAGAGAAAGGAGTTAGTCTTTGGTCTATGATAAAAGATAATATTGGAAAAGATCTTACAAAAGTTTGTCTTCCTGTTTATTTTAATGAACCAATCTCTTCTCTACAAAAATGCTTCGAAGAATTGGAGTATTCGTATCTCCTTGACAGGGCAAACGCATGGGGAAAGCAGGTAATATTCAAGATTATGTCATGTCGTTTTTTCTCATCTTGATTTCTTCATTGCCTTTTAAGTATGCTTTTCATATTGCCAGAATTCCACAATTGGTGAATCTGCCTTTTCTTCTGCTTAATATTGTGTGCCTATTTTAAACAAAAATATTGTCAGATTTTGTCAAATTTCTTCCTCATTCTGCATAAATTGGACAGAGATGAGATTTTATGATGTATTTTATTTCTTTATGAAATTCTTGTTCAATTCGATCCCCTTGAGGATGTTTTCTCATTTTCCTTTTCCAGTCATCTTTCTGATATGTGGATTTAGGTTAGTTTACTCCCCACCTGGCCTGTTGTTGGGAAGTTGAAATCGGAAATGTTGTCTTCTCCATGTGCTGTATAGAAATTAGAAAGGCTTTACAACTGTTTCATATGGCTTAAACCTTTGTTAGGATTGATTTTTTGTGCTTAGCGCATAATCTATCTGGAAACTGGTTTACGTTCTTATTCTTGATTGTTTTATTGAAATGAATATCTTCAGGGAAATAGCCTTATGAGAATCCTCAATGTAGCTGCATTTGCTGTTTCTGGATATGCTTCTACTGAGGGACGAATCTGCAAGCCATTTAATCCATTGTTGGGAGAAACCTATGAAGCTGATTTTCCTGATAAAGGACTCCGATTTTTCTCAGAAAAGGTTTCTATCTCTCACCTGAAAGTGCCATGTTATCAGTGATTTCTTTTTTTCAATTAAATTTTGAAATGGATAATGCTTTTCATGTCATTTGGTAAGTTTTCCTGTGATGATACGGAATTTGACACTTTGAAGTTCTGGAAATGTAATGCCTGGGTTATTATTTTAGAACAATGAAACTGAATCATTAGGTTTGTTATTTTGTGCTAGGTAAGTCATCATCCTATGATTGTTGCCTGTCATTGTGATGGTACTGGATGGAGATTATGGGGAGACAGCAATTTGAAAAGTAAATTTTGGGGCCGCTCTATACAACTTGATCCTGTTGGAATTCTTACCTTAGAGTTTGATGATGGAGAAGTTTTTCAATGGAGTAAGGTGAGCTATAAACAACTATTGTCTGATATGAAGTATTCTCTTATGTCCAATCTCTGAATTACAGTAATTTTTATTTTTAGGTAACCACATCCATATACAACCTTATATTAGGAAAGCTATATTGCGAACACTATGGTACGATGCGTATACAGGGAAATCGGGAGTATTCCTGCAAGCTGAAGTTCAAGGAGCAGTCTATTATTGACCGAACTCCTCGACAGGTACTGTCCCTCTTCCTCCCCAAAACCAAACCTGGATGATTTTCACTCTTTACCAACATTAAATTAACATCTTGTCTGTTTTTGTCACTTTCTACCGTTCGTTTTCCCGGGGATCAAGGCCTTTTTCTTTTTTGCATTTCCAGAGTTGTTCAGTTTTTTTTTTGTTTTTTTTTTTTTTTTTTTGGGCTTGTGAGGACTGAGGAGTTGACCTATGATGGGTAACATTACTAATTTATTAAATCACTTAAATGACTTTAAAAGATCTTTTCCGTTTGTGTTTTTGAATCAGGTAGAATTAATATAGAAAACACCTAAACTTCAGGCTCATACCCTCCTCTGCCTGAAGAAGGGCCAGAAAATGTGGAAAACAAAAGCAGAACTACATAACATCAGTTTTTCCTTCTACAGTATTTCATTTCTAGTGAACTTGTTTCTGTCTCCATTTGATACCTTGCTCTAGTGTATGAGATTCTAGTAAGTATTTGGTAGGGTAAAGTTAATGTATGGACTGTGCATACATATTTATACCCTGGATTAAAATTGTACAGCGTTCTTGTTCTACAGTTGGATTTCTAGTAAACTTGTGTGTTGTTTGAAGTTGGTGATCTTAAATTTGACAGTTGACCTTGCCTTGTTACTTGCTCTAATACTAAGAGGAGTAGGTTTACGTTGACGCTGAACACATCAAGAAAATTTTACCTTCTTTCTAAATATCTTATTGCTTTCCAGGTACAAGGTATAGTGCAAGACAGAAATGGGAAAACAGTTGCTACATTGTTTGGGAAGTGGGATGAAAGCATGCATTATGTAAATGGGGACTGCTTAGGTAAAGGAAAGGGAGATGCTATCTCAGAAGCCCGGTTATTGTGGAGGCGAAGTAAGCCTCCCAGATACCCAACCAGATATAATCTAACTCGCTTTGCGATGACATTGAATGAGCTTACTCCTGGATTAAAGGTAACTACTGAAATCCAATGTCCCTTTCTTTAATTTTGCTCAAATTATATTTGCTACAGTACGTAATTCTACCTTAATTTACTATTGATTGGTAATATAAATGTTTTGAGCCCACCCATAAAGAGTTAGGTCATCCCTGTACCATCTCATTTGTTGGAATGATCTATCTGGTAAGTTTCATTGTTCTAATTGAATTAGAGCTTGCAGATTGATTCATTTTTAAGAGCTGTGCCTTGGTCTAGCTAAACAAGACCTCCTGAGCAATTATTATACATGGATACTGCAAAGCAAAGTCCTTGGATGACCCTCTTTTTTATTGAGAGCTTACGAAATTGGGAATGTATCTACGGACGGTTAGATGTGCTTATTGTGGATTTGGATTATTTATTTTTTTTATTTCTGTTTTTATAGGAGAAGCTGCCCCCTACTGATTCTAGGCTAAGGCCTGACCAAAGGTACCTGGAAAATGGGGAGTATGAGAAGGCAAATGCAGAAAAGTTGCGGCTAGAGCAAAGACAGCGGCAGGTAATTAAATTTGTGATAGCAAGGTTTAATTATTGAATTTGGCTGCCTATGGTTTGCCTTAGTTTTCTCTTTGAGGTGATGAATCTTTTAAGGTCAGTTTTGAAAGCAGATGTAGTAAAAAAAATGTTTGTGCTTGCTATTCCAGGCTCGAAAAATGCAAGAAAGGGGCTGGAAGCCGCGGTGGTTTGCCAAGGATAAAGAAACAGACACATATCAATTAGTCGGAGGGTATTGGGAGGCCAGGGAACAGGGCAACTGGGAATCATGTCCTGATATCTTTGGCCAAATTTCTCCTGAGTTATTGGACTGATTACACGCATCTGAAGTCACCTCTTTGGTTAGCCCAATAAAAATTCAACAAAAAAAGAACATACATTTTTCCTGTCTAGAATTCTTTTACCATCATATATGGGTAGGCTAGTGGTGGTGCATTGGTAGATTTGAGTCGATTATATATGTGAATTACATATTGTAAAGTATACTAGATGATAGGTAAATCATAAAAGAATCTCTATTTTTCAATTCTTTTTGCCATGGCATATAGGCTCCTGATCCTATGCTTATTCTGAGCTTTTAAGCAAGTGTGTAGAAATTGCTCATGATATACAGAGAAACTAGTATCATAGGCATGTCCAAACATGATATTTGTGGCGAAGTGTTTTATTTGTATCTCATTGGCAAAGCTAAAGTGAGCACTTAATGTTATGCATATGAAATTATTTACAGAAGGTAATGGGATATCTGGATTCCAAACATTTTGTGACCACTATTTGCTGTTTTCATTTGTAAGTTATGAGTTGAACAAACTGGTCATAAACTAAAATTTAGACTGCCTAAGCAGCTTGATTTTTAAAGCTTAATTTGGTTTGTAAGCTTAAGATAAGGATAAACTGTCACAACTCACAAGTGCCAATTAACCCGATTGTTGGTGTTGGTTGTTGGAAACATATATTGCAAAACCTTATAATCATTAAGGCTTTGAAAGCACTAGATTTGTTAGTATTATTGTACATTTTCAAAATATTACTAACTTTAATAAATACTCCGTAGTAAAATATGTGATATAGTAATTGTAGCAATAAAAACGTTATGGGTAATTTGAAAGAATAGGTCAAGGGTAGCTTTTATACTCGTAGTTGATTTTGTGCGATATTCTGTAATCAGGTGACAGGAGTGGAAACGGGGTGGGCATGCTATCCAGGGAATTTGAGATGATCTGATGCCATTTTTTGTTCGTTTCAACTTCGAGTGCTTTCTTCTGCTCTCTGCTGCCTGGTCTTTTCCAGTTTACAACCATTTCTCCACTTTCTTTATACTCCACCATCTATCTATCTCACTTTTCAGTTTCAGTATGACAGTATCAGTTTCTCCCTCCCAAAATATAGCAGGCCTAGATTTGATTCATCAAACTCTGCATCACCCTTGCCTGTATGACGGAATCAAAGTGTATAAAATCTTCTTCACTTGATTAAATTACTTTTCTTTTTATCAACGAATGACCTATCAGTCAGTCAGTGACAGTATCTGCAACATCAACGCTGGAGTATATGTATATCTACTCTCACGTTACCAATGCAACTACGAACTACTTACCTTAACATTATTTGAAGAGCATGCATTTCTATCCTTTAACACCGCATTTCTTCCATCTCTCTTGCTCACACCACTTCGCTAAACCGGTTGCTTACCATGCATTCTGGTGCTACTGTGTTAATGACTCGCTTTAACAGAGAACTTGTGTCAAGTTAATACGCGAACCCAAATCTTATTCAGGTATACTCCGTAAAAATATATTCTGATGTAAAAAATAAGTGTATACATGCTGTAAAAACTTGAAGAATTCGTATTCAGATTTGATATTTGGGTCCAATAGATAATAATTTAAAGACAGTGAAAGGACTTGAAGGCATGTTTTGGTGATGTAGATAGGCCGATTAGTGATTGGTATAACAACAGAATCGCAGAAGAAATGATACAAATTTTAGGAACAAGTGAAAATACGTCACCAAATACGACAAGCTGGGGGACAAAACTAGATCTTCTCGAACCCAACTAGAGCCTTGTTCACAGAGATCGCTCAAGTCATTTGGTAGATGCTTTTTTTTATCGGGCCTCATCTTCATACAGCCCTACAATATTCAAACAATCATTTTTTTTTTTTTAGGGTGTTCCACCCGATTTACCCTTTGGGCTAATTCGGATTCGGGAATCAGTTCTGGGTGGTTAGGTTTCAGTCCCCTCCCAATTGTTGTTGTGGGGGATCGAACACACAATCCTCCCTACCAATTGCAGTCTCAATCACCACTGCACCAACAGTCAATTGGCTTTTTATTATTATTACTATTTTACTAGGGTACTAGTACAAAAATATAAGTAGTTCCTATGTCTTATGGACTATGGAGTACGGAGTAATATATTTTCAAAAAAAAAATGATACCTAGTACTTTCTCGTTCTTTTATAATTGACACAATTCTTGTATTACAATTAGCAATGCATTAATTTAATAATAAATATCTCTAATTATCAATAAGTGATTCGTACAAAAAGCTAATTTTTTAAATTTTACATTGAGACAAATTTAACAAGGTTTCACATCATTATAACTCACAAATGTTAGTCAAAATAAAGGTTGTGAATAATATCAAAGTCAAAGCGTGTTAACTTAAATTTAAATAAAAAATAAAAATAAATAAAAAATATGAGAAGTATAAATTTTAGCTATAATGAGAGGAAAGATAGAGAGAAAAAACTGTATGAGTAGGAATAGAACCTAACTCTAAATAAAGCATGGAATACAAACTTATCATATTCAAGGCATCCAATTAAAAATGTTACAATATCAAGCTAAACTTGGTGTTGTGAAAAGAATAGTACCTTTCAATCATATGTCAGGATCAACCCCCCTCTAAAAACAATTTGGAGAAGGGTACGCTCCTAATTTATCTAGCCCACTTATTCAGGCCGGGTTGATCTGTGAAAAAATCTGGCTTAAATTTATAGGGCCTTCCATGTTACTTAACAAAAAGAAAATAAAAATGTAACAATATACTCATACAAATTACTCCGCCTTTTGTTAAAAAAAATATGTTTGTAAAGGATGAGTGATTGGATGAATATGTGGGATTTGACATATTACTGATATTAAAGATGAACATCGTAAAAGTAAATTTTATTTTCTAAGAGATTGACGTGCTTAGTGTTGTCTTACGGGTAGTTACTTTGGACATATGCTACCAGTATTATTTTAGGAGCAAATTGCAACGTAACGAGTATTAGACTTGCATACAACCAATCAACCACTTACACAGTTACACCCAAGATTTTTCAAACAAATACTACGTACCGTTTATGATCTCGTTCAACAAATTAAAACTATAGCTCATGTCTATATACGTAGCGAAAATATGTATTTTATGAGCACTTTTAGAACTTTGTCCATATCATATTGATTTACTTCATGCCATGCGCTGCTGCTTCTTTCCAGATTTTTATTTAAAATAAAAAAAAAATGTTTGGATATTCATAATAGCTGTCAATTTTTTTTGTTTTTTTATTTTTGTTTTTTTGAAAGAGTCAAATGCAGTAGTTTTTCTACTATTAAATCTCCAATTTTATTGAACTTTCATTTAAACATCATACCATCAGGCCATCTATTTGATTAATAATGTATAATTCGTATGTATGAACTAAATGATATGGGTTATGACCTTTTTTTTCCTTTATTATATGGGGGACAGGGGTTGGCTTGGGTAGATTAATTTATGATCTTAAACGAGTTGGTATTGATTGCTGTTAACACACCAAATTATTTCTATCTAATTGACAGAGGATATTGCGTGCTTATTATATATATATTCAACCTCTTATATGTTGTAATACACATTACGGAGTACTTCGAATTCGTACTACGTATTATTTACTCGCTTAGATGTTGAAACAAAAGGCCAGGATATATGTATAGCTTGTACTAAAATTATTTTCTAGTTTTCTATCGCTGACGATTACATCATGTATGTTATTGCTCCATCCGGACAAAAATAATAAAGAAAAACCGAGATTATATTGGTAACTAATTAAATATACAAATAATAAGAGATGAATTGCGATAATAGACAAGCAAAGAGCAAATTAAAGTATTAAATATGATTGAGGGTATGGCAACATGACAACTAGTCGAGGGTCATCGTCAACATTCAATCATCAGATGGTTGCTTGTGCTAGGAATAATAATTAACAATCTTATTGCTAATATACTCCGTAACTAATTAGGTTTGTTTCCCATGCATTATATTATACGAAGTATTAATTATTATGTATGGATATAATACAGAGTAATGCATGACTAATGAGTTTTGTTGGTTTAAGACTCTTAAGGCCAGTGGTAAGATGTCGAATAGACCCGCCCCTCGATCACAATAGATTTTTTGTGGTCGTAACACTGTTAACGTCATATTGTGTAATAATATCATGAACTTGTCCCCTATTTAACCAAAATTTATTTAATTTATACTGATCATAAGATTTTCTAAAGAGCATCATTATCGATGAAGGAAACACACACAAAACCAAGCCCATGTTTGTCTTCATACATTATTTACTTTCATTCATTAATGCTACTATTAGGATTTTACAATAATATTTTATGGTTTTAGAGCCCTTCAATTTATCCATCTTAATTAATAATCTTATTATATCACTGATCGCTTAGTATTGTTGCATGACATACGTAATCTTAAGCAAATTAGTTTATGAGATGCAACCTTTACCACTTTACACTTTTTAAAAATGAAAGTCGATAGAGAACATATTGAAAGGACTCACCAGCATAGAGATAGCAAATATCGAATATTGTAGACTATTTTAGTCTTACACTTTTACTCCATACTATTTTTTTCTTATTTGTGGCTTTAAAGTCTAGCTAGCTAAATGCATGCAATTCTCGTTACCTCCAACAAAAAAAAGCCACATATATACTCTTATAAGTAATGTATATTGCAATATGGAGTATTAAAATAATGTATATATACGAGAATAAATCTGAAATGGTGATGCTCCACTTTTGGAAAACATAGAAAGCTGGTAAGGTTATTAGTCGCTTCTTACTTGCCATTCATTGTGAGCTACATATATGCATGCAGCCTACATTATCTTCTATCATATCTTATATTCTTATGTTTATGATTTAGATAAAGTTGGTGGTTGAATGATACCAAGTGGTGTATTTGACATTTCATGTGTTGCACTTTTATAGTAGAAGATCAGATAACTTACAACAAAATCGAATTCATCAACTTGGCACAAGTATATATGAGTATGTATGTAGTAGTTGTATTATTGGCCGGTACAAGTAACAAGTTAGTTGCTTCCATCCAAATTAAGGATTGGATGCATTTATGGGTTTTGCATGCATTATCAACTTCCTTCTTGATCGGGATCAGGTTTTTCTAGTACTCGTACTCATCATCCACTTCTTTTGTATGTAACATTTTGTTTGGATTTATATATTTGTCTTACTTACTTTTTACGTATGTTACTGCATGCAATTGTATGACTCTAGCTATGGCAAGCTGTTAATAAATTCATTCATCAATCGAACAAATTTGATGATATTGTACAATCTTCCACTTTTGCCAAGATCACAATTGGAATTTTTTTTTTTTTTTTTTTTATAATTAAAAAGGTTTTACTTTTCATTGTCATACACTTTAATTACACTTTTTTTGGCGATTATATGACATTAAAAAAATTGACTTAATTAGACCATTAAATTTGATCTATTAGACTTGAATCGGTTACTTAATTCATCACCTATTTCGAATAAATGAATTTATACTTGGATCGATCATCCTCTATTTTATTAATTGACTTTTTTCTTTGGAAGGCTTAGCTTGGACAGTTCTCCTTGATAGTCTTCTACTCTTGTAGATAAACCTATATATATAAAATACTCCTTTCGTCTCGTTTTAATTGCTCCAATTGATTTTTTTTTTTTTTTGTTTTTGAGTCTTTTAAGTTAAATTAATGATGCAAATAAATGGCACATATAGTATAATGTATTAGTATATAGTGCATTAGTATGTACTATACTTCACATAAATATATATACGTGGCATAAAGAACTGACGTACGAAAGGAAAAGTAAAGTGTTATTTGTGAAACTTAAAGCTAGGCAAGACACAGTTGATTGATGTCATCAAAACTTTGTATACTAAAGAATGATGAGAGGTGGAATATCGTCAATATTGCTTAGTAGATACATGAGATAATAATGGATAACCCGTAGCTACCAAACCATTAGTTTAAAATTTTCTCCATTAGGACATTGGGAGTTAATCCCTCTCAAGTTCGTGTCATACTGCAATACTCCTAATTTAAGAATACAGACGTTATAAGGCCACGCAAGCGTGAGATGGGTCCGTTGCTTTATGATTCATGCATTTTCCAAGCTCTCGTCATAAAGTTGCTTCTAAGTTGCAACTAGCTCATCAGAATTGAATATACTTCCTAATAATCTCTACTGTTTGGATCGGAAGTCTAGTTATCGTAATCCTACAGTAAATTCTTGCAACTTGCAAGTGCAGTGGTAATTCTTAAGTTCCTAAACGGGTAAAAGTTACCCCATATATTGAAGTTCATAAGACAATAACATACCTAATTTTGTACAGAATACGTACTCTATAATTCATAATAAGTTATAATACTTGTACGTGGTATAGTATAAACCAAACATGTTATTTAGTATGTTATTTATTGAAAGTCTAACTTACCTCGATCTCTAACTAATTTATTTACTTGCAACCAAACAATTATATAGTGAATTGCATGTCATGCTTGAGCTATGATTAGATAGCTTGGGTAACAACATAGTATAATATATGTACACTTTTACAAGTCAGATAATTTGATTGGAAATAAATCCTTACACCTTTTTTTGGCCAATAAGCATGCACTATTCTATTACTTGTAGTAATAATCTTTAGGGATAAGATCATCCAAGTCATCCACATAAATCCTTAATTTAATTCAATCTATTAAGATGAGCATTTCTGTACCACTCCATTGATATGATAATGTTAATTTTTTTTTTAAAAAAAAAAAACAAAAAAAAACAAAAAAAAAAACCTTATACTTAAAAACAAAGTATTCCAAAAGCCATTACTTAACAAGTTCCCCAATAGGCAGATGTAATACTTCAAGAACAATTTAGTCGCATGTTAAACCAAATTAAGTCTGTTTGTTAATTGTTACTGTAGTATAGTGCTGACTCCATTTTATCCAAATAAACTAACATAGAAATAAAATCTTTATTTGATTATTACTGGGAACTTGATCTCAATTAGTCACCACTCATTCGTCAGCTAATATTATCATAGTTGATACGTATCTTATCTAATTACCTTAATTAAATAATGAATATTCTGATTATAAGGCTAGGGTTCAGATCAATATGCATATATGATATGCCCTTCCCCCACTGGGCAATTTAATTGGCTACGATTTTTACCAATTAAGGAACAAGACTAAAAGACATGTACAGCGTATAAATCCTGTTATTTAAATCTGATTTATACAAGAAAGTCTATATACTCTGTATATTTAGTTGTGTGGATCCAAGAAAATTGGAGAAATTCACTGACCACGGTTTTTCTTGCAGGCTTCAAGCTCAACCAAAATAAACAGATTTATAAATCCTGTAAACAACACAATTTATCATGCTATTTTGTCATCTGACTAATTAAATATAGCTTCATTATGCAACCTATTAATATTAAATCAGAGTTCCTTACCGTCCAAGATAAGAGAAATCAAAGTGGATTAATTAGCTTGATTACATTCTTTTGTTCGTTTAGGTCAATCACTAGACGCTAGCTATGTTTTATACGGCACATACGAGTATTAATAAACTCAATTATTATAAATCATTTATGGCAAGAATATATTGGAGATATCAAACGACATCCAGAGTATCTTATGCTATCTTTGTTTCCTTTGGTTTATTTGATTGTTACTCTGTATTATTATGTATGTAATTATGTGCACATATATATATTTGATAAAATTACTTTGAAATATTTGATGTTATTACTTTAATTAACAACCATTATCCATTCTTTTCTACAAAGTATATTTTTATGGGTATATATATCATATCATATCATCACTTTCACTAATAAATAAAGCCGGTTTCGCAACGAGGCCACGAGATATTGACACTTGGCATTCCAGTTTCTCACCAAGTGTTACGACACGTAGTTCAATAAATAGGTATTATTGGGACACATATGATGTTAAGTAAGAGAATTTTGGATAGATTTTCGATATACTTCTAATATTTCATATATACAAAATTAATCATAACTTTTAATAAAGATCATATAACTCGGTTCTATTTCCATCCTGAAATTCATTTTAAAAAGTTCTTTAAAATAAGATCCATTTATAATATATTTAATTTATTTAAAAAATAATACAGAATCAGTAAAAATAAGTTCTAATCAGTAAAGTTAAATTTTAATCCGTAAAAATAATTTTAGTTTGGAATGAATACTTTCAGTTCTGTTAAAATAATTAAAGTTCAATAAAAATAATTTCAAGTTAATAATAACACAGATATTTATTTACAAACAAAACTATAAAAAGTACATTATTATATAAATAAACGATATGATATTGTATCATTTGTATGTTTAAATATTCTGCATTATCAAAGGGATTATATGCCCGTATTTAACATTGAAGTCAAAAAGTTTATCCTAAAATCTAGGCATCACCCGGGCACAAAACTAGTAATTACATAAATGTGGCAAATAGTGCTAATAATACGGTGTTTAAGTTATTATTAAAAAGTTTTGTTTAAACTAAAGTTAGTTACGCTATCATTTTTTTTTTATAATGATAATATATATACTTTGTAATATTTTATCTATAGAAAAGGTTACTAGGACACTGATATAGATAGAATTCAATCTCAAATCTTTAGCACCACCTTAAGAGTTAAAAATCTTAATACTTTTACCACTAATTTATCATGTACACGACTTAATATAAAAGAAAAAGGGATCGGTTGGCCTTATAGCGTTGGTTGGATCATGAAATATATGAAAAAACTCCCTCTAAGCTGTTTGATGAACCTTAAAACACATGCTGAGTTACGTTGAAAGAGCATAATGCATGGCTCCATATATTTAACTAAAAGAGTTTGATCAATGAATTAAACTCAAAATTGGTCGTGCAACCTTTTCTTTAATGTTAAACATGAAAACTGAGTTAGATACCTAGCAACTCTTTTCTTTGTCGTCATCCATGCTATCTAATTAATGATCATGGTAATTGGTAAGTCGTTATTGACACTTGACATTTTCAAAATATGGCCGGTAAGACGGTAATTGGTGGGGAGAGAGAGACAGAGAAATAAAGAAAAAAGAATTGAAGGAGACAAAATTCAAGAGGGTATATATATTAGTCAACTAAAAAAAGATAAAACGGGTTAATTAAGTGTACTTTGAAATCAATAAGAGTGGCAGGGTTCGAGACTTCGAGCAATGAAGCGTAGTAAATAGTAATGTAGAAGTGGCAAAATTGAAATAAAGAGACAAGATTGAGGGTATACAACATAAGCAAAGACGTAATGCGTAGACTATACGGTATTAAAAAAAGATACGGAGTACATATACGCCCCAATCCTATGTGTACACGACTCCGTCACGTCAAGATAAACATAATTAGGGGGGAGAATAGAATCCCTTATTGCAAACACAAGGGTCCCAGGGGTATACAGGGGTATAACCGACAAATCATACCTCTTCTCTCTCTTAGGGATTTTGCTTCTCCCTCTTCACCAAACCATCCCCAAATTTCTTTTTGTTTATCTCTCTCTTCTCTCTTCTATCTGCTTCTTCCTTCTCCACACAACTTTTATTCTCTCTCTTTTCCCCTCTTCTTCTTTTTCTGCTACATTGTGTTTCTTTCTCTCTCTTCACCGGAAAATGCTGCAGATTCGACCGGCAAACTTCCCTCTAAATCTAACCCCTATCTAGCCTGTTTTGTTTGAAAAAAAAAATTCAAACTCCATTCTCACTTCCTTACCGATCTTACCAAACACCCTTCAGCAAAAATGTTTGAATCGATGTTGGAATTGGAAATAATACCGCTCCCAGAAACACCGGAAAAGGAATCTTCTAAAAACCCGTTAATCAGAAGCAGGTCTCAGGCAACCACTCGAAGAGTAACACCCACCAACCACCAAAACGACGCCGTACTAGCCCCTCCTATAGTAGAAAAGCACCTCCCAAACGGAGATCTCTACAAAGGAACATTCCTCGGAAATGTCCCACACGGTGTCGGAAAGTATCTCTGGTCAGACGGGTGTATGTACGAAGGAGAGTGGAAGAAAGGTAAAGCCAACGGCAAAGGCAAGTTTTCATGGCCGTCGGGAGCAACCTACGAGGGTGAGTTCAAAGGCGGTCGGATGGAAGGACAAGGTACTTTTACCGGTGCCGAAGGAGATACTTACAAGGGTACTTGGGTGTCGGATAAAAAACATGGTTATGGTGAGAAAAGGTATGCTAATGGAGATTTCTATGAGGGTTCATGGAGAAGGAATTTACAGGATGGTACTGGAAGGTATGTTTGGAGGAATGGAAATCAATACCATGGCGAATGGAAGAATGGTTTGATTTGTGGGAAAGGCCGTTTAATTTGGGCCAATGGTAATAAATTTGAAGGTTGCTGGGATAATGGGGCTGTCAAAGGAAATGGGACTTTTTCTTACCCACCACCGCCAACACCGCCAACACCGCCACCGCTTCCACCGTTGCGACCATCGTCTTGGAACGGGATTACGAATGGGAATGAATTGTTTGTGACGAACAACAACAATTTTAATCCTAAGAAAAGGGTTTCCATGGATAGTGGTATTGGAGGAGGAGAGAGGATATTCCCAAGGATTTGTATTTGGGAAAGTGAAGGAGAAGCAGGTGATATTACTTGTGATATAATTGATAATGTTGAAGCTGCTTCTATGATTTATGGTGATGGATTTGTACGATTAGATCGCCAACTTGCTAAGAGTCCTTGTTGTTTTATTAAAGAAGCTAAGAAGCCTGGCCAAACCATTTCTAAGGGTCACAAGAATTATGATTTGATGCTTAATCTTCAACTCGGTATTAGGTATTTTTTTATTTTTATTGATTTCCACCATTTTCATTTTTCTAAATTTGTTCTGCTATTGTTGTTTTTTTAATGATGGATTGTTTAATTTTATGATTATTGTAGACATTCAGTTGGGAAACATGCTTCGATATTAAGGGATCTGAAAACAAGTGATTTTGATCCAAAGGAGAAGTTCTGGACAAGGTTTCCACCAGAAGGTACAAAACTAACACCAACGCATAAATCCACCGAATTTCGATGGAAGGATTATTGTCCAATGGTGTTCAGGTTAGTGAATCAATGAATCGGATCAAGTGATGAAATCATTTGTACTCGTATTCAATCGAATGAATGCTGATAAATTTATATGGTTGATTTAGACATCTGAGGGAGCTGTTTCAAATAGATCCGGCTGATTATATGCTGGCAATTTGTGGGAATGATGCTCTCCGAGAACTCTCTTCACCTGGGAAGAGTGGTAGTTTTTTCTACCTTACCCAGGATGATCGATATATGATCAAAACTGTCAAGAAATCCGAAGTCAAGGTTTGTTTGCCATTTCTTTTGACCTGTGCTTTTTTTATTTTTCTTTTCTACCAAATGTTTCTGCTGTTAGGCTGGCTGCCTGCCTGCCTGGTTGGCGACTCGGTGATTCCTTTGTTTTCAAGCTCTAGTGTTAGTTATAATTTTTAATAATGAAACTTGTTATTATTAAATTTAGGCGTGTCCTAATTGGGTGATTCTACCGTTCAGGTTCTCCTTAGGATGCTTCCTAGTTACTACCAACATGTTTGCCGCTACGAAAATTCACTCGTGACTCGGTTTTATGGTGTGCATTGTGTGAAACCGGCTGGTGGACCTAAGGTACAACTCCTGTTTCATGTGACTACCAATGTTGTGTTGTGCTCTGCTTCATGACTTGTATTCAAATAGCTCAATTCTGTTTTGTTAATTTCAACCAGACACGCTTCATTGTCATGGGAAATTTGTTTTGCTCGGAGTACCGTATTCATAGAAGATTTGACTTGAAAGGATCTCGACATGGCCGGACTACAGAGAAGCCCGAGGTTGAGATTGATGAAACTACTACCCTCAAGGATCTTGATCTTGACTTTGTCTTCCGCCTCCAAAGGAATTGGTATCAGGAATTGATGAAGTGAGTGATTGGGCATCATTATTTTGATAGAAATCCTCTATATACTATCATTGTGCAGCTTAAATTGATTGTAAGTTTATCTGTTATTAGGCAAGTTGAACGGGATTGTGAGTTCCTTGAAGCAGAGAAAATCATGGATTACAGTCTTTTAGTGGGTGTTCATTTCCGTGATGATAACACAGGGGATAAGATGGGCCTATCCCCATTCGTCCTTCGTGGTACTAACCCCATCCTTCTCTCTGCATTAAAATTGTATTGTACTTGGATTATAAAAGCTTAAGTTAATTATGTCCATTGCTTTTCCAGGAAAACGGGATTCATATCGAAATGAGAAGTACTTGCGTGGCCATCGCTTCCTCGAAGCTGAACTACAGGACATGGACCGTGTTCTTGCTGGCAGGTGTGTTTTCTGCTCCCGATCATTGAACTGCCATCATTGAAAATTTAAACAATTAAATATGTGAAAGATTTTGCATTGTGATTGTTGGCTTTTTTAAACTTAAAGAAAATGCTATCTTTCTATGTCAAAACTTGATTGGAGATGTATACATGTCTTCTTGAGCTGATTGGGCAAGTCATGTGATTGGTATCTGTAGACACTTCATAGCCAGCAAGTTTTTAGGATATTTTGCTGCACTCAGTTTTACATGTATGCCTCATAATCATTTTTAGGATATGGTGACTTCATCTTTCGGATTAGGATATTCAATTATATTATATATTGAATGTGGCCTTGCTGGAATGCATAATTAGAAGTGACATTGGCTGTGTGTGATCTGGTGTGGGTAGCTTAGTAGACTTGCATCTTTAGTTAGGTTTGGATATGGTTATGGTCCTATTACTGCAATGGATAAGGATCACACAGTTTGTTGTTCCTAGTCTGACCACCTGAAATTAGGTATGGGATGCCATGGTTATTTCTGACATCAGACATGGCTCTTAGAATTCTTCGTCAGTAGACAAGTTTTGAGTCGTTGTACCTGTGTTATACCTCATCTCTTTGCTTTAGTGACCATGCTCAGTTCAGTCGTTTCTTGAGGGAGTTTAGGGTATTAATGTTGTAAAATTTGTTTGATCAGGAAACCGTTGATCAGACTAGGGGCTAATATGCCAGCCAGAGCAGAGCGGCTTGCCAGGAGAAGTGATTTTGATCAGTACATTCCTGGGGGCTATGGAAATCTGGCCCCTGCTAGAAATGGTGAAATCTATGAAGTAATACTTTACTTTGGGATAATTGACATTCTGCAAGATTATGATATCAGCAAGAGATTAGAGCATGCCTATAAATCTCTGCAAGCTGATCCAACGTCGATATCAGCGGTGGATCCTAAGCTATATTCAAAGAGATTTCGTGACTTCATCGGAAGAATATTTGTTGAAGACAGATAGCAGTGGAGAAAGAGAGAGGTGAGAGAAAATCTAGAACACAGCCTAAAATGGTGGCACTGTTCCATTGGAAAAAGGAAGTCCCCATCGGTGCTAGGGTCTCCCCTCCATGTGGAATGAATCATCAGTCAAGAACTATTCAACAATATTGTTGTTGATAGCAATGTTCACAACGTTGGGACCAAGAGACTCCTACATACTCACTTGGTAGGTGGGAGAAAATGGGCGGGTAACGCAGCAATGACAATCACTGGAGAATGGTGGTTTAGATTCGCGATGAGTGGATGAATTATAGCCTTGGCTGAGTTTTGTTGATCAGCCAATGTGATTATATTCTTGTACATTGAAATGGGTGGAGGTAAAATCGTAAATTGGATAGGTGGGTAATATTGTTATTGAATTATTCCTGTGTAATGGGGGTAGAATTTTGTAGCGATTCAAGTAAGAGGGAATTGAAAGATAGGTATAGAGTGAAAAGGGAAAATGTGTTTTTTTGTTCCCCCAGAAAAAAAAAAGAAAAAAAAAACCGAGAAAGAGAAAGAAAATGGGGAAGGATGTGTGGGAATAACAATTGTACAGGGTTAAATTGGTTAATAGAAAGGAAGGACAGATAATTTATCTCAAATCATCTTTTGTACGTTCTACTTAGGTAGTGAATATTAGTTTAATTGTATAGTTAAGTTAGTGATGAGAAATGTTGCATAATTTACGTTACTTTTGTTGCAAGGATGGACCCCATTATTTTTTTAGCTCAATCTCAAAATGACTGATTTTTTATTTTTTTTTTAGAAAAAGGGAGAGTGATTTGGGAAATGAGAAATGGAGGTGGTGATGGCGGTGGGGAGACTTTTACGGTTAAAGCGGAGGCATTGGTCATTGGATGTGGAGGAGGGGGTTCACTTGAACAGAGATTAGATTTTTTTTTTTTCTGTTTATAAAAAGCAGAGAAAGTTACGATTGTGATTTGAGATGAAGAGGATCTCTCTTTCTCTCTTTGATTTTTTATTAGTACTCACAATAGGGTCGGAGTTGTATTTTTTTTAACAGAAATACGTAATATATTACTCCTAGGGAGAAATAAATAAATACAGTATTGTATTCCAAAAGCAGCCAAGGAACAAGAAACAATGTATAGTCGGAGAGTAAGCCCCATTTGATTTTGACCAGATTATTATTTACGAGTATAAATAAATAAAAAATGGGATCCCAATGACATCATTGTATAGTCATTTAGTCACATGGTGAAGGACTCTTCTGCCCATGTGGCACTTGTGTATTTGGTGGAATCTAGTCTACAATGAAATGGATGCTTGATTGATCTTTGAGGGCATAGCTGAAATTTACAAAGTTTAAAAATGAATCGTTTTGATATTGGGAGTTGGGACTTGAACAATTGAAAGAAGAATGTGAAATAGGGAAAGTCCATAAACAAGGGTCAAAGTCAGTGACAGGGGCTAGGCCCATGCTCATTGTCTCTTTTTGGACCACCTTCTTCTGCCCTTTTTCTTTTTCGATAATTACCCTTCTTTTTTTTTTTTTTTTTTTTTTTACTCTTCCCTCATTTTTTCTCTTATTGAATACGGAGTTCATGAATGCTGTTATTTCTTCATTCAACTAATGTGAATGTTCACACTTTACGACTATATTACCATATGTTAATTGTAGTAACTGCCTATGTAGCCATGTACTAGTACGGAGTAGTTTTCAACTTTTCAATAACTGTCTCTCCTACTTCCTACTCTATTTAACTGTATATACTTCCAATTGGGGCACGGGATTGACCAACTTTTGAATTAGGGCTATTGGGCCATGCTTTTTGTGTTATTCTGCATCTCATTTTACTTGGCTTATTTGATTTAACAAATCCTCCTATTAATAACCCAAGTTAATAATGATCCAAACTGATTTCTGTATGTTCAACGGAAGCTGGCATAACGCAAGTGCTTAATTGACCAGCTTTAATGCAAAAGAGTTTTTGAGTTACTATGTTATCCGTATGTAATAATCCATAGCATTTTGATTTTATATTTTATATTTAATTTTATACTGTAAAGCTTTCAAATTCTCAACTTCCTTTGTACGAGTATATGAAAATGAACATCCATGATGATAATCCTTTCTCAACTTAATTAAAAAAAATGATGCCAACTTGGAGACTTAGATACATAACTACTCGTAGTTTATTAACAAGAAATGTGGAATAGAATAAAGTAAGGCCTTAAAATCGATGAAACAGGGAAAATCTTGAAATGGATGGGATTGACTTGTAAAAGACATAGTATAATATAATGGGTCAGTTAATAAACAGCATCCAAAGTAGCATGGGAATTGTCATCGCTGAGTTTGCTGTCCATCTTAAAAGCATCAAAGCTAGCTAGTCCCTTAAACAATAACTAAAATTTAAACAAACAAAAAAAATACCCAAACATTCAACAAAAATGGAGGAAATATTTACATGATTACATTTACTACACATACACATAACAATCGGAGTAACAATTTTTAAAAACTAAGGAAAGAAAAAAACAATGTAAGAAATAATAACGTGTGAAAAAAGTGTAGTTTGTCTTGGTTTATAGAGACAGAGTCGCCGTCGGTGGCAGACTTTAGCATTTACTCGGGTTTACGTACGTCTAACAGCGAGCGAGCCTTAACTAAATTTATACTGTAAGCATTCTGTAATTCATTTAATTCAATTTTGAATTGAATGCTGTACATACATCTTCTGCATTGCCCTCTTTCATCTTCTTCCTCTTCATAGCACTTTTTGATTATTATGTTTATTTTTCTTTTCCAGCTTTTACAGTTGCTACCTATTTAATGGATTTCCTAATTTTGTCAACTTGTCTGTCTACAAACTTTTCTTTCAGACGTAGATCCCTCTATTTCTATTTTGGTTATTATACCAAATCCATAGACCTATACCTGTCATGTGTTTTCTAAGCATATTATTATGCAGATATGTGGAGATCACACTTTAGATTTAATGGAAAAATATTTACTCGTATCAGGTTATATTGGAAAAGTGATATGCAAAATTTGTACTCCGTGTACCAAATATTCACATTAAATGAATTTGGAAATTCTTGTGTACAACAAGTGTATACGAAGTACATGATACACTTTCTCTTACAATTTTTTTTTTTAAAAAAATACATGAACTAACTTCGTCCAATATTTTAATACATACTTTTAAAATTTATGTGATCACTTCATCAACAATTTACCAACAATTTGTTTGACTCTAAAAAGATGATTAGAAAGGAAATGATAAGAATGAAAAAAAAATAAAAATAAAAAATAAAACCAATAAAGGGAATAGAGTTCCTATGATTTAGTTTACATGGTACTTTGTAATTAAGTTGATAGGATTAGCTTGTCTAGCTAGCTGTTTAGTCAATTATAGAAGAATTGGATTTTATTAAACAATTGATTACGTACTTATTAATTTTATCTATGTCCAAATTCCACCAATCCAAAAGAAATAAGGAAGTGAAACAATCATATTATTATAGAGTATCATTTTCTTTACAATTTATTAAGAAGTCATTTTATTTCCTTTTGTTTTTTCTACATACAATTCCATCTTACTTAGTGCCAAAGTACCTAATAAGTGGTATATACAAGTACACAACACATTTTAATAAGAAGTACACATGTATTTATACTTTTAGCTAATCTTATATAGATAATACTCCGTATATTTAATTTTTTCATGTTTAGCAAGCGCGCTCATCCCTTATTCTATCTATCCTCTTTTGATGACCAATATACATAATGCCTATATTTTGAAGCAACACTAACAATACAATAATTGGATCTCTGAAAAATGTTAGAATGTATTTTGTTTGTATCGTGTGTCATTTCTAAAATGCTAATCCACATTATCATTATCTCAATCGTCTGGCCAGTGGCCAAATGCATGCATGCGTAGTAGATAAGATGCCTAAACTGTTCTTCATACTGTTACGTGACAGCGCATCAGATCATTTCTATGCCTCTGCTTCTTTGGGCGGCGGCGACAACAACTAATTAAAACTTACAGTGCGTATAATTGTGTTATTTTTAAAGGCATCTTCAATTCTCCCACAAAATTAGGAACTCTTACGCTATGTATATGTACTGTAGTATAATTAGTAACTATACAATAAGTCTATAACTAAATGTGGATGATTATGGAATCATATCATATTAGGACAAGTTTATTCCATTACTAACCATAGTTGACTTTATGCTTCCGTAACTGACTTTGTATATTTCTATCTTTCTAGGTGACCTTATACAAAACTAAAAGGTGATGACCTTAATTAAGAAATCAGGGTACGGGTACCAAATTCTAACTAAAGTGTACTATAGTACAAACAATTTAATACCAAGTATATATAATAATTATTAGAGCTTATAGTGCTAAGTAAGTTTACTTAACTAAATACGAGTACTTCTTGTATATGGACTATAGAGAGAGGTCAAGAGTTTTATTTGAAAGTGATTTCTTTGTGGTACAATTTGTTATACAGATTATCAGATCTCCATACTTTTCATTCTGATATTTTTTCTTTTAATTTTTTTTAGCTACTTTTACTTTGTATTCCTTCTATGATACGAAGGGAGTAATTATCTATTGTCTTGATTGACATTAGTGTTATTGTCTAGTTTATGTGTGTCGCTATTAAAGATATACAAACTTAAGATGGTCCACGTTTAATTTTGGTAATGAGGTTGTCTTACAATGAAGGGAAAAGATAGAGATGTTTTTGCATATGAGTAAAAGGATTTTTAATGCCTAAAATAAATGGCCATCACAAAAGTGGAGAGGACCGATGGTCTTCTAACTTTTAAGTATCCTAAATGGGAGCATGATTGATGCATAGTTAGGAAACTCATCTGATTTTCCAATATGTTAATTCTAATCTCTGCTTAAACCTTGCTGCTAAGCTAAGCTTGGAGGATTAAAGTTAAGTAAGTTGTATTAATCAATTTGCTGGGTGATATTCATGGTTGATCCTCCAATTTTTTCACCATAGGTTTTGATCATGTAGATTGTTCACGGTTTTCATTAACAAGTAATTACATGACTACAAAATTAAATATCGGGTTGATTATACCACTTCACTAGTAGCAGTGATTAAATTTTCAAGACTATTTATAATGTAGTGGATCTTAGATGAGATGTTTTTGAAAGTCTTCTAATAAGCATGTAAAAACTTTGGGTAGATAGTACTTCGTACACAATAAAGACATTTTTAAATTTAATGAGCCTTAATAATTTTGCAACTATTTTGTATTTGATTAGACTAATTTTGCAGTTAATGTCATAGCACATCCTTTATATATAAATTTTTGTAACTTATGATATATCTTTTATCTTGTGCGTGGTTTTTACTTCTCAATCAACAATCATCCATAGTAGATGTTCGATCTGTAGCTAAATTTGACAAATAATGATAGCATATGATATGCCAATAAGGTTCCAGTCCACCAAAACGTACTACAGTAGAATTATTGGTAATCATTTTATTAATTAAATAAATTAAGTGTGGACAAAATTGATCAGATAATAACCCCTAAAGGCCTAAACCCCACTAAATTTGACTATCAACATAAAAATTACTCTATTCTTACTCCCTAGTACTTTATATATGCAAGGAGCTGAGTATTTAGGAACAACGTAAAAATATACTGTATTCTCTATACTTAACTATTTAACACGTCTAAACTTTTGAGGATGCGTCTTAATCAATACTTGTATTAAAGTTTTACTTCATTATATAACT